ACGCCCTTGTGGTGCCGTACTCTCGTATAGCCAATGACTCATTTGCCCTGAACATAAAAGCTGAGTATCGAACCTAATAAGCTTTATGGTCTCCCCAGCTTTAATCTATCAGCCCCAGTACAATCTTATCTGATCCGTCCTGCTTCCCATTCAAACTTTGATCTTCAACCATGGCATATCCAACCCCACTCAACGCATCCCCCCATCTTCTCGAGTTCCTCAAGACTCTCCACTCCCAGTCGCTCACCCAAGAGGCAAAGGTGGACTGGTACTCGCTGCCCGAGCAATGCAGCAATGACTTCGATGATATCATGCGCGACAAGTTCATCGCCCTGGATCAGGATAAGTGCGAGCTGGTCTACCACATCATACGGAGTATCAATGCAAAGACGGTCGTCGAGGCGGGGACAAGCTTCGGCGTGAGCACGATCTATCTCGCTCTCGCGGTCGCAGAGAATGCCAAGCGAGATGCCTCTGGTTCCGCGAAAGGAAGAGTCATCGCGACAGAAAAGGAGCCTTCCAAGGCCAGCGAGGCCCAGAAGAACTGGGAGCGCGCCGGCAAGGAGATTGACGGGATTATCGATCTCCGAATTGGCGATCTGCGTGAGACTCTGACACGGGATCTGGGAGTCGTGGATTTCCTGCTGCTGGACAGTAAGTGACGCTGGATCTTCTTCGTTGCTGGATTGGGGGTAGTGGCTGACATCGTGGTTCATCAGTTTGGACACCACTCGCTCTTCCAGCACTGAAACTTGTGCAGCCATACCTCCGTCCCGGGGCTGTGATTATCGCTGATAATACGGTCAAGGCTGCTTCCAAGTATGAAGAGCTGTTTGCTTATGTGGATGCTCCCGGTAGTTCTTTCCGTCGAGTGACTCTTCCTTATGAAGGAGGTCTCGATATGATTGTCTATCAGTAGATCATCACTTTCATTGCATCATTCGACATGATTGTCAATCAATAAATCACGGCAATAGGAGCGTGGATATAACCAATAGTATAATTGTGGTACTGGTGCAGTTCATGTTCCATGGATGAAAGCAAAATTAACTTGATCGTTTATTGCCCTTCTTAATCCAATAGACCCAAAGATAGTTGCTACATAGTCGAGGTTTCTTCAATCTTTTCTTATAATCCATTTTCTGAATCATAATTAGATGTTAGCTATCCAGATGTAGAATATCAACACGCAGGTCCCTAAAGTAGATCATCAATCATTCCCACCGCGGATTCAACCCCGCAAAGTGCCCCCATTCCCCATTCCCCCCTCATCTGATAACAGATCTCATCCCAAACATCCTTCATCTCAACCATTCTAAACCTCCAAACACACCAGCATTCCCTTCTCAAAATGACAACGAACTCCTTCCAAACCCCGCCTTCAAACGAAATCGGCCTCTTCTCCCCAGGCGGACCATCCCAAACCTTCAACCCCCCACCAACCCCCTCAACCCAAAACTACCGCCTAAACCATCTCGCAATCCGCATCAAAGATCCCTCCCGCTCCCTCCACTTCTACGTCGACCTCCTCGGTATGCGCGTGATCTTCACCATGAATGCCGGCCCCTTCACGATCTACTACCTCGGCCACCCACCCCCCGGCATCGAGGCCGAGGATCTAGATGCGTGGGCGAAGCAAACGAGCGAGATCCCCGTTATGACGCGGACGAGTGGGTTGTTGGAGTTATATCATGTGCACGGGACGGGGGAGGTGTCGACGGGTAACGTCCCGCCGCACTTGGGGTTTGCGCATCTGGGGTTTACGGTGCCAGATGTCAAGGCTGCGGTGGAGAGGTTGAGGGGGGATGGAGTGAGGATTTTGAAGGATTTGGGGGTTTGTGGGAGGGAGAGTATTCCGTTGTCCGAGTGGGAGAGGGAAAGAGGGGTTGGGGAGGGGGATGTTCATGAGAATTATGCCTGGTTCTTTGAGAAATTCGCCATGGTGGCCGATCCGGTGAGTGTATGATCTTGTTCTGCCCGAGTCAATTACTGATATATCCGAGCAGGATGGTTACTCGATTGAATTGATACCCCAAGATATTTAGATTCCAAGAGCTACGATGATGTTTACAGATCAGGAGATGACTGAGAAGCACGAGTAGATGTGAAAAAAGGGCAACGGTGAATGAACCATGCATCCTGCCCCGGAAACAATGTAGTTGTGAAAGATGAGCCCTATACATGATCGAGTCCTAGTAAGATTACATGAGAGTGAAATATCAGAGATGTTCGACTAAGCACCCCAGCTGTCATCCTCGGCAACATCATAGTCCATCTCCCGTTGGGGCATGCTCCCTGGTGCCGGTGCTTGAGGTACCGGCGTAGTGTCCATGGACATGTCCTGGTCATCATCGCCGAGGCCGTTCTTCTCCGTCGGCGTCGTAGTCGGCGTGATCGTGATAGGTGGGTTGGGCACCCAGGACTTCTGGACTTCACCCGCAGAGGGTGCGTTCCAGCGGCTGAACATGAACTTTTCTGCTTGATAGCGCTCCTTGAAAGCCACGATCACCGAGCCAGGCTGCTCGGGATTGGGTTCGACGGATTCATATTCGCCAATGCCCTAGAACGTATACCATTAGCCACTCGCTCCTTTCGTGTGATGAACAAGAAATAACTTACAATCAGATGCTGTCGCAGAGCCTCGTCATTATCAGAGCCAATCTCGATGCCAGCGACGGCGACCCGCCTGGGCCGATTGTCCAGGCGAAGCACGCTTCCACCACGACCACGGGGACTGAAACCACCTCGACCGCGATATCCACCGCGGTATGAAGGGTCAAACCCTCCCCGTCCACGATACGTGCCACGGCCGCGGTAGCCACCACGACCACGGGAGCCGCCACGAGTTGAATCGGCGTTGGAAGGGTCGATGCCGAGAGTCTTCGCCTCAGCCTCGAGAGCAGCCAGCTGGGCACGCAATTTTTTAGTCTCCTCGCTCACGTTCTCATCGGAAGCAGCGGCCGTCACGCCTGAATTGTCACGAGCGTCATCGGGGGTGACGATCATCTCGTCCGAAGCCCCGCCACCACCGATGCGCTGCAACAGACGCGCCTTCTCTTCTTGGTGCTTCTTCAAAAGCTCGTCCCGCTGACGTTCAAGGGCCTGTTTAGCCTCGTCGGCCTCGCGGCGCTTCCTAGTCCTTTCTTCGTGTGCCCGTTGCGCTTCAGCCTGCTGTTTTTCAAACTCTTCCTGGTTGAAAGCAGGAGTTTCATGCCGAGAGTCACCATTCTTCTCATCGCGCCTCGGCTTGTGCCAGTAGACCTTAACGAAGCGATTATCGAAAATCACCTTGGGGCTTGACCAGGCTTGCTTGGCCTCGGCAAAGGTTTCGAATTTCACGAGCGCCAGCTTCTTGTACGATTGCAGGGTCACCTCGACAATTTTGCCAAACTGCGAGAAAAACTCACGCACTGCCTCCTCGGACAACTTGTCGTCGGGAATCTGCTCAACTACAATCGTCGTGATGGACTGATCCTCGTTCGGCCCTGCTGACGAGAAGTCGGACCGGCCGCCACGTCCTCGTGCGTTAGGCCCACCCCGCCCACGGCCACGGCCACGGTCACCACGGGAAGAACCATAATCTCCTCGGTGCGTACCAGAAGATGCGGCCTTCGGGTCATACTCATTCTGGGATCCAGCTTCGCCATGCTGGTAGGGGCATGTAGCGCCCAGATAGCAAATACCCTGGGTATCATAGAACGGGCAGCGCTGGTTAATCGAACCCATCTGGCCAGCACCAGGCTGACCAGCAGCACCGGGCATTCCAGGCATTCCAGGCATAGGCATGCCAGGCATCTGCGGGAAGCCCATACCCTGCATCCCCTGCATCATCATAGCCGCTGCCATCGGGTCATTCGGGTCGAATGGTGGGAATCCTTGCATCATTGGATTGGGAAAGCCGCCAGGCTGCCCCTGAGGATACTGCTGCGCACCATGTCCTGGCCAATCCCCGCGGCCACCACCGCGACCGCGGCGCGGCGTCTTGAAAGCACGGTTCTGCGGAACTCCGTTCCCTGCATCCTCATCACCCTGGAAGCCCTCATTATACGTACGTTTTCGGTTGTAGAAATCGGTTTTGGGACCGGCGGGGGCATCGTAACCTGGGTGCGCCTGAGGGGTGGGAATGGGCTGTGGTTGAGGAGCTGCCACTGGAGCAGCTGGCTGAGGGCCAAATTTGGTAAAGAGCTCGTCCACGAATGGTTGGGTGTCTAGTTGGTGTCAGCAGCCAGAGCAAGCAGAGTACGATCAGTGTCAAGCGCACTCTCTCTCAAAAAGTCCTCCAGGTTCTCGACAGAGGTCTGTTTGATTTCGTCATCAGGCGCATCAGTGCTAATGAGCGCAAGCACATAGTCTGCCAGGACATCAGAATCGGCGTCTGAGCTGTGAGGTAAAGTGAAGAAAATTAGCCAGGGCCCCAGGGAGACTGATTTCAAATAGATTTGCGCGAAATGGACTTACATGTCTTCCAACCTCTTAACCACCCAAGTCTTCACATTCTCAGCTTCCGCGTCCGTAAAATGCATCGCGACAAAGTAAAGCCGATGGCCACTTTATAGCAGCTCGACTAGAGTCTCCCGAAGAGAATTGAGGCGTATAATCTCTGTTGGAGGAAGGGTGGGTGTTGCTGCAAGATGAAGGACCTGTTTCGGGGTAGGTTGCGGCGGTCACGATGAGGTGGGTAGGAACGCGGATGATAAAGATGGAAAGACCCAACAAAGGAATAGAGTGTCAATAAAGAATCAATCGACTATTCTCATACCGAAAAGTCGACGGGAGCAGGGATGTTGAAAGCACAGGATTATTGACTGAAGAACGCGAAGGCGCGCGATGTGATCACGTGAGCATGACAGATGCAGAATCAGAGGGCGTGCACGGACATGATAGATGCTACAGATGCTACAGCTTTGCATATCCTAATCTGGAGCTCTATCGCTTGGAATCAATCATCGAGTCACGACAAGGTACATTGCAGTCCAAAAAATATATCAAATGCACACATTCTTACTTTCTACTCCGTTGACGAAATCTACGCAGCCAGAAACCAGTACTCGTGCCTAGTATACCATATTGATTGTCATGTCCAAAAGGTACAGCTAGACACAGCGAAAACACATACAAGGAAAATCATCAGAGAAAAAAAAGAAACGAAGGAACAAAAAACAAGACAGACAGCTATGGAGACAAAAGCAAACGGGCCGCTATCGAGGTGCCCGAGACATCCCTCGAAGCTCCGCACTTTCTAGAGACGACAGTGGCTGTGAAGCAAGCCCACATTGAAGTGGGAATGAAATTTTTGTTTGAACCGGGGAACTTGTATTGCATTCATCAATTTCATAAAAAAAGATTCCACGCGTGACTGCCAGACGCATGCTGGTCGGTCATGAGCATTTTTACAGCTTGTCGTAGTACTATAGAGAGATAGGTTAGCGGATAGGGTCAAGGTGAAGGGAGATGGGTGATGATGATGGAAACTCACGTTCTCGTAGCCGGGAACGACGTCCTTGAGACCCTTGCGCTTGCGCATCTCCTGGACGACCTGACCGGGCTTGGTGGTGGGGTCGAGAGGAGAACCGCCGGGAAGGATGGCCCAGTGGTCGAAGACGGACTGGGGGAAGGCCTGACCACCGGTGGCGGAGCGCAGATCGGCAGGGAAACCGAAGGACTCGTTGACGGGCAGGTAAGCCTTGATGTTGAACAGAGGAGTACCGGGGCGCTGCTCCTCGGCGTAGACGTGACCACGGCGGCGGGTGAGGACACCGTAGATACCACCCATAGCCTGCTCGGGGACCTGGATCTCGACGTTGAAGATGGGCTCCAGGAGACCGGGCTCGGCGAGCATGGTAGCGGCGTACAGGACACGACGAGCAGTGGGGATGAGCTGACCACCACCACGGTGAATGGCATCAGCGTGGAGGGTAACATCGAGGATGTTGAAGCGGACGGCGCGGAGGGGCTCCTCAGCGACGGGACCCTCACGGGTAGCCCACTGGAAACCGGAGACGACGGAATCCTTGATTTCGTTCAGGTACTGAACGGCCTTGGTCTGGTCAACCAGCAAGTTGGCACCGGTGGTGTCGGGACCGAAGCACCAAATCTTACGGGCATCGGTAACATCCCAGCCGTACTCGTCAGCAAGGACACGGGCACGGGCCTTGAAATCGTCACGGGGGCTGATCTTGCCAGCCTCGATGGCGAGAGCGACCTCCTCCTCGATGGGCTGAGCGGTCATGTACAGACGGTTGTGCTTGTTGGGAGACTTGGACAGAGCGGTCATGCTGGAGGTGGCGGTAACGGTCTCACGGTAGGAGACGACGGGGTCGGAAATGCGGAGGGGAACACCGGCGTGGTCCTCCTCGAGATCCTTCAGACAAATCTCGAGGTGGAGCTCACCAGCACCAGCAACGACGTGCTCACCAGACTCGTTGATCATGGTCAGAACGCAAGGGTCGGACTTGGACAGACGCTTGAGACCCTCGACAAGCTTGGGCAGATCCTGGGCGTTCTTGACCTCGACGGAGCGCTGCACAACGGGGGAGACGGAGAACTTCATGACCTTGAGGTTGTGGGCGGTCTCGTCGGTGGTCAGGGTACCGGACTTGAGCAGGAACTGATCGATACCGACCAGACCGACAATGTTACCGGCAGGGACATCCTCAATGGGCTCGACGAAGCGACCCATCATGAGAATAGTACGCTGGATGGCCTTGATGTACAGGTCCTCCTTCTTGCCAGGGGTGTAGTTGGGACCCTGGATGCGGACCTTGATACCGGACTTGACGGTACCGGCGTAGACACGACCGAAGGCGTAGAAACGACCCTTGTCGGAGGTGGGAACCATCTTGGAGACGTACAGCATCAGAGGAGCAGTGGGGTCACAGTCACGGATACCAATGCAGGCCTTGTCGTCAGCGGGACCCTCGTACAGAGTCTCGGCACGGTACTTCTGGGCAGTGACGGGGGAAGGCAGGTGAATACAGATCATCTCGAGCAGAGCGTCGGCAGCGGGCAGGAACTTGCGCATGACGACCTTGAGGAGAGCCTTGCCCTGGAAGTCCTTCTCCTCAGCGGTGAGCTTAATCTCGAGCTTCTCAAGGAGAGTGTTGATCTCGTCCTTCTTGTCGTTGTTGACAGCAGCGAAGACCTTGAAGATGGGGTCCAGGATGAACTGGTTGAAGGCACGCTCAAGGGGCTTGCCGTCAGCCTCGGCGCTCTTGGTCCACTTCTTGGTCTTGGGGTTGAAGTAGTTGTCGCCCCACAGACGCTCGAGCATCTTCTTGCGGTCGACACCGAACTTCTTGGCGTACTTGACGGCGAACTGGCGGACAGTGAAGCACCAGCCGTGGAGACCGGAACCGAAAGCGATGGTACCGCGGTCGGGGTAGACCTGGACATCACCGAGAGCCTTGTCGAAGTAGGTGGAGATGATGACGTTGACGGACTCAATGGTACGGGAGAAGGACTGGTACAGATCCTCCTTGGAAACCTGGAGCTCGAGCAGGGCACGGTCGACCTTGTTGATGCAAAGAACGGGCTTAATACGCTCGGTCAGGGCCTGACGCAGGACAGTCTCGGTCTGGACACAGACACCGGAGACACAGTCGACGACGACCAGGGCACCGTCAGTGACACGGAGAGCGGCAGTGACCTCGGACGAGAAATCAACGTGACCGGGGGAATCGATCAGGTTGATCAGGAACTCGGAACCGTCGACCTTCTGGGGGATCTCCTTAAGATCCTCCGGGTCGGGGAACTTGGCGTAGAGAGAGATGGCAGTGGACTTGATGGTAATGCAACGGTCCTGCTCATCGGGACGGGTGTCCATGAAACGGGTCTCACCGGCCTTGGCGGCGGAGATAATACCGGCACGCTGGACAAGGGAGTCGGAGAGGGTGGACTTTCCGTGATCGACTGTAGAGAGACGAAACTAGTTAGCCACAGGGCTCCAACGACCCAAAAACAGAAGCTCATCATTCAGCATCTGCGAAGAAGTAGAAACATACCGTGAGCAATGACGGACATGTTACGGATGTTGGCCGGTCGGTCCATCAGGCCGCGGATCTGGATCTGGAGTTAGCATATCGGGTTCACACTGTGGTGTGAGCTGCTGGAACCGGGAGGTGGTGGGCAACCCCTCCTCGACCTCAAGACTCTTTTCGAGGGTAGGAATATCAGAATACGGACCTCCTCAATGGTGAAGCTGTGAAGAAAAAAGCTATTAGCTACATGTCTCCGTTGAAAATGAGGGTGATTCTGATGAGTTGAGATCAACTTACTTAACCATCTTGACGGTTTTTTTTTCCTCAGATAAGCCCTAGAGGCGGGGTTGATTTTTCTTTTGGAAGGGGGGAATAAAGAAGCAAGAAAACACACAGATGATCTTTCACGGACAAGCCCGGTGAAGATCAAAAAAACTGAGTGTAAACTGCTCCAGGAGGAGAGAAAGAGGGATGGGAGAGGGGAAAGAAGAGAAGGAGGGAAGGGCAGAAGAGGGGAGGGAAAAGTGGGAGAGAAAAAAAAGAGACGAAAAAGTGGGGACTTTTTTCGCTGCCCCGCTCGCTGGGATTTTCTGTGCGTTTTTGGCATACACCTGGGCTGAGTGGTTTACATGCGATTACACCCTGGATACACTGGCGGTCCACTTCTGTATCTCCGTGCATACTGTATGATTACCAAGCTCCCGTTCTATCCAGTTGATTCCACTTCTTGTCTCTCCCCCTTAGCTATACAACGAGAAAGGTATAGCAGCTTCTGAAGTAGGCACCGATAGCAAGGGTGACGGATTTGAAATCACCGTAAACTGCTTAGACCTTGACTCATGTCCGATCGTACCCGTGGTTCTCCGGGAGAAAGCTTGCAGAGCTCGAGTTCGGAGCTGACCAGCTTTGCCACACACCCGATGTGCCGCGTCTGATTCGAGTACGGAGGAGAGGAAACCTTACCACCAGTAACACCGCCCGCTCCATGAGTCGTAGTTCAGTACAACGGCGTTTCAACTCCCAGCCCCGCCTCTCACCGCCCGCGCGGGGCATTGATGGATTAATAATACATACTAGAGAAATTAGTTAGTTAGTTAGTTAGTTAACTAGTTAACTAGTTACACTAACCAGTTAACTCACATGCAAGAATACAAGTAGTCCAGTTACAGTACTCCGTAGATCAACCTGCTTGAGATGACCGGTTTGAATCATGGTGTTTTAACCTACCGACGTATCGTAGAATGACAACGGTACATTCCTTGGAAGAAATAAAAGTAGAATTCGGGAAGCAATAATGTACAAGAATCCTCCATATGGAATCACCAACACTATTATATACACAACGTAGTACGGAGTTCTCTCTCTACAACGAATGATACTCCAGCGCGCCTCAAAACACCCTCCACGCATCGCTCCCTCCTCTGCTTCAGCTCCCCAATATTGTTCCATATGCATCCTCAACCTCCTTTGCAATCTCCAACAGAGTCACAATGATGATTTGGTGTGTGACATTGGGCAGCTTATCACGCTGCAACCCGATCCATTCCAGTGGCGGCGTTGCTTCACCCATATCCCGCAGCTGTGGCGTTTCGATCACCGGCGGCTCCAATGCCGTGTAAGTGTACTTGCTTTGCGGCACATTCACCACTGCCGTAATCTTGTCCTGCTGCTCGGCCCCTGCGCCACCTCCCTCTCCTCCCTGGCCGCCACCGCTGCCGGGCCCACCGGTGATTCGGACTGCTGACGGCGCCAAAGGCTTACCGAGCCGGGTAGCCAAGGCTCGCGAATGCGTCTCCCACATGTCGCGGATGAAACTGATGCGCGAGTAGTTCCAGCCCACGTCCACTTTGCCTTCGAACGTACTGTGGAAGATGTAGTCGATATGTCGTGTCCCGGGCACTTGCCAAGTTTCCATACCGGCCACTAGGCGAGGCACTTTCAGGATGGTGCCACCACGAGAGCCGGCTACACGTGCGGCGATCTCGTTGACGGACAGCTCGTCCACGTGGGTGGAAGGCGGGCGGTTGATACCAGAGAGAGCCACGCGTAGTTGACCGAGCGTGAGACCGAGTGCGCTATGAATCTCGTTGGACTCAAGCGCCACGCCAAATCGGGCTTGAGCATCGTACGCCTCGACCTTGAAGATCTGATTGTCAAAGAACGAGCTGGGGAAGGCCCCCAGGTTGACATGTCGGACATTGACGACCACTCCGGTATGAAGAGAGCCAGGGGTGCGCTCCGAATCCTCGTCTTTCTTGGCCAGTTCCTTACTGTGGGCTTCTATCCGGCTAGGGAGGGCGGAGGATTTGCGCCGGAGATACCGCTCCACCTCCCTCAAGGATGCCTCGTAGGCCGATTGCTTGTCTTGCACCAGACGTTGCCAGGCTTGGAACAGCGCTAATGTCTGAGACGCGGTGAGAGACGTGCAGAACACCTGAACCTCATCCCCCTCCAAGATACTGAACAGCCGTTCGCTTCCTTTATCGGGAGTCTCGTGCACATTGTACATGATGAAATCGAATTCGGCCACATGAGCGACCAAGAAGGGTTGGTAGTCAAAAGACACCTTGGCCTGCAGGTGATGGAAAGCAATCGAGGCCTGGATAAGAGGCGTGTGTCCAGCCGTCTCTTCGGGCCATTTGATGGAAGTGCGAACCTTGAACGAGCGTAACTCGACGATCCCTGACATGCGACCCTTGCACTCAATGCCAACAGAGTCAAAATTGATGCACATGCTTTGCTCGTGATCCGAGGTCTTATTAGTGGAGACCCAGACATTATCAATCGCAAATTGAGCCTTGCCCAGTGTCGATCCCAAGTCAAGCAAAATCTCTAGCTTCTCGACGGCGATGGTGGTATTCCACGGGAACGCCGATGTGGATGCAACCTGCTGATATCGCTGCACGATGTATGTTTGAGACTCGGACTGCTCTGGCTGTGGGGGAGGAGACACGGTGTCGGCTTCGTCATCATCCGATGGTAGCCAAATCTCGCGAAACAGTAGAGAATCCTGAAGCTGTTTAGCATTCAAGGAGACCTTCATGGGGCTCACTCGCAAGATTGCCGACATTCCACTCGTTCGGCCAAGATGTTTGCTATTCATGAGAGACAATACCATAGACTGAACTTCGAAGCTTGCCGTAGACTCATTAGAGTAAACATGCTTGACTGAAGCCTCGAGGCCGTCAAACGCCAATGATAGAGCAAGGAAACGACTCTGCTCGGTCGACTGTACCGTGTTGACAGTCACGTAGACATTTTTAAATTGCGCGGTGGCAGCTACCCTGGCGATCGGCTGGCAGCTTAGACTGAATTCTTGTTTACAGAATAACAATCCAAGATTCACCTTGCAGCGTCCCAGGATGGAATTTGGGTCCGGTGCACCAAAAGGGGTCTCTTGCATCAACTTCTGTGGTTGCAACATTGCTGACGTGGATGGCCTTCGTGGATGGCCTTGCTGGCTTTGTTGCTGTTCACTCATGATCTCTTTCACCGTGGCGGTCATCTGCTTGACTAGGGGAACGAGCGTTGGGTACAGGACATTGGTAGATGGATTAACCTTCAGTTCCGCATTGAGTGTTGGGTCGTCCGTGCCATTGTCCTCAAAGTGAACTTTCAGAGCCACGCCTGGTGCCCGGAGTGTAGCCGTTGTAGCTGAATCCCCTTGCACGTATTGACCGTATTTTGACTCTGAAACTCTACTGCCCTTCAACGTGGCAGTCAACAAGGTCTGCGCATTATGGCTCTGCTTCCCTTGTAGAGAGAGTGTGGCACCAGCAAAATCAACGTCAACGAAAACCGATCGGAGGCGTTTGTTGCCAAATAGACTACGGTCCTTGTTGGCATTGTCCAGAGCTGGTGTTGTAGCCCAAGCAGCCTTGCCCTCGCGTAGCGCCTCGCTGGCAGATCCAATGGAGTTCCGTATTCTGTTAGCAGGAATGATGAACTCGGATGTTGCACGAATATCTAGTGACTTCCCCGCAGCTTGGAAAGCAAGCCACAATTCCTTTCCGCTGGAGTAGTAGGTGACATTGAAAACCAATTCCGGCATGAGAGCCGAAGTGAGCGAACGCTTCTTCCTATCTGCACGGAATGGAACCATCTGAAGCTGCACGTCTTCAATCCGGAGCTTGGCCGCATTCTTCTTTTTGTTGGACAGCTCAACTTGTTTGATGGAGAATATCAAGTCCTCGGGTTGTCGGCCACCGGTTTCACCAGACAAAACCGTCGACATGTTCCATGCGACTTGAATATCTCGAAACTCCAATGAATAAAAGGCATTCAAGAAGACCTGCGTAGCATCATTGTCGTTCACGTGAATCTCTGGCGCTTCGAGGGGAGTCCTAGGTCTTTCTTGGTGGTAGTTGCGATGTCGCAGTCTGCGCAGACGTTGAACTTCGTGAGATAAATCCAGAGTCTTGATGCGTTCTTGCGTGTAGATAGCAATATCAACCACCAGCGCGGCCGTTTCGGCGAACAGCTCGACGTCTAACTTGTCGCTGGTGAGATGATACGCTCGTATCACCTCGCCATTCTCACGAACTGTGGAAGTCCCCTGGAGTTTGATGCCAGCTGACATGCCACCATAGGGTTTACTCTTCGATTGTTCTCGCCTGCGTAACTCAAGGCTGATTTGAGAAGCATCAATGCTGAACTCTGGGTATTCCATGGCATAACCACGGTCAAGGCCATTCTGAAGTCGCATCTGCATCATTCCTAGGCTGAAGATCATCTCTGCTGGGTACTTGTTGCTGTTCAGACCCGGTGCAATTGCATGTATCTCAAATCCAGCTACTGTGAGTCGAGATTTGTACAGGATCACCGTATCATCGGTAACCACTTCGGGTTCGAGCTTTGATGTCGGTAACGAAATAATCTCGCCAAGATGAGATTGGAGTACGTCCACATTTTGCTTGAGGTCTGAGATGAGATGGGAAACATCCGGTCCGGTCAGAACGCCGAGGAGACTGCGCACAGCACTAGCTTCTAAGCGAATGGGCTCAATTGTCATGTCAACTTCCACTTCTTTCTGCGCCGAGGAGATATTCGCCAGGATTCGGCCATTCGCGGGAGGAAGTTCCAGATTCGAAAGAGTCCGAGACCGGTCCCCTTCGCCAGAGGTGAAGATATGCGAGTTCTTCTTGATATCGAAATCGACCTCGATCTTGGAGGTTTCCGTGGGCAATACCGACATTCGGGCGACTTCGCCGGATATCAGGTAGGTCAAAGAAGGCAAAAGACTAAAGCTGAGCCGATAATCCTCAAGGAACATCGCCACGTTGATGTTGTTATGGGTAGGCTTATTCCGAGTCGCGGCTTGCTCAGGCTGGGGTTTTGGAAATTTGACATTGTCCACAAGATGTCGAATGTACCGGATTTCATCTTCTATCAGACGATCAGCGGTGTGGGCCAGGCTAACTGGATCCTCCTTCATGTCATATCGAAGCTTCCTACAAGAACCCGCAACCTTCCATTCATGCTTGCATTGTAGTTCATTATCATCAGACATCAACGACAAGTACAAGTAAGGGTCGGCAATTCTCGACAACATCAGAGTTCTGGACTGACTGAAGAGCTCTGAAGAGCAACCTTCAGCACTGAAAAGCAGGGCAATACCCTCATTTCTCGACTTCTTCGTGCTTTGAGAGGTGTGGACGAGAGATCCACGTAGACTTTTGGAGACAAGTGCCAGCTTCAAGTTAATAGCGTCGAGTGTGATGGATCCGAAATCGGTACCAAAAATGATGTGGAATTCGGTAAGCTTCTGCTCCCCACGGGTAGGAACAGATGCCGGAGGCGAAGAGTCCATCGTCACAGGGGACATGACCTTTATCAGTCCCTCGACAAGATCCACAACCTCCCATCTCAAGCGCAGAGCAGCGGAAGAAGAGTAAAACTGCAGCGTGGCAACCTTCTTATTCTTGATGTCGCCCTCTTGGATTGCTTTGTTTGGAATAAGCGACGCGACGGTCGAGAGATTCTCAACGATGAAATCGCTTTCTCTTGGACCGGGGTCCAAAGAGAATCGGAGTGTTTTCACAGTACATGACAGGGACATGGAAGGCTCCGGTTTCACCGGTTGTGGCTCAGAGCTTGGCCAAATCTTCCGCATAACGTAGCTTTTATCGACATGAGCTAGGTCCCATGCTCGCCATTGATCTAACCCACTCAGCACCGTTGACTGGGCATCAGATGGCACAGGAAGAATGTCGCCTTGACATGTTTGTTCGAGCTCTCGCTTATAGTACACCGGCAAATGCTGGTAGATATTACGAATGCGGGAAATTATTTTCCATGAATCGTGCTGCCGTAAGTGTTCTGGAGCGATACGAAGGACGTTGGAAATGCGCGTCAGGAAAATGGGATCCGTGATATCGCCAGCTGATTTTGTCAAGAAGTAGACGAGTAATCTTAGGCGTTGTGTGCTGGAAGTCGAAATGTGCTGGAAAGTCGTCGCCACAGAGTCAAACATGGTTGTAGCTCGACGAACGAGGAAGGCCAAACGCTCGACAGATTTTGCAGAGGTGACCGTGTTAAAATGTCGCATTTGAAGATGAGAACAGATGTTCGGCTCAGTTACTAGCCAAAAGTTCATATCACCCAGGTCGCAATTGAACATAGCCTTTTCTTCAAATGTATCAGTTTGTCTACCCTCGACCGAAATCCAGAAATGATCAGCCGCTGCATGAACGGTCATGCCCTGTTTAAGGCCTTCCAAAAGATCTCCTTTGTGTCGCTCGACCCTCTTTTGAAACTCGGCCCGAAGGTTGTGCACCGAAATCGTGTACTCGTCACGAAACTCAACATGTCTCTGATCTGGACACCCTGATAGATCAAGGAGGCGAAACTGAATTGTTGGGACTCGAACAGCAATAGATGTTGACTTCTTTGGTTGGCTCATAGCCTTATCATAGCCAACAATGTCAGATATGACATCTTTCTGAAGAGAATCGATGATCTGGATTGGATGTTTCGGTTCGAGTCCGTCTATCAATGAAGCCAGACTGTGAAGGAATGTGGGGTTGCAGAAGCCTCTGATTCCAAGGGGGAGATCGACAGCAAGATTGTTATATGTTGTTTGGCCGTCCTCAAACGTCAGAAACATTGCTTTGTTGCCTGTTCCAATATCAGTATTTTCGGGCACATTCTCCTTGTCGAGTGACGATGGAAGCTCTGTTCTATCCAAAGAGAGCTTCCAGTAAGAAAAATGGGGTATGATCCAAGGATTGGCATCTCGAACAGCCGTTGGGGAATATGCACTGTCCTTGGCCTTGCTCAGTTGTACGGTGGACCAGCTAGCATCCCGAGAAGTTGGAACATGTCTTCGCTTCAGCTCGGATCTTGAAGAAGATCGGGATACGTTCTTTGGGGAAGCTTTGGCACTGCGGAGGCTTGATGTCTCAGAATGCACCAGGAAGCTCCTGGAGCTTGCAGCTGCACCTGTTGCTGGGAACCCACGATAAGAAGCAATCATCGATCCGTATCTCTTGTTTATAGGCTCCGGCATAGAGGGTATGGGCATCGTCGGAGGGAAAATCGTATCATCGGCGTGTGGCAGTGATGAAGTTGGAGCAAGTTCTTCCCAGTCAAATAGAAGCCATTGAGCTCGATGGGTTCGTTGGTCATGGACTTTGATGTGCTCCTGTTGCAAGCGCCGACTCTCCGTTATATCCCGCTTGCGAATCGCCATCTTGAGACGAATTGCCATCTCAATTAGACCCAGAGGAGAGATGGTCTTATCGGCAGATCGTAAAGCAAGGGGAACTAATTGACGCTCCACAGCAGCAATGTTGATATTTGGGGCTACGAAGCTCAACCGTTTCGAAAACTTCGAGTTTGCCCAGTCATTGAATTTGATGGACAAAGGCTGAGAATCAAGAACAACAGCGATATCGTCAAGCAGCACAGTGATATGGATGGATGCAATGTTCGCTCTCAGGAAGGTGACATCGAAGAGAACCGGGGGAAAGAGTGGGTGTAGCGTATTCTCTTCGTTGTCGAATGAAAAATCGAAGCTTTTGAGACCAGACGCCAGGCATGCGATGAATTCTGTGGAGCATTCACCCAAGACTTTACCAACGTCAAAGTCCCAGTTGCAAACGTAAGTCGGCTCCGCGGGGGGGAGTCCGAACAAGCGATGGCCATACGCCGAAATCCCATCAATGAACAGCTGGGTACCAGAGATGACAGAGGAGCCATCAGCCTGGTGAGATTGCAAATCTAGCTTGAGCGGACTGATCGAAAGCTGCATATCCATGTAGTAGTTTGTAAACCTTAAATCAACCTCGAGAGATGCAGCACGGATGCGAGAGCATCTTGAATTGTCATAAATGCTTTCAGGCAGCAGAGCACATGGACTACCAACGGTGACATGGACCAGCACATCCATATCGTTGGATTTTCGATTAGGATTGATGCCCGTGGGATTGGAAGGTTGCGCGTCGGCATAGGCCAGTTCTTGATATTCCTCCAGAGTCTTGAAGTGCATCTCATCGCCGAAATAATTCTCTCTGACGGCCATGAAGCTCTTGATCAGAAATCCATAGAGATAAAGCCGCGGTGAGACCCCGTCGATGTTGAGAACCAATGTATCTATCAGTTCTGATGATGTGGTCGAGAAGTAGTTGTAGGATCCATCGATGAAAAGACGTTCCAGCGTTGCCATAGACTTCCCAGGCAGAAAAGCGTGTAGCGTATCCCAGGGAGGAATGAGGTAGTCGACGCCTCCATCCTCGAGGGCAACTTTGAACTCGACGGCATTTTGCTCGGGCTGGTATTTGTTCAGAGGTATCATGACGTTTGAATTCAAATTCTTGCCCTTGATGACAATGAATCGATTGTCCCCCAAATCAGAAGGATTGCTGATTATGTTACGGTCGTTCACATTGATGAAGAGCTGCAGGTTTGTAAAGATAAGATCAATGTCATATATGAATGGCACAAAGGTGTGGTAGTCAGATGGAGGTCCCGAGGCCCAGTCGCTGACAAGATCTGTCAACAGGAAGATGTGATCCCGCAGAATAAATAACTCCAAATCTTGGCTCTCAACAGTGAACCGCCACGTTCGTAGACTGTTCCAAATGAGAGGGTTGGATAAGTCACAAGTTACCAAATGGCGAGGACATTGCCATAGCAAACCATGATTCACGCTGGAAGACATTCTCGACTCGCGAAGATCCAGCGAAAGCTCATTGCGGAATCCATTCTTTGAGGCCACCATATCCATGGTGTAATTGACTGTAGAATCAGGGCCAACGCGAAGAGAGAGCCATCCGAAAGGCCGAATATCGGGGCCAATGTGACCCTTCTCGCCCTCCTTTGGACGGGGCTTCCTTCTCTCGTTTGGCTTCTTGGCTTTGGAAGCTCCTCGGATGGCATCTGCTCGGCCCTTCCACATCCAATCCTTGGAAGGCTCTCGGGTCGGAAGGCGAAGAGTGAGCTCCTCCATGATTTCCATCCGCAACCTGAAGAGAGTGCTTTGTCGCAGGACGCCCGGGGTCAATTTTTCAGCCGGTTCAGAGCTTCGACAGAAGTTCGGAAAAAACACATTTTGCAAGCCGACGCGTTCCCTGTCCGCCCAAGGCCCATAATTGATGGTACCTCCATGGATCTTGAGATCAATTCCCCATTCCGGAGGAAGAGCATTAATGATGTTTGCTTCTGTCTGCTGGTCTGCACGGTCAGAACTCAGGGGGTCGGGCCCAACACGCCCCGGGATGTCCCAGAAATATGTCAGATCCAATCCAGTACTTTCGAGAATTGTCGAGAATCGACCATATTCAACTGAGTTCCATTTTTCGTGGTCATCGTCACTCTCTTCATCCAGATATCGAGACAAGCCGACCCATCGAACATCCGGGAATTCAGCTTGGCTTCGTGGCATGCTTTCGTTTTGTCTGATACTGGCGTGGAATGATTCCACTGACGTTTGGAAATACGGGACCAGCTCACGGATGCTATGCCATATTTTCCGTTTCTGGAGCTTATAGCTGAAGGGATGCTCCCTTCTACGCTTCGTAGAGGGTTCCTCATCTTTTACTGCGCTGAGGGTCTTGGCAGTCGCAACTTGGCCTTGTTTGAAGTCTGGATTTGGTCGCATCTGAACTACCGGGTGGTCGAATTTGAAGGTAAAAAGTTGCCGGTACAGGTCCAATGGACCTGCCTTGCACGCGGCAATTGTGCCCGCTGCGTTATCAAAAGTCGTGGTGAGGACGGATCGAGTGTTTTCATTCCCCATCACGATGGCCCCCTTCCTGCAAACCAACTTGACTGGAAGCAGCTGAAGCAGATTGGACACAGGTTCTGACAGTTCCGAGTCGCGAATTTCTGTCTTGCGGGGGTCGAGATGCTGCTCTTTGCCCATGGTGTCCGTCGACTTCACAGCATCTCCCGACCTGACATCAAATGTACTACCGGTGCGTTGGTGCTCCGGTTGAGCCTCCAGCGGAGACTGAAGGGACTCATCATCTTCGGGTAAGCTTCCATCCTTGTAACCGAAGCCGGCAAGAATACTGTCATATGCTGGAGTTCGGTTGTATATGAACCATTCAAGGCCGTAAATCGTGATGGAGACCCGGCATGGGAGTTCAATCGTTTTTTTGACACCGCCTTGCTCCCCAATGCTCTCGTCCGAATGGTCGCCAGGGACAGCTTCGCTCTGGTCCTTTTCGGAGGCATTTGGACCCTTACTCTTGTGTCCTGCACGTGAAAGGTCCGTCCGCTCGACTTTGCGCTTCCAATACCTCCATGTTATGAATCCTCCGTGGATGAAGATTGTCTCATTCACGCCATGATAACGGATCCCCTTGAAAAATATCCGGCCGCCCAGGAGCGATATTTGCAGCGCCTTGATATCGACATAAACGCGGTAGTAGTGCCAGGTGTAAGATCGGATCCCATATGACAGGAGAGTCCCAAAAAGCCGGTTGAAGTAAAACAGGAAGAACAGAGCACTATTCCTTGTATTAGCAACGGTCCATGGCGGCCATCATGATGAGTACTTGCAGAATTAAGGAGACAATCAGTTCCAGCAGGAAAAACCTGGACAGATCAGCATTGTAGGACAAAAAAGAACGGTCGTGGCAGCGACAAACCAATTGAAGCTTGGATCGGGCGTCAAGTACGAAGCTGTCAAGCTGGTACTGGCCATTTCTCCAAGAAACCGCCAGACGGCGTGAGCATCGTCTCAGCGAGACAGAGCGACTCGTAATCGACGAGTCCAAGGTGCACGCGCGGTCATTCGGGGGGTTTATTGTTGAAGGCAGTCGCGAAATGCGGGTGTGGAAAGCATCGGGCGGTGTCACGAGAAGATCGTCATCGGGGCCGCGCCTCCTCCCTGCAACTTTTCTAAGCTTGTTGACAAGCTCCCCGCTCACGTTCAGGCGGTCATGTTTTGCGCCTTTTCAGATGTTACGAAATGAGATTATGAAATAAGTACACTGACAGAAAGCGGCTTTTCTTCCTCATCCGCGCTCGTCATTGGCGACAATGTTCTCCGCAGCTATGACAGCACCTGTTGGCGGAGGTACAGGCTCGAGTCTGGCGCGAGCAATCATCATTACCTCTGGTGTCTCGGCTCTTGTTTCGTCGCTATTGTCTTTTGTGTGAGTTTTTTGGTTTCACTCTGCTCGGCTTTCATTTGGATCCTGCGCTGTAGCTGCCATCATGACCTCGTGAGCTAACATGTTGCTGGATTGATAGGTCCATATGGTTCCAAACGTACGAGCTTCAGTTCCGGACCCCCACCCTCTCTACAGTGGCTGATCAAGCTTTCATAGCAAAAACTATCGGAAACCTCTCCTCCAGCGATATGTCGTGCGCATACTGCTAATGTTAGTATTGGGTGGCAGCCTAGCGCCCTCAGGGGTCAAAGTACAGGATGAAGCTGATCAAGCCTAGGGTGCCGATTTATGCAGCATCATCATGGACGAGCATTGTATCGCTGAAAGCAGCTCAGTTCCTCGATCCAGTCCGTGACATCTACGAGGTATGCGATGCGTGATAAGCGGCTTCTCGAGTGGACTCGTGCTAACCTGGAGGGTCCTTGGGCTAGGCATTCACAATCTACACATTTTTCCAGCTTCTAATCAACTTCCTTGGAGGAGAGCGAGCTTTGATCATCATGGCTCATGGCCGTCCGCCGGTCTCGCATGCATGGCCGCTTAATCATGTCCTTCCAAAGCTTGACATCTCCGACCCGCACACGTTTCTTGCCGTAAAGCGCGGCATCCTTCAGTATGCTTGGCTGAAACCAGTTCTAGCTATCGCTTCTATCGTCATGAAGGCGACGGACACATATGAGGAGGGATATCTGGGTCTATCATCAGGCTACTTATGGACCGGCATTGTGTATAACGTCAGCGTCACCGTCAGCTTGTACTCCCTGGCTATGTTCTGGGTGTGTCTGCACAATGACCTCACGCCATTCCGCCCGGTTCCCAAATTTCTCTGTATCAAACTTATTATTTTTGCGTCGTACTGGCAAGGATTCTTCTTGTCAATCCTGCAGTGGTTGGGGGCTCTTGGCAGCGTCGCAGGATATACTCCCGATAATCTAGCTGCGGCAATACAGGATGCTCTCATCTGCTATGAGATGCCCATTTTTGCCGTCGCGCACTGGTATGCGTTCTCGTGGCATGACTATGCCGACCCTACCATCTCGGCTGCTCGGTTGCCGGTCAAATATGCACTTCGGGATGCGTTCGGGCCTCTCGATCTGATCGAAGACACCAAGATGACTGTTCGTGGTGAGAATTACGAGTACCGACTGTTTGACTCCGGCGATAATATCATCGCGCATGCGGAGTCCCATTCGCGGGTCAAGCGTGTCATGGACGGTATGAGATATGAACGTGGTGGCAAGGCAAAGTATTGGATTCCAAAGCCCGGAGAGGCCAGCAAAGCGGTCGAGGCCAGCATTCGGACGCCACTCTTAGCTGGCGGGGACAGCAGTCATCGCAGTCGAAGTGATAGGGGAAGTCGGACTTCAACTGAGCGATACCGGTCTTATAGTGAGATTGAAGTTACGTTGGACGACGAGGACGAGCAAATCTTCAACCAGGCTCGGGCTTTGGAGTTTGGAGACTGGAATGTATGTTGGAATGCGCTCACCTATGGGCGAGCGCGGTCTTTTTTTTTCTATGTTATCAATATAGGAGATCACTTGCTGACACTTCACAGTATCCGGTGATTACGGCCAATGAAGTTCCTCGGGATCAACGGCTCTCTACGCACAGGAGCTACCAGAATTCAGGCCGCGGAGGGGATGTGAAGAAGTCGCGTTCACACCGGAAACGCCGAGCGTCGGGCAGCGAAGACAGGCGAGATCATAATGCTAGTTCGAGAAAGTCAAGCAAGAGCTCCGGCCCACCTCGTCCCTTACAGAGCAACGCCAGCTCCACGAGCTCCCACCAGTCGCATCGCAGCCAGCTAGTTGACCTCGTGGTGGAAGACCATGAAGCCGAGGAAGAAGACCGCAATCAGACACAGCGAGAGCTTGGATCCGCTTGGGCGGGAGATGAAACCCGACACTACTCGTAAGTTTGAAATGACTACTGGCCAGCAGGAGTATTCCGTTTAACCCTGTCTTCATCTCCCAGAAGACCGACCGGACAGCCAATCGAGGAGGAAACTGAAGCCGAAGCTCCGATCAGGGAGGTTCCAGCCGAGCCTATTCATCAGGCGGAAGAGGAAGAAGACCGCTCCCCTTCACGGTGGGCCTACAGCGCATTGGATGAGGATAACGTTTGGGACAGATAGGGTTCTGCAGTATTATTTTTTTCTTTTTTCATGATTGGAACACGATAAGCATGGCCCCTTTGATCGGGATCTATTAGCGTTGTGTACAGTACTACAGTAGTTTGGGTTGCGGTTGGACGGAATATACAAGGACTACAAAGAACGAGAACGAGGTCTATTGCGTTGCCAGTTTGGAAACCCTCGGAAACCCTGCATGAAACGAAACCATGAACCTCCAGCTTCGTGACGATCATTCGCATCGCTCTCTCCCCTGGAAATCAAAACACGAGAGCCAAGAGCCAACGCAGAAGGCCGGTGTTCCTTTACGCGCCCAACTTCCCCCTCCTGCCCGCCAACTTGGCTATACTTAGCAAAGCTCTTTGTGATAAGCAAAAGGATGTGATAACTCCACTGGGGGCCGACGAATGAGACGAGGGAACCCACTCCGCTGAGAGCATCACCCCCCAGCGATCGCATGTGCTGGCCAGCCGTCGCGAGGATGGATTGCTTTCCTGAGCATAGCTCCGCATCCTTAGCGGCCGCCCGTCTGACTCCATGGATGACCCCTGGACGAGTCACGAAGCCCGTTCTGCACGGCTGGGCGAGAGGCTCCTCGTCCTGTCGGTGGTGGGGTCCATGCCATCCTGCCTGTCCTCGTGCGACGCTTTAATGGTCTCTGTTTGCTTTTCTGGCTCGTCCGGGTGATGGTTTGAGAAGCTTCCTTTCCTCTTCCCTTCTTCTCGTTTCTTTTCTACGTCGTTTTCTTCTTGTATCCCGCCTTCCGGGAAGGCGATGGATTAAACATTCGAAGCGCTGGCCGCCATGACGCTGGCTTTTGATCAAGCTAGCTCCCTAGTCACCGGCTTGGTACGGTCATGCTGGGAATGTTTGTCGGGCGTGGAGCCTCAAGGTCAACTGGGCCAGCGAGCCGATGGAAGAGGTATGCAATCGGCCTTGATGGTCGAACTACAACCAAGGTCTCGACTGATAACGTGGTCTATAGGAGTTGAACGAGAGATGCAGGTATGCCATAGCCAACCTCATCTCGTCCCTCCAATGAAGTTGGTTGTGTACGATGACCTTCCCAGTCCGGGTGTCCGTCATCAGTCTCGCAATTCCCTCTCGTCATGGCTTGGAGAAGGCCGGCACCTCGCCTCACGAGCATCTGGGAGAGCAAGTATCTCCCGGAAGAGACCAACTGCAGCACCGTTAAAGATTAGCGCTCCTTCAGACTTTCGCCGAGTGCAGTCATTCCAACTCGAGCCGTCGCCAACGAAATTTCAACCTCTCCAACTCAATATTTACCGATCTGGTCATCGGTTATCAGATCTTCCCTCCTTTGAAACCTTCGAGGTGGACCAGAGTAGCCAACGCAAGACGCTGGCCGTCCCACCACGTGTGCTTTCCCCCACTGGAATTCGATCTCGACGTTGCCAGTCCAGCGAGGCTCGCTTCTCCGTGTCTCGCAAGCCAGTCGGTTCTGCAAATCGCCGGTCGCTTGCGAATCTGGAAGGGTCTATTGAACCGCCTCGGCCGGTTCCTGTTGCAAGTGCTCTAATTCCACATTTCTGTACCGTCATCCCAGTCGAGCCTCCTCTACCAGAAGAGCCGATGCCCACAGCTGCTTTTATACCCACTATTCCTGCGGTTCTTGTCATTCCTACCATTCCTACACATGCCAGATCAGGATCTGCGGACAGCAACATCACCCGAGACACCGAGCTGTCCATACTTGTTAGCAACGAGGGATCGGGAGACGACACTGCTCAAACTCCTACGGCTTCGAGATATGGTGATGAGACCACGGACGAACCATCTTTCAAGGATTCACCGTCCTCGGCCAGCTCGCGCACGATGCCATCTCGAATCTCCTCCTTGCGTCGTCCTTCTACAGCTGAGAACCGAAAGACTATCGCCTCGGTACCAATTCCCTGTCGTGTCACTCAATGGATTTTCCCCAGCAAGCCATCTGGACCCCAGCAAGTCTCACTTGCCGGTGAGAATGGGTTTGACTGGGAAAGAACCCGAACTTTGAGCGGTACCACCGTCAACTCAACCATCACAACTATCACGGGTGGTGCGATGGCCCGACGGCCTAATGCGTCGATCTCGAGCACTTTCACCAACGGGAGTACTCCTCGAACTTCTCTGCTAGGCCCATCTTCTAATGCGGAGAAAGATCTTGAATCTGACTTTGGTCATCCGAATACCTTCGAAAGCCGGAGACAACATTATCAATATCCTTCCCCTCTCTCTAATAATGTACCTGACTATCGCGGTTCTGCTATTGGTGTGGCTTTCTAGTTTTTCTTGCTGATCCACCAGCTATGCAGGTTTTGGTGGTCATTTGAACTGTTTCTTTTCATTCTTTCCACTCTGTTTTTCGCTGGAATACCCCTCGGCTGGATATTGCTTGTTTATTTTCGCCTGATTTGAGTGTTGGTGCAGGATGTAATATGTCTAGCTCCTATAGGTAGCATGCTGGATGATAGGCTTCGATTTAACAACGAAAGGATGAACAATTATTGATCTAGGTAGTACTCCATACTACGTTCGCTCTCGTATTTCCGACGTCTCCCTAGAACATGTTGTGTAGTTCCTAGCAAGTACTCTCTGTCTGGATCGGCGTTGTTCGTGGATTTGTTGTAGGGCTTGGTGCCCATTTACATTATCTCTCTCGGCGGTCTCAGCGCATAATTGGTGGTGTTGCCTAATGGTGACTGAGGTTACCTTTCTAGTTGACGTTCAATATAATCAAGTTCAGTTTTCGAGGGCATTTCCACGAGGGAGTACCTACAAGGTGCTTCACGCAGTCATCGAAGCGGTCCTCTAGATACAATGGAAATATATATATTGAAATACAGTCTCAGAGGTGAAAATCTTCAGATCATATTGAGAGCCAGGGTGGCGTACTATATCCATAGGATTGAAAAAAGACAATGTCACAATATGTTGAGCAGAGTATGTGCAGTGAGGGTATCTTGTCAAAAGCGGGAGATCTGCACACGGGAATCAAGTCAAAACGAGGGGAGTCTCTCGTAAGAATGCAATAATGTACAAGGCAGAATAGGTACATCTGAGCTCGCAGCCGTAGCCCAGATATTTGAAACAAAAAGCAAAACTATTCCGAGGATACGATGTGTACCCCATCCGGACCGACTTCACTGGTTGACGGAGTCTTGCGATGACCATTCTGCATGCCCAGGATCTGCCATGCCCGGCCCATCATACCATGACCCAAGCCCTGTGGGAATTCAACGGAGGCCTTATGAGCATGTTTAGGCATACGATCGCGAAGGGCTCGCTCCCTCTTGGCAGCGGCAAGTCGGTCCTGTTCGCGCTCGTGGTGAACGATCTCGTTGCGCCATTCAGACCAGTGCTCGTAGTGTTCACGCTGCTGAAGAACCTGATAGCGGAGACGTGACTTCGACGGGCGCCATGTGGAACGAGTGGTGGAACCCTCATCACCGGTGGCTGATACCATGCTGGATTTTAGATCGCACACCCGAGAGTCCTTTGTAAGCTTTAGGAGGTGAGTGAGAACATCTCGGCTTTCAAGGGCAGTGCGCTGGATCTTCTCCTGCTCTGGTGTGAGGGCAGCCCGAGTGAGGGGTGCATCTAACCACGCGTGCATGTCGGTCGTCCGTTGCACCGAGTAAGGGTCGAGAAGATTCGCGCGACGATTCTCCTCACGCAGGAAACGCACAGCTGCTTGGAGACTTTGAACTTCGGCACGAAGGCTCTCGTTCTCTTGCATCGCGGCCAGCGAAGCCTCATTGTCAATAACGATGCCACCGCCGGGAGTTGAGACACCTGCAGTTCCCGAGATGCGCTTCATTCTTTCGATGCGAGCTTTGAATTCATCGCGTTCAGCCTCGGCAGTTTGAAGCTCTTGCTTCTGCATGTCGACGGTTTTCTCGAGTTCCAAGCTCACTGCTTGGATCTCTTCGATCTTGGTTTCAAGATCCTTCACCATGGCAGCCTTCTTACCCGCCTCGCGCATGCGCGATTCAAGAAGTTCAATCTTAATGCTTTGTTCTTCGAGGGTGTTGTCTTTCACGCCGAGAGCGGTTGAGACCTCGTGAACTTCATTCTTCAGGCGACGAATCTCCTCGTCAGCATCTGGCGAAATTGTCTTGTTGGACTTGAGTTCCTCCGATCGGGCGACCCAGGGGAAAGGTCCCTTTTCGAACTCAGCTGTACGGGAGAGATCCCCTGAGATGGAGTCAAGCTCTTCTATTTGGGCACCCATCTCGCGCAGCCTATTAACGAGCAACGAAATCGGATCACCAGATTCAACGGGGCCTTCAGAAGGTTGTGTGAAGGCTGCCGCTGCCTGGGACATGCTATTCAAAAGCTCTGCCATAGAGTAAGGCTCAGTACGGCCCTCGTCACTGGTGGCAGCAATGACAGTCTCGCACATTTTGCGAGCAAGCTCCGATAGCTGCTTTGTCGAAGTTTCCATTTTCTTGAATGGCTCATCAGCCTCCTTGGACAGCGCGAGAGACCTAGTGCGCAGGTCTTCAAGCGAGCGATAGACCTTGCCCATGGCAACCTTGAATCCACGGGCCTGCGACACAAAAGAGTCGAATTGCTTCAGTGCGAAAGATTCTTCCTCGCTGGGCTCATGACCCTCTGCCGGGGTCGGAAGTTTCGACTGTACCAAAGATCTTAATCGAGCAATGACCGCTGCCGCATGGTCAAGATACGATTGAGACAGACTTGCGCACATGCACAATTCTTCCGCAAACATCTCTGGGGTGGAGGGAAGAAGAGTTTCCGTCAAGTGTGAAAGTAGGGCAATTGAGCGCTGCAGCTCGACTGCAAATTTTTTCGAGTTCATTTCATTCTTCTTGAGGTTTTCGATCCAGAAATTCAAGGTACGCTCGACAGGTTCCATTTCGAATAGAGCAACCTTGATCTTGCCAAATTCTTCCGGTGAACAAGCATTGATATAATTTACGAAGCGATCGCACACAGTCGATATCCACAGGAGATGCTCAGATACCTCGTGTGCGTGCATCATCTCGTCTTGGGTGGAGATGGATGATTGCTCAGCAATCCGCTCGCGGATGCTTTGATTCACAACGTGGGCCTTGAAGCTGACACGCTTAAAGCGAAGAAGAGCAAGTACCGAGTTTCGCTCGCCTTCGTAGTATTCGGGAAGGTAGAGCGTAACAATTGCCAGGTGCTGGGCCGCTTCTTCAGCATCCATGCGATTGAGTTCAACATCGATTGATTTTGTCTGCGCCTTTGACACGGATGCCTGGAGCTTCATATTCAAATCCATCATGGCTCGTGACCGGGTGGTCAAGTCAGTGGCCTCTGCTTCGGTGATCTGTTGAGATGCCCGCATGTCTTCCAGATCGGCTTGCAGATTCGTAACTAGTTCTCTGAAGCGAGACAGTGTGTACTCCAGGTCCTCAATCACCTCATCCTGCTGGGAAATTTTGCGAAGCTGCTCCGTGAAAAGGGTATCACGATAGTCAATTTCGTCCTGAAGTTGCTTTTCAGTCTCGATATGTGTGGACTCCAGCTCATCGCTGATCTCTCTCAACGCTTCCAGGTCATCGATGGCAGCCTTGAGCTCATTGATCTCTTCCTGGTAACGCATGTTCTTATCGGCTAGTTCTTCGATCATCTCCTCGGCTCCTAATGCAGTCTCCAGTTGTTGCTTGAGATCGTCAACGTTAGTCTCTGCGACCAGAAGCTTTTCCTTTGTGGCTTCGTAGTCAGCCTTGACGGCAGCATATTCTTCCAGGTCTTCTTCAAGTTCCTTGATCTGGTCCTTGAGGTCCGATTCCTGCTGCTGCGTCATGTCCCGGAGCCGTATCAGAGCATCCCGAAGGCGTTGGTTGGCCTTTTCCATCTGCAACCATCCTTGGCTGGATCTTTCTTCCGGACTCGTAACCTGGCCAAATTCCTCATTTTCCTCTCGCAATACCTCAACCTCCAGTTGAAGCTCTTCCAGTTTTGATCGAATCGTCTCACATTCGTGCCTGTAAGCGTCGGCAGTTTCTTCTGCCATTTCTCGATCCAGGGTGGCCATTTCCATGAGAGATTCATGCTCAGCTTCCATCTTCTCCAAATGTTCAAGACGACCTTGGGTTTCTTTCAAACTTTTGCGCAGCTCCGTGATTTCCATCTGCTGCGGCTGGTACTTTGCCTGGAGCTTCTGGATGATCGATTCGAACTTGTCGCGCTCCGTCTGTAACTGTTCTAGCATTTTCAGCTTCTCACGGTCGTCGGCTCGTTTCTTTTCCATGACTCGGAGCCTGGTCTGGAGTTCCTCTAGCTCTCGAGCAGTAGCAGCAGCATTTTGTGTCTGGCGGCTCGTAGCCGGCGTAGCTCCTAGTCGAGATGCCGTAGAGCGGGTAGCTGTCAAAGACTGCCTTGACGCCCTGGGCGCAGGCGCAGCTGCTGGCGCGGGCGTTGGAGCGGCTTCTTCATTTCGAGGGCTTCCTCCTTCGTTGTCCAGAGACTCTGCGTCGGTAGGTTCTTCTGATAATCCGCTTGTTCCCGTCTCGCCAGCGTCCGAGGCCTTTGCGGAAGCAACTTGTCGCAACGAAGGGCGCTTGGATAGACCGGCGGCCGGAACGGTACTCTGCGATCCTGGTCGTGAAGTCCTCGTCGGCCCAGAGACAGATGGTCGTGACGCCCTTGAGGTGGCTGGTTGGGTTCCAGGTTGGCTCATTGAAGGTCTCGCCGTAGAAGCTAATCTCGGGCGATTCGGTGCGACTGTGGAGGTACGCGGAGCGCCGCCGATCGACGAACGGTTAGAGGGCGCTGTTGAAGAGGATAATTGTTTTGTAGGAGACTTCGTGGGAGACTAAAATACAGAAGGTCATTGGGTGAGTCGCGCAGTTGAAACAATGCAGTAGCTCAAGACAAAGGAAAGGGAACATACCCTCAGCGATGGTCTAGAAGCCACCTTTGGCGCGGGCGTCGGAGTTCCAGTTGCATTTGTGCTCTGCCGCTTGATCGTTGTCGGGGGTACTGCGCCAGACTTTCGTACGCCGGCAGCAATCCCTGCCTGGGATTGTCTGCCGGTAGTCGCATTGGAACCGGGTCTGGCTGTTTGTTTACTCTCCCGCGATGGTTGTTGAAGCACCGCACCAATAGCCGTTGGACGAATGAACATGCCAAAACCTGGCTCACATTGGAAATAACGCTCTCCTTGAACCTCGCCGTCATTCTTGCCAGTGGCATCGGCTAATTCAACACCAATCCACTCTCCACTCGCGAAGTGGGTGAGACCGATGAAACGAACAGTAGCTTGCCGTCCGTCGGTCAACGTAATCACCGTGCCGGATGAAATCTCTTGACCAGCCATCGTGAGATGCAGGGCCAATGTCCCACGACTAGCACTTTCAAGATGGGCCGATGGTGGCTGTTGGTGGGTGATGGCAGACGATCGGGAGTGAAGCAACTAAGGAGGTCCGCCGCAACACGCGCCGCCGATCGTGAAGAGCCTAAGGCACCAAATTCGACTGAACGCGGTGCGATCAGAACTATAAATCATGAACACACACTCTGCTCTCATACTGTAACAGAGAGATTACATAGATGAATATTACTTGAGTCTTTGTAATGAGTAATCCTCTATATTTTTCCGTTATAACAAGTCTTTGGAAGGGTAAAATAGTCGTCAATTATATACTCGTAGCGCCCGTGAATCTAAAGTTGCTCCCAAAGTCTCTATGGAAAATGAATCTTGCTGCACGCATCATGTCGTATATACTCTAAGCAGCATCAGCCTCTGGGTTCTTGAAGACATCCGGGAAATGCGCTGGCAGCTCGTGCAGACTTGAGACCGAGTATTTCGAAGCCGGGATACGGGGAGTAGGGGTCCCGGGTTCCACCAAGTGAATGGTAGTCCAGCCTCGAGCTTCAGCATGTCTGCAATTGAGGTGAGAGTCATCTGTACAGTCGACGTGGTCAGCATGCGAACAATGACACCGCTCTCGACATGTTCGGAGCCACGGCGAGCGGCGTAGTAATCCAGCGACTTACCAACAAAATAGCAAGACTCGGTGCTGGGAGCACCGGCTTCTTTCTCCGCCTTTGCATACATTTCTTGGCTGGGCTTGCAAATCAATGGTAACTGGCCGTAGTCGCAGTAGGTGATCCCTTCAAATAGATCCTCCACTCCTAGTAACTTGACGACCCGTTTCCCGTGGCTCACATAGGCGTTCGTAAGTAGCCAAGGCTTCACCTTGGTTGTATCCAGCCTCTCCAGTAGCTTGCGCAGTTTGGGGTCAGGCTTCAAGATAGCATCGAGGGGAAGAGCATCATCGACTTCGTAGTTGAACTCGAGCGGGTCGATCTTGTGGTGGCGGGTGAGGCCCTCAATTGCAAGACCATACTCCTTGTAGTACTTCTGGTGGAGCATGTGCGCATCCTCCGTGCTGAGGTCGAGGTGCTTGACGAAAAACTTGTCTAATGGCAGAGAGCATGGCGTTAGTCGCATAGCGCGCGGCAGGATAAAAGAACAGAGCACCGACTTATCAGTTTTTGCATCTCATCATGAATATTACATCCTGCTCCCGCCGGTCAGTATTGCATTGGTTGATCTGGTGGGATATTGGCCTCGAACCTTTCGAATATAGCTGCGATAAGATTCATTCTTAGTATGACCAATCAACTCAAGACTCGAGACCAATAGTCCGACTTACACAATTGTCAATGTCAAAGAAGAACACGGGCCGTGAGTCAGTGACTCCGTTTGCGCCGTTGCTAATCGCCATTGTATAATTCCGACAGGCGCCCTGGAAGAATGCTGATCGACTCGTAGACCGAGGAAGGATAGTAGAGCGAGATAACAGGCCACCGGAGAAGCCAGAGAAAGCACGAAGCATGGAGGAGCACGAATTGCAGGCCGTAGGAAAGAGCGAGGGGGGGAGAGAGAGGGCGAATGTCATAAACGCGCGCGAATGAATCACACCCACGTTTCCCCGTGATTGGCGCCGTCCAAGTCCCGCCAAGCGCGGACGGACTCCCGAACGGTCGACCCAATGGCCTTACCTAATCGTCACTAGCGGCGCGCGGGAAAGCAGAAAAGCGGATCGTCACAAGCTCGCCAACTTTTTTCTCCTTTCGATCTTGCCACACCCTCACCCATAGTTCAGAGCTTGGGAGTTTCTAGATTCACACTGCTCAATCTATCAGGGTGATATGCCAAGGAGATTTGCTTTGTAGCCACCATACCCTATCCCAGGGCAGCTATTCCAAGCTTGATCTGTTCCCTTGATCCTCGAATCCATTATCCTACACACTCTCCCTTTGGGATCATGGCAACTGCTCATGGATCTACCACTCACCTTCCAACAGGGCCGATGCCTGCCACGGCACCAATAAGTGCAGATGAATTGAAAGAATATGAGCGCATTTTGAAAATCAGCGATGAGATTTTCGCTGGCTCTCACCCACGTCTCAAGGTTCCCCAGCAGTTTGTACGCAAACCTGCGGCGAGGAGTAGCCAAAATGGCCCTTCAGCCCAACAGGTAATGAAAAGCAGACCTGCCGGGATTCCTGCAGACAACGTACCACTAGCCAACATGGCACAGCGCCCCCAAAGCTCACAGGCTTCTTCCGCAACAGGCAATGCGCCGGCGACATCGGTTCTAAACGCTGCAGCACCCGCCTTTCGAATGGCATCCAAACCCACCTCGGAAATTGATCCTATCTTTTTGACCAAGTCGGATGATCTCGTTCGGGCAGAAATACAGTTGCAACGACAAAGGGTGGAAAGGACACTACGGGATCAGTTGGAGCAGAAGAAGCATGACTCGAAACAGAAACCTGCGATCCAAGACACAAAACCGGACTTTGATGTCTCGGATGTTTTAGATCGTGCACTCGAGATCGTGCGACCTGTCTCACTAAGTGATCCCTCCGAAGTCATTGGGCCAAACGACTCTTTTGATGAAAACTCCTTCTACTCCAGTAGAGCACCTGACTCGCCTCCTCAGCCCGCTGGGGGCCTCCGAAAGCCCTCTCCAGTGGCTCCGGCTCAGCCCGTGGGCGCTGTCCCACAGGTCCCGGTAGATCATTATGCAGATGAGTTGCAACGACTAGAAGCTCTAAACCGACCGGGATCTGATCAGGAAATGCATGATGCTTACCCTGTTGTTGACCAGGGCGCCCCTAATCATCCAAAGCCAACATCCTCTGTTCAACCCAAAGTCCCCGGTCATCTCCATGAGCTGGAGGGAACGGATGCACTCGAGGAACCGGAATACTCTCCACCAGCACCAGAGGCACCCCTAACTGATCCACGAGACTACGAGCGCATTGCAATCGGTGATGATCGAGGCAGATACACCCACCAAATACCGGGTATGCATGGCGTGATTTCACCTGCGAACAATGTGAAGGTAGTTCGGAATCATATCACTTCCCCAGCTGCCCCTCGGCCGTCGCGAGTGTCGCCTTTGGCGACTGCCAAAGTCCCCTCGGCTCAACAGCTTCGGGGCGGACGGGCCGAGCGCAGATCTGAACAGGTGTACTCGGACCCTGACTCTGGTCGTGCTAGCCCCAGTGGCCCAGCCCCTCAAATCATGTCCCGCAAGCGAAGAAAGTTACATGGGAAAGAAGACACCCGCCTGGTCTCTCACAAAACTCAAACTGCTGGACCCTCCGATGCATACATTAAAGAAGAACCGGTCTCACCACCGCCTTTTGCTGATGATCCGGCTGTGATGCCGAGTCGGCAACCTCAAGAACGGCCGGTGTATATTGACATTGAGTCACCACAATACACCCCCGTGGTCGAGAGGCATGAGTCTATGCGGGGCCCCGTCTACGAGTCGAATCCTTATCATGAGATTCCCGCCGAGCAAAGAACACACCGGGAATTGTCTCGTCTGGGTGACCGGCGAGTGGTTCGTGACGACACCGACCTGCGACGTGTCGCTACGATGCAGTATGCCAGACCACCTGAATATCATCGTGGCTATGCCGAGGCCGATCCCCGTGGTGTCCGAGCTGCATCTTATGCAGTTGTGGAAAGGTTGCCTCAAGAGCGATCTAGATACTATGAGGAAGTTCCCTCTTCATATGGACCTCGTTACGTCACCGTGGATGATGATCATCGGCCTGCATATCAAGATCCATATTACGAAGAGCACCCACCGGTACGCGTCATGGCTGCACCCGAGCGCCGCTATGTGGTTGATGAACACGGTAATCGCTTCGAGATGGTCCCAGCCCCTAGGATGCAGCCTATGGCGCCGCCTCCGAGACCAATGTCACGAGCCCCAAAGGCCGATGTATACGGTGATCACGTTTCCGTTCGTACAGCCAGTGTTCGAGCCGCTTCCGTCGTACAGGATCCCTACGGTGACCACAGATACGTGCAGGAGATGCCTCCACCCCCGCCAACATACAGAAGAGTGATTTCGGACTATGCTCGCCCGGGCGCCGGAGAACGTAGAGCGTACGCAACACCCTTGGAAAATCACGACCCATACGCTCCGAATGAAAGCGTGCAACTTGCCGAATACGTTCCTCGTCGACCGCCATACGTAGAGGAGCATGCCCCACCTCTAGACAGAGTCATTCGCACTACAAGTGTACGGCCACAACAGGTTCGATACGAAGAGCCCATGGAAGTTGTCCAGCGAGTCAACAGTGTTCGTCCCGGCGGACCTAGTCGCGAAGTGAGCGTCTTTGTGGAGGATCGGCAACGGGCCGAGTACGTTGAACGACCCTACTACGTACGGGAGCAACGATATTACGAAGGTGATGATGGAAATCGCATGGCGTTGGATGGGCCCGCGGATCCGGTTCGACATGCCCAGTCGCGCTACTAACAGGCGTATATTTTCTTTTTGGATTTAATGGCTTAGCATTTGGTGCATTTCATTCCGTTAGCCTTTTCACTTTTCCTAATTCATTATAGTATCATGGCGTGGTGACTCGATGATCGTATTGAGCGATTTGTTCTTACTAGAGATACCCAGGGTAAACGGCGGTGCGAATCGATTACTTACTCGAGCATTTAGGTCGTTGTTTATAATACTTCCGCAATTTCCATACTATCAACTCATTCATACATATACCCTTGATCTAAGCCCAAGTCTAGCATGATGACCGCCCTTGAAGATTATCTCACGGTCACACTCCTGGTCAAAGAGTTGTCATAAATGTCGTAATTCGTGCCCACGATCTTATCTTTCCCTCAATCACAACCAATATTTCGTACGCGTTCGAGACCCGTGGTCTGGTCGTCTATATCGTTGAGCTTATTGACACGTATCAGCACTGCTCCACCGGGACACCATGACAAAATACACCAGCGTCTTCTCGTCCAATAGCTCGCGTCAGGCTACATGTTTCTCGTCACTTGTGGTCACGAGTTGGATTGTGTCATCATTTGCGAGTGCTGCCCATTGATGGGAGGAGCGTTCTGGAATGAAAATGGAGAGATAATACAGTCACTAACCTTCAGGGCTGATAATTGGGTCGTTTCCTCGGGTACCCCAATGATCTCACGTTATCTGTATCAAAGGCGGGAAAGCCTGGGTCATCCATGAGGTTAGTAGCTTACAGGGCCCGGTGGTTCATTTTGAAGCTCTCTTGAATGATCGAGGGTTAGTCGGTCTTTGATGCTCAACCAGGGTATGCTTCAGCTGCGTTATTGTGCTCGTCGAGGACCTCTCTTTCGTCCACTCTCATCAGATCGACACCCGCTACGGTACGCAGACTCAGCAGAAAGATCTCTCGTAGCATGGGCGAGAGACAAGGATTGGAGCTCTCGGATGAACAGTTAGGGTGTTCTCGCCCACCTAGGGGTAGGGCAACCTGGGAGAGCACCCATTGAATATAAGGAAGCATTGGAGATCAAATTCGTGGATGGTAAAGTGCAATCCCAGGACAGCAATAAATCATGCGAGACGAGAACGATGGATGAAGAATGTGTCTGGACTGCGAGAAAGGGGAAGGAGAAGGAAAAGAAGGGGGAGAAGGAAGTCAGTGCCTGGCCAGCTGCGGGGTCGCCAAAACAAGCGAAGGCGGAAAAAGCAAAGCAAATCAACAAAGGGACCTTTCCATAATGCCCTGGGGACTCGTCTCTTTGATGATACAAATTCAACACATGTGCAATACGATCGAGATGGTTAGAGATACATCACCAGGGACTCATAATGATAGGTCTATTTTATTAAACTACTCCCTACTAACTACTCCGCCCAGCTGAGGGCCATTCATAGGCGGCAACGGGGCTGAGTGTCCACAGCACAGCCCCACCACTACCATCGATCTCTACTGTATCACTCAAGATCTCAATTTGCAGCTTACTATTCATTTGCAACTAATCCACCATGTCCGGACTGGAGGTCGTTGGGATCGCAGCCAGTATTATCCAAATCGCAGATCTGGGCACCAAGTTATCTGTCAAGTTATTCTCCTTCTACCGCCAGATCCAAAATGCCAATCAGGCCATTCAGCATCTCTCAAGCGACATCGCTTTGACATGTGCCATTCTGCGAGAACTTGGAGACAGTCTCAAGCAAGATGAAACGTCCAAACTATGCTCGCCCGAAGCCCATCTTACCGCGCGGCAGATGCTCAAGCAGTGCGAACAAGTCTTACGGCAAATACAAACTATGATCGATGAGTCTCATACTTCCGGCAAGTCTCGCTGGCAGCAAGCGACGAGCAAGATCCGCAATGTTTTGAATGAACCGGACATGAACCGTGTGAGGGAGAACCTCGAAAGGCTCAAGTCTACGATGCTCCTGCTCTTGAATGTAATTATGTTTGCTGGTCAAATACGACAGTGAGTGTCGATCCGAAGGTTTACGAGATAAAGATGATACTGACACCCTGGGCAGCAATCATATCCCTGAGATGTTAAATGAGCAACGTAATCTGATAGAAATACTGCTTAAAGAAAAGGCACATGTAAAGACCGCGCACGTCGAAACGATCGACTCGAACCCAACCATATGCCTGGCCAGCCTACCCCAGACAGCCAAGCCGGCGATTTCATTCCAGAAGGATGCTCTGACTGTTTCAGATCAAGAGTTGCAGGACTATAATTCACTCATCAGGGCTATGCTTCGCGAGATTGACGGCTGCAAATCCAAGCTCGAAATGAGTCGCCACTCGCGAATCCGGGACGGTGTGTTGAACGTCCACTCGAGCGAGATAGTCCATTTTCAGCGCAACTATGGATCGTCGGTCTTCCAGTATTTTGATGATTCCATATTTGACGACTCCAGTGTCTCCCAACCCGTGACCGCGGGCAATCTTGATATATCTCCTGACCCGTATGTATTGAATGTTGAATGAGCCGCTGCAATTATCAAATTCGAAGCAATGTGGACACTGACTACAGCAGGCTACCGGAAAACGACTCAAAGCGCCCCAAATACGATCATATAGATTCATACTTCTCCCCACTATGCAGTCCTGCTGTGCGCCCCCGCGATTTCCAGGCTGCAGACCTCAGTGGTGTAACGTTTTCCGATCTTTCTGTGTCTCAGCGGGCTGTTAGACCAGAACAGAGGCCTAGGATTAGCCCTAATCTTCGGCCACTTATGGATTATAGAGATAGTGAGTGCAATTTGGGGTGAATGTGTAGCTTTGTATTTAGTCGCTGACTAGAATCATACCCTTTGCAGATACCTCTCAAGACTCTTTATTCATATCCACTAAGACTAAATATGAGCAAATTATCAACGGCACTCAAATACCCGGCGTCTCGTACCCCACAATAACATCTACTGGCTTGAGTTCCAAAAGAACCAGCCATAAGATTGCCGAACAGGGCCGCCGCAATCGCTTCAATTGCGCTATCAAAGAATTGAAGGCCTTGATTCCAGCCACTTTCATCCGGGACAAACAAAATCAGACGCAAGCCTCGTCGTGCGTGGAAACTGGTGAGAAAGAAGTGTGGGAAATCAGCCAGACCTCCAGCATTGCATTCTTATTGGAGATGGCTATTCATTATATCAAGGAGTTCCAGCTGGCGCGCAAAGAACCTGACCCTTCTGTGGAAACAGATACGCATGCTAAGCTGAGCTCTGAACACGATGCATTGGAGGTTTCAAAAGAAGGGCCTCGAAAGCGTATCAACGCTGCCTTGAAAGATATTGAGTCACTAATCCCATCTGATTTTGTCCGGCCCCGAATGGTGAAAGACAACGCTATATCCGATGTCAAACCTGAGAACAATACCGAAAAGGAACCCATAGTCCGAGCGCGTAGCAAGGCTACAATCGTGGAGATGACAGTTGATTATATCAAGGAGATGCAACAAAATCTTGTATGAGATTGAATCTAAGCTGCCAAATTGACGGAATGAATGCTAACAGTGAACCCATCTGTCCGCAGAAAGGTACATCGGATACTCTTGCATTGCGACTCCTACCACCACTGGCACCATCCCCGAAAGGGCATGCTGAGCCATCAGGTAAAGAGCAGCGGTCAGAATTAACAGGTGGTCAAGACGAACCAACACAGGTAAGCTCTAGAAAGCCAGAAAGGCCAATGATCCCAACCGAGGAAGTCGCATTACCTGCTCCACGAAACCCCAGCTCAACCGGTGAAGCGGAGACAGGCCGAGGCGATGACCTACGAGAAAGGGTCTATTTGCCAGACGCATGGAAAGATGTCGAAGTTCAAACTCAGAGATACAAGACACACGACTCGACTACGAAAATAAATCAATTGTCACATAATGACGGATGGAGCTACATCAGCGACATGCGCAAGCGAAGGTTCTCCGCGGTGGATACACCCAGCACTGCCGCAATGGCCTTCGAACCTCTGATTAAAGACCACCATGGCATGAGCGAAAGTATCAAACCTAAAGATTCTCCACTTGAGGTGTCAGGCGAAAACCACTCGGAGCTCTTTACGGACCTTTCATGGCCGAGTAGTTTCGAGAAGGCGTTGAAGCGATGGACGAATCTCGAGCAAAATGAAATCAACATGGGCATACCAGGTTTGATCACGCTAGGGATATGAAGGAAATATGAAGGAACGATTGGCTAGTCTGTGGACACTCATCTTGTGGGTCGCAGCGTTTGTATGCGGACCTTTCCCAGGGGGCGGTTATGCTCGAAGACGCAATATACGTGTGGGGTTTGCAGTTGCCCTTGAGAAAATTGAGCAGCATTCGAGGTTTCGGGGGAGTATCTTGATCGATCTTGGCCTGTCGAGTACAGTATGGTTCAGAAAAACCAATTCAGTTGGATTTAGGCCAATAAACGAGTAGCAAAATGACAATTTTCCTTGCTCAAAAAGAATGAAAGCAAGAAACTACAACTACGATTGGCATCTACTGTAGTGTGGCGTGCCAGATATGGCAGGAGGACGGAGCCATTCATGTATTCTTCGGAGTATTGTATGGAGACAGGCTTCGATTCCCTCTGAACTTTGAATAGACCCGGTTATGGCCTCAGGCTACATTCCCCCTGGTTAATAATCGAGATTGTGGAACCTGGACAAAGGAAAGCAGTCATGACTAGCTACAGTTCTCATTTCCAGTACGTATTAATTCTTGGATTAGATGGACCTTCTTGCTATGCTGGATGGAATGACTGAGAGATCTCGAAGTGGTGTAGGTTTTGACTTGTACAGTGGTTAAATTGAAGCTGGCAATTGGCAGAGTCTGTCGGCTGTAAAGCTACCTTCTCGTGGGCAGGCGACGAGAATTGCCTCGAAAGTATCATATAGAGCCCTATTTATTCCAACCAACTATCTAGCGAAAGGTAATCTGAGCTGCGAGAGCTGGTAGACCTGGCAATGCTGGGGATGATAAGAAGAGGGCCTGTATGAGACACCGAGTGTGACCAGTGCGCATTCTGCAACATTAGTTGCCACTTTTTGGAGGAAAAGCACCGCAGCCCAACTTTCAAAGCGACATGGTCCGTCCAGTCGGAATGATCCGTCTCGAGGGGGGTTTGGAGTCCTCGTCCTTCCAGCTGAAGAGCGTTTAGTGACCCACCTATACGCGAGAATGACGTCGACCACTTTTTGGCCTATGGGAGGGACCTGATCTACTTCTCCGTCTTCTAGCTGACAGTCGTGTCCACAGTCCCCGTCGACCAGCCCTGAAAGAGTCGCGAGGTCCTACAATAGGCACGTTGGGATGAACGAAGTTGGGCAGGGAACGTTGTGTTGCAGCTTGCAGCTCATATTATTGAATGAGGAAGTGCCCCGTGGAGAAAGTACTGGAAGAGGGCGAGCCTGTGAGAGGGCTACTGGACATCCCTGGAATCCCATTGGCCAAATGGTACGAATCTAGGTGGGCGCGCAAATTGCACTACAGAGGAGGGTCTGCTGGCCAAAGGTTCTAGCCAGTTCAATGCTTTGTTCAAGGCCTAGGGTTTGCTCTCGCGTCAAGTCAACAAAGCACCAGAAGGACGATCAACACCCGTCGGCCACTAGGCATCAATAATGGGACCGGTCTGGGGGAAGCTCTCGCTCCCTTCCACCATCCACAGTTCACCACCGATTAACCCACATGCCGGGCTGACGCCTCCAACTTTGCTTCGCGGGGCCCGCAGCGCTGTTCGGTGCCCGTGTCCGAATCAGCGGGAGGGACCAGAATGAGGTGTCCTAGTATCGTTGGGAGATCCTGCGTCTGGCCATAATTTCAGCCGATGCAGAATAATGGTATCCGACTCGTCCCTGGCTCCGCGCTGGCTCCGCGCTGGCTCAGGGAATGTTCATGGATGGACAGTACTGACTTTGCAGTGGAGCCCGGGAGGGCCGGGATCTGACCTGCCAAGCGCCCTTGTGAGCCGGATCGGCCACATTCTTCGCGGGCGAGGCAGTGCTGATTCCACAATTCAGTACTATTGGAATAGGAGGCGGGAAGCTCCTGTGCTAGACATCTCGTCGGCATGATAAGGCATCAAGGTGTCAAGCAAAGAGAGCGGTCAATGGGACCGTTATTCAGCATGCGCCTCGGTATCTACAGTAGTCCTGTTCGGTTCGATCCAATCCCCCGTAAAGAATCATTGTCACTCTCTAGGCCTTGGGGGGAAATTGCCCCGTCTCATTCCACTGTATTCTTACTACTCCGTACAATCCAACATTATCGGAGGAAGTCCTCTATGGTGGGTAAAATACCTGTCGATCATTGTAACCCCTTTCTCCTCCGGTAAGGCTGAGTCGGATATGGGTTGCCTTGGTACGACAACACCCATACTCATCCGTCCACTCTTCCTGAACATCACACCATTCCCTTCATGTTTTGTGTTGAATCTCCCGGAGCCTTGAGAAACGGGCAAGCATTTGTACCGGTGCGTTTGTCTTCCACCGTCGGCGGGTCTGTTGAGGTAGAAGTTCATCTTATTACTACTGAGACTAATGGCCGTGTCTCCTACTACTGGTCTCCTGGTTGTCATCATCAAATGGTCCTTCACCCATGGTCTCTTCAACTGCTTCATGACTTACATATTTAGGGCATGAGGAAATGTGACTGCTAGTAATCCAAACATGCTAGCAATCGTCAAGTTTGGCCCGCATTGACTGCTCTGTGTATCAAGCTAGATCACATTCATCAGAGGTCATGTCAGGCTCAATGGTCAGGTACTTAAACCAGAGCTTTGAGTCACTGGGAGAGTAACAGTCCTATTAAGCAGCAGGGTACCATTTGATCCCCTTGTGCTGGTGGTTGAAAACGGACTGTCAAAAGCTATGGCAACTCAGAAATCATCAGTCTTACTGATCCCCATACTTTTGGAGTTGCAAGCAAAATACATATATAGCATACAATAGCCCGATTACGGTGAATACATAATTGAACCAAAATATTAGCGAGGCGTGACAAGGTGAGGTTGATTCGGGCGAAGTTACGTGGCTCAATAATCGTTTGCCACTCTCGTGAAACGGTAGCGAAGCTACCTCAGCTCTCGTGAAAAACATTGGTGTTACTTTAATAAATGATGGTAGGAAAGACGGTCGATTGGTAAGTGCGGTGCACGGCAGGGTCATAGTGCTAAGCTGGAGTAGCTACCAATGTATGAAGTCCCTGCTCAAAGACTTCGAATTGGCTACTCTAAAAACGATGAGAATAAGGCCGTAGAAGAAGTCGTAGTGGTAGTGGTCATGAGTACATTTTTATTGGATAATAACTCAGCTAGGCAAGACGTGGGTGTCTACCGAGTATTCTGCCAGCAAATTTTGTAAACGTGATATTGTTTCAACGTTCAACATATAGCTATACGGCTACCATTTGGTCTATACTGACGACTTACTTCCGCTAGTGGAAAGGAATTGATACCAACTTGACGGTTTGTTTGTCGCGGAAATATATTCTTGGTGCTACTAGTACCACAGCCTCGCAGTATAAAGGCCATAAAATTATCCACTCCACGAATGTTCTCTCAAAGTAAAGACACCGGAGGAAGTAACCATGAGGTTCTTTGATTTAAAGTATACTCAACGACTGATTTAGACTTTGAAACTTTGGTGGATAACATAAATCTCATTCTCGCTCATTCCTCGCCAGGTCCATCATCCTTGGGTATCAACCTGCTCTGGTAGTCTTGAGAGTCGTTTTCTCTAGTGAACCCTAAATATCATCAAGATAGATTTCAACTAATTACCACGGTCAAACGTCCATTATTATTTCATACGGAATTCCCCCTTCAGTATTGGTGGAGTCATTGCATTGAATCTCGTAAGCTCTTCGTGCTAGGAAATTATCTCAAACTGGACCCAACACCATGGTGTGGTAAATCACGTAGGCCCATCAGGTCCAACACGAGAATGTCCTCAATGCCAACAATGGAATACTAAGGCAATATTCTCGTGGTATCGTAGATTAAAACCGTTTCATACTAGCATTGTAATTCCCGGAATGCTATGCTCGTCTTCTTCTACGAGTATCATATCATGCTCGACCTAAGAATCTGCTGATCCTCTCACTTATATTATTGGGTATTGATGCGATGATGATGTTGGAAACTCAATAAAGCAAGTTGTATTAATGTTCTCTAGATATAATCGTCTGCGACCCGGAATGCACGATCCCTTACAGTGATCATCTTTGGCATATAGCGGATTTTAATGAGTCTAAACCCCCGAACAAACCTTAAAATCTTCTTATCAGTCATGCGTTGAATGATCAATATCGAGAGATCGCCCGGGCCAACTGGAGAGATAATTCCAAAAAAAACATATCTGGAAAGATCTATAGAAGGAGAGGAAGTTGAGGCCGGTCCGGCTAGACCTTTTCTTCTATCTCGGACGATGTACCTGAGATAACACCTGAACACCTCAATCAGCTGACAACTGGGGCTGGTCCTATTGTCAGCCTCTCTAGCTTTGCTCTTTTCCTTCCGTCCATTTGACATGAAAGATATCACTACGCGAGTCTGACTATCTGACTACTTTATTTTATGTTGGGTTAAATATTGTGTGGAATCCGCCAATTCCACGGCCAAACGCTTCCGGTACGCTGCCTTTTTTCTGCCTCTCCCCCTTCTGAAGTGACCCGCACAACAACTGAACTGACGACACTCCCGTTTTCCCCCCCCAGTCACTCAGTTTGGGGCCATTGAGCCACTTCCTCGACCGATTCTTTTCTTTTCTCTCATCTTGAGTTTTCCTTCTCGCGTGATACCCTTTTTGCTGGATCTTTGTTGCTGCGGTCGAGTCGTTGTGGTCCGTTCCCTTCCCCTCCACTCCCCTCCCCAATCGATCGATCTTCGTTTTCCACCATTCCCGAAAGGCCCACAACTGCGGCCATTCCTATCCCTGTCAAGAACGGCAGCCTTGGAATCAAACTTTCCACTCCTCCAACATCCTCTCCTCCCTCCCACCCAATCTCCCACCTTCTCTTCCCCCCGCCATTTGACCCGGGGTGAGAGAACCTTCCTTCCGACCTCTGGTCATGCACAAGATTTCCAACTTCACGGGCCAGGCCCGTCATGGATGGGAACGAATGACGCCGACCTTTGGGATGTCCAGACCACACACCGACATGACCTTTCGCCGGCCACACGGTGCGCCCCCCATGACGCCGCCCACGAGCATCGATCCGACCGTCAACCTGTCCTTCAACGTCCCCTTCTCCTCCACGTTGGCTGGTCCCGACGTCGAGGACGTCCTCCACGCCAGTCCCAACGCCCTGCAGCGCTGGACTTTCCCCGAAGGCACCCCCGACGGCACCTTCGTCCACCAGCTGCCCGTACACACTAGCAATGTCGATGGTCTACGGAGGTTATGCCGGCAAATTACGGAAAGCAGCGGGGGTCGTATTGAGGCCACCCTCACGTCCTCAGAGCCTAAGGCGGTGCCTTCGCTACAACGGCGGCCAAATGGTTTGGTGACCAACGTTTGCGTGACCGGTGACGGGGAGACCGTACGGAAGATGCGGGCCAAGATCTTGAATGAGACCCCGATCATGTTGGTACGCGGATGAATTTTTTTTCTCTCTCTCTCTCTCTCTCTTCCTTTGAGGGTTTCGTCATTCGACCCGTGGGCTCGTACCCTCGCAGGACTTGAGAACATCCCTTGCTAACTCATCATTTCTCATTAGCGATGCGCGACCGTCGACGTGGATATGCACTTGATTATTGATGGATCCCCCAAGGGTATTCGAGCGAGCGTGCTCGAGCACATGGACACCTTGGCCGCCTACACCGGGACCGACATTTTCCTGCTGACACCCAAGCTCCACGACGCCGACAGCGCAGTCGTCTCGTCTTACGGCTATGCATCTGATAACGGGCTCGAACAGCGCTTCCGAGTCGCAATCTACGGTGATATGGAGAGCTCGGAGCATGCAAAGACGCGGGTTCTGATCATGATCGATCAAATTGTGGGTCAACCTTCTGTGTGCGGGATAATTTCGACGGGAGCCGGGCTAACGCAAAACCACAGCTGAAACGCCATGTGGACGCCATTAAACTGGAGCTGACCATGCATACCCTGGTCTGTGGGCGGACTCGCAAAAACATCAAGCTTATCGAAGCCGCCACCGGCACCGCCATCTACTTTCCCCCTCCATTCCCTCGGATCTTCGGCTACACCCCTCCTGGCGCGAGCCGTCGAAGCGAAGATGAAGTCTATATCACGGGAGACACGCCGGAGCAGATTGCTCGCGCGAAGCAAAAGTTGCGGGAACTGGTCTTGGGTGTGAAAATCTACGTCAAGGATGTCGTTGTCAATTCGAGCAAGATCGACAATATCCTGCTCGATCGTTTGGATAAGGTCCGCAAAGTGATGGAAATGAACGGATCCTACGTTCTCTTCCCACAGTTGGGCAGCCAGCGGGGCCTTGTCCGCATTCAGGGCACTGAGGTCCTGCACGTCGAGCGGACCGTCCGGGAAATTATGGCTCTGGTATGAAGTACTCGAGACATGGGGTTGCATGAACCACAACTAATACATATCCTAGGCCGGTCAATTCTACAGCGCCTCTTGGTGGATCCTCATGCCCGATCCCGCTCAAGGTGGCATTCGCGCTCCTTCCACGGCCGACATCCGTTCGATGCTATCGGACATCTGCACCAACTCCGAGGCCGAGGTCAGCTTTGATAACCTGACATTCACCATCAATGGATCCGATGATGCGGTTAAGGCTGCTATGACCGTCGTGAATCAGATTCCTTTCGTCACTCGCAGCCAATACCAGATGCGAGTCAAGATCGAGCTCGCCAACGAGCACAAGGAGTTTGTCAGTGGCAAGAAGAACGGCAAGATCAACAAGATCATGGGTCAGAGTGAGTTTACCCCCGTCCCCGATATTCATGTTAGCTCTTGGCCATTAACAACTGATAGGCAACGTTCAAATTATCTTTGACGGCTTCAACGAGTACAACTTCTATATCGACGTGTGCGGCAACCAGTACGACTCTACCAAGAACGGACTGGATCTTGTTGAACAAGAGATGCCCGCCTCCATCTCATTCCATGTTCCGGACCAATACCACAAGCGGATTATCGGCATTGGTGGACAGCACATCCAGCGGATCATGAAGAAGTACTCCGTGTTTGTCAAGTTCTCCAATGCCATGGACCGCGGTGGGATGGGCAAGGAAGACGACGACATCAAGGTTGACAATGTCATCTGTCGGACCCCGGCCCGCAATGCCCAGAGCTTGGACCTTGTGAAGCAGGAGATTATGGATATGGTCGAGAAGGTTGACGCCGAGTATGTCTCCGAGCGAGTCGTCATCAACCGTCTCTATCATCGTGAGCTGTTGGCTCGCATGACCGAGATTGACGAGCTGGAGAAGAAATGGAACTGCAAGATCGAGTTCCCCAGCACCGAGCTTGCCAGTGATGTTGTGACCATCTCCGGTCCGGAGTACCAGGTGCCCCAGGCTGTTGATGCTCTCCTAGGCATGGTTCCTGAAAGCCACGAACTACACTTCCAGAGCTCCTCGGAGCTTCAGGAGTACTTCAAGTCCCCGGACTTCATCGCTGACGTTCGGACCAAGCTCAAGGAGCAGTATGAGGTTGATATCAATGTCGACACCGCTTCTGGTCTTCCCACCCCCAAGGAGGAGGGCTCATCCTCCCCTGAGCCCGCTCCGGAAGATCGCGTCGTGCTTGGCTACACACGCAACAATGCTGGTGGCCTTAAAGACGCCATTGACTTCCTGATCTCCCGCCTCGTCGCTCACGGCCTCGATGCCAACACCGTCAAGGGTGCTATTCCACGCCCCAAATCGGACTCGTTCGAGGAATCACTTCCCTTCTTCGACTCGAAGCTGTTGCAGCACGCTCCTGTCCCTCTCGTGACTGACTCTCCCACTCGACCCAGCTTCGCTGACGAGACTAGTGAGCGCGGCTCGATCTTTGAGCGTCTGCGCAAGCCGGGGAGTATTTCGTCCTTCTCGTCCTTCATCGGGCGAAAGAATCACTCGGCATCCCCCGGCTCCTTCTTCAAGCATGCCTCGAGTAACGCCTCGAAGGCCTCGCTTGTCTCGATGGAGTCGCGGGACAGTGGCTACCGCAATCCCTGGAATGACTCCGGGGTGAACCTGCCCGAGGACGATGTGCCCGTCCTCGGCAGCTCGCACAGCCACAAGAGCAGCAGCAGCAACAATGGCTGGCCCACGCGCTTCGACACCAAGTTTCCTTTCGGTACGGCGCCCGGCGACATGACCCCCAAGCATGACCCGCGCGCCTCTTTTGACAGTGGTCGCCCTAGCACCTCGAATTCTACTTCTGGATACCCGGCCCCAATTGGGCCACCGCGTTAAACCCAAAATATCCATTTACAAGCAGCAGTATACCCTTTTGGTTGATTTGATTTGTTTCCAGCGTGTCTCGGTTTTGATCTGTCTCTTGTCTTTCGTCTTTGTGTTCGCTTGATGTTTGTCTCTTTTCTGTCTTTTTGATGTTTTTGATTTCAAGTTGATTGATACCACGGAAACGCAAGCAATGAGGGCGCCAGAAAAGAAAAACGAGAGATATCCAAGAAATCTGCGTGAGATAGAACGGATTTTCATCGTTACTGTTTTGTCTTGATGCTAGTTTTCTTTTTTCATATTTTTTGGTCTTATAAGGAGAGGAAAGAAAAACACACGATACTCCTTGTTGTTCTTGTTATTTCCTCTCGATTTCTTTGATTATTCTTTCTCTTCTTCCTGTTTTTTTTCAACTTGTCGCGATGTCGATGATTGCGGGTGTGCATGGGAGGAACTAGGCGGGTTTGACCGATGGAGTCTTTCGAATTCTCAATCTTTTGGGATGATGATACCCTCGCCGGCATTGGCCGGTCTGGTTTTCGGCGATCTCGACTGACTCGGGAGTTACCTTGATCGATTTTGGGCTTTTGTGTCGATTTTTACTCCTTTTGATATCCCCATCAATGAGACTTGACTTGAGACGATGAGATTTCCCTAGAGCTGTTCCCTTACAGCTGGACCCTTACCTATAATTTTGTATCCATTCCACGTCTCTTCGGTCGAGCAGGGCACGCTGTTCTACTCGCTCCCTTAGTCTAGGTCTTGCATGGACGAGTTCCAGCGTGGAAAGTGACGATCTCCGCGCTGACGTAGCCACGTGGGGTTGCATTTCCATCCCCCGCTCTTCTCATAGTTCATACGCCCAAAGCACAACGACCCTTGCTCAATTGCACTTCCACAGAGCTCCAGGAGGGTTCACTTTGTACAATTACCTCTATAATTCCAACTCAGAAAGATGGCATCGTCATACCCACGACCCGACTTCCAGCGCAAAGCCCTGAACTGGGCTTCTCTTGACGGCACATGGGACTTTATCTTCGACGACGCCGACATTGGCCTGTCGAACAAATGGCAAAATAATGGTATACCCGGCCAGACGGACAGAAACCAGCCTAAGCGCGAGATAAAAGTACCCTGCGCATTCCAGACCCCAGCATCTGGGATCAATCTTACCGAAGCCCACGAATTAATGTGGTACGAGCGCCGTATCGACGATATTCGCACCGATGCAGAAAAAGCCCAAGGAAACAGACTCCTCGTTCGATTCGGCGCAGTAGACTATGAGTGTTCCGTCTGGGTCGATGGGCATTTTGTCGGTGGTCATCGCGGCGGCCATGTCCCCTTCGACCTGGATGTCACGGATGCCTTCCCATCGGAAACGACATCTGCCCGATTAACGCTGCGAGTTCGAGACTCGCCGTATGATCTTGCGCAGCCACGCGGGAAACAGTACTGGAAACCTGTGCCGGAGAGTATCTTTTATACCCCAACGGGTGGGATTTGGTTATCCGTTTGGATGGAGAGTGTACCTGCTATGCGATTGTGTTGTGGGAGTGGGGGAACTGTTCTTCGGTCTGATGATATCGAGCGGGGAGAGCTTCACGCGCAGATTGCCGTGTCAGGAAGATCGCCCCATGTTGCTTGCAGTGTTGAGATTGAGGCTAGTCTCGGGGGTGTGCTTGTTGGTAAGAACAAGGTTGCGTTGCCAACCGAGAGGGATTGGGCCGCTTTGGATTTGAGCATGAAAGCATCTCACGCGAGTGATTTGCTGAAGAGAGCTCCGTATAACATTGAAGGAGCCTGGCACGATTCTGTGGCTCTCTGGGCACCTGAGCATCCGATCTTGTATGATTTGGTTCTCCGCCTATACGATGCCTCTGGCAAGGCTCTTGATGAAATCGAGACCACTACTGGCATGCGCAGCCTATCCTGGCAATCCGGCGATGGTACATTCCGATTGAACGGCAAGCCGCTTTTCCAAATGTTATTCCTAGATCAAGGCTACTGGCCCGAGACAGGAATGACGCCTCCTTCCTCCGAGGCATTGAAAGCTGATATCATCATGGCGAAAGACATGGGCTTCAACGGATGCCGCAAGCACCAGAAAGTCGAAGACCCTCGTTTTCACCATTGGGCTGATCGGCTGGGATATCTCGTCTGGGGCGAGATGGCTAATGCCTACGAGTTTGGAAAAGATTACATCGAGCGCATGAATGCTGAGTGGACGGAGGCTGTGAAGAGGGATATCAATCATCCGTGTATAATTACATGGACGCCGAATAATGAGAGTTGGGCCTACCCTTCGTTGAAGGATAACATTCAGCAGCGGAATCATATTCGCTCGCTGTACTATTTGACCAAGTCAGATCCACCATACCTTTTCTGAAAACGGAGATATCGCTAACACGGCCAAAACAGGACACTCGACCCCAGTCGACCCATCAATGATAATTGCGGCTGGGAGCATGTCATCACAGATCTAACCACGTACCACGATTACGCCGATTCCCACGATCTAGCAGAGACATGCTCCAAAATGGAACACGGAATCCTCGGCCAGAAGGCTGGCCGCGAGATGTTCACAAAGCCTATCTACTCCGGTTTCTCAGGGCATACCCTCGTCGACTCCGGTGCGCAACATCAAGCCGGGGCACCCGTAATCTGCACCGAATTCGGTGGCGTGAATATCGCGCCGCCCAAGGATACGCGGGCCGGCGAGCGTGATTGGGGTTATACCACCGCGACGGACGTGGATGATTTCCTGAAGAGATTCGAGAAGCTGGTCATGGCTATTGTCAAGGGTGGTCATACGTGTGGACTGGTGTACACACAGCTGTAAGTTTGATTCCGATCTCCAAGGTTGAAGGGGGTGTTTGATTTGCTGATTGTGACTTTTAGATGTGATATTGAGCAGGAGGTTAATGGGCTGTACACGTATAATCGCAAGGCAAAGGTCCCCGTTGAGAAAGTGAAGGCTATCATGATTGCCGCTGAGGATTATTACTACCAGCATGTTCAATCGCATGCTCCGAAGGGGTTTCGGAAATTGTTGCATTCTCTGCATCGATCCTGATCGTTACCTGAGACGGGAACCTGAGTTGATTATTGGAGGTACCGCCAGGTTGACGAGATACAGCGGACAGGGGATTCTATAGAGTAGTTTCACAGTGGCATTTCAAAAGTTGGAAACAAGAGATGGAAGAAAGGGCCTCGCCAGATAGACTTCAACCTCCTTTATCTCTAAAGATCGTTTGGAATGTCTTGAATCGTCTGTTGAAACGTCTTTTGGAGCAAAGCATGGCCGACCGATAGAAAGTACTCACCGATCACCTCGTTGGTCCGTTGGAGCTATACTTACTTCATGTGCGGTCTGTGGTTCCTACATAGTAAATCTCTGAAACCGTCAACTAGGCACCTCGGTCCAGAGCTTTACTTGTTGCACGAGATGGATAGCCCATCATTCGAGGTGAAATACAATGGTTTGAGCTTCATATTCTCCGGGTGTAACCTTTGGGGTAGGGGCATTGGCAAAACACGATGCATACTCATTCTGTAAAGACCGATTTCGAAATGAAAGCAAACTTCTTATGCAGGAAATCAGTATGGCCGGCACGAACTTCCGTTTTTGCAGAATGCTACTACAGTATTCTAATCCACTGGCGTCAGTATTGTGTAAAGCAGTTGAAATGCGGGGTTGGAAGGTCCACTTTGCTCCACGCTAGTCAAGCAGCGGTTGCGGTGACTATTTTCACAGCTCTCGACTTGCGAATTACGATCTCATTTCAAGATTTATCATCTAGAGATCAATACAAATGTCTTTCTATGTCCTTTTTGGCTCTGAGTTGTCCGATAGATGCTTTGCAGGTGTTTTCCGAATCGTCTTTGTAGAAAGCTTCAGCATCATCATCTCTTGGTTCATCTTCTTATGCACATTCTATGGGTTGATCAAGAAGTTTCGTCGGGCTTCAATATCAGGAACCTCGCTGTGTTACATCCCGCCACTTGTCACAATGAGCTAGGATCCCGCTCTCCATGAAGCTTTGCATAACTGCAGAAGTAAACTTTCTTGAGTGTAGAGGGGAGACAACGCCACTAAAGCTGCAGAGCAGCATCACTCAATTATTTCCCATATATCACGCTAGCTAAAGAGGGAAAGTGGGCCGTGATAGTTTCAATACGAAGTGGTGGTTTCAATGTTAGTTCAAACCGTGCGACAAGGTTCGAGTTCCATGTGATACCCGCTAGAAAAGTCCGCGTCACGTATGTCCAACGCTAATCGTACAGGCTAGAAAAGTGGTATAAGCAACGTCTCGCAACTGTGGGTCGCCCAACTTTTGTTTTATCCTAAAACCCCTTCACGATGGACAACTGGAGGGTAAAACTCGGAGTGTCTAGTCTTGAAGCCATTCCCACCGCTCGGCTCGCGGCGATAGCTCTCACTGCAGCTGTGAGTTCTTTATCTCTGTGAAACGAAACTGAAAAGACCTGACAATATAATCAGTTTCTGGCATATGGCGCATGGATAGTAGTCTACAACCTCTACTTCAGCCCACTATCAAAGTTTCCCGGACCCAAACTCGCAGCTTTCACCAACATCCCCAGTCTATACTGGACCACGACGGGACAAAACCAACACAAACTAAAACAGCTCCACGACAAATATGGAGACGTCGTCAGAATAGGCCCTACATCACTCGTCTACCGAAGCCCCCAAGCATGGAAAGACATCTACGGACATCGCAAATCAGGAGATGGGTCCTTCCTCAAGGATCCCAAGTTCTACATCCGAGGACCGAACGGACCGAACCTCCTCAACGCCGACGAGGCCGACCACGCAAGAGGAAGACGCCTCCTCTCCCACGCCTTTTCCGAAAAGGCCCTGCGAGACCAGGAGGGTCTGATCCAGTCTTATGTGGATTTACTCGTGGAGCGATTGAACGGGGAAATCGCCGCCTCGAGGGAAACCGTCGATATGACCCAGTGGTTTAACTTCACCACCTTCGATATCATCGGTGATCTAGCCTTTGGCGAGCCATTTGACTGTCTCCGTGAGAGTCAGTATCATCCGTGGGTGAAGATGGTCTTTGTGAGTACCAAGGTAGCAGCTCTAATGCGACCGTTGGTGGTATATCCATTCCTAGCACCCATCGTCAGGAGAATACTACCGAAGAGGCTGGCCAAAATGCGCGAGGCACATTTCGCACTGAGCGCGGAGAAGGTCCGCCGACGATTGGAGACTGAGACTGAACGACCCGATTTCATGACTTATGTCCTCCGGTTCAATGATGACCGGGCCATGACGGCTCGTGAGATGGAAAGTAATGCGGCGCTTTTGATTCTGGCTGGAAGTGAAACGACTGCGACGCTGCTCTCGGGCTTTACATACTATAGCCTTAAGAATCCGGCCACGTACAAGAAACTGGTAGACGAAGTTCGAGGATCCTTTTCCTCTTACGAGGAGATTAACTTCCAAAGTGCCAGTCAACTGAGCTACCTGAACGCCGCGCTGGAGGAAACACTTCGAATTTATCCCCCTGTTCCTGCTATGACTCCACGGGTCGTACCGAAAGGAGGTGCAGTGATTGATGGCTCGTTTATTCCAGAGGGAATTTCCGTGTCTGGACATCACTATTCGACTTATCATGCCGAGTCTCATTTCACCGAAGCGGACTCATACCTACCCGAGCGATGGCTCGAGAGTCGAGCGGAGCGGTTCGAGAATGATAATCGGTCCATACTGCATGCGTTCTCACTCGGACCACGAAATTGTCTGGGAAGGAAGTAAGATATGAATATGCTCAATTCCGTTCGTGACTGAAGCTAACTGGTTCCTTTCTTCAGTCTTGCCTACGCCGAGATGCGGCTTATTGCTGCTAAGCTTCTGTGGAGTTTCGATATGACCTTGGAAGAAAGCTCGGCGGGCTGGGATATTCAGAAATCATTCAACATTTGGGAAAAGAAGCCACTGATGGTGAAGGTATCACCGGCGTAGCATTAATAGTGCGCGTTGAGGATTAAGAAGAATATACTTTATCATTGCTTTCTACTGGAAAGTGGAATTGTGCAAGAATGAAACACCAATATTGCTTGGTCATTACAACTAAGAGCCACCAGGCCCCGTGCTAAGTACCGCATTCGCTGAAAGTGCTCTGCTCAGGAAAGGGGGGAAAGCAAAAACAGAAAACAGCATCACAAAACTAATAGATATAGCGAAAGGCAATAGCCGAAGAGCAGTGGAAATGGCAAGCCCGATATAGTCAGTCCCACGTTAACGCCAGACATGCCGAAATATTTTCTTGTTAGAACGATGAACGGAAAGAGGAAACGTGCGCTGGTAGATGCATTTTACAAAGAAGACGGAGATTAGAGATAGTGCGCGTAAGGTGATCACATGTTGGCGAGCTCATGGTCGATCTGGCGGTCCACAAAGGCTCGCTTATCGCCGGAGAGGGAAATTTGGAGGCGCTGTTCGACAAGGACACGGACTGTGTGGTTTTTGTTAGCTATTTGGACAGCAGGATATCGAATGGGAAAGAGATGGTGACTCACCTTGTTTCTTCGTAACAGTGTCAAGATCCACCTCAGAGAGACAGTGGCGGATCGCCTCGGTGATAGCTTGCTCATCCGGACCACTGGCTGCGCGGAAATCAAACGCAGTGCTGGCAGGTCGCGAGGGGAGCTGACCGAGCGGGCTGCGCGAGCGGGAAGCGGCGAGAAGGTTCTCACTGCTCTGCATCAAGCCGATGCTGTGGCGGCTCGAAAGGACCTGGTTATCCTGGTACGCACTGAGGTTACCCACAGACATGTGGCGAGATGCCGATGCGGCGGGATGAGCACCCAGCTGAGGGTAATCAGTATAGCGGGAGAAGCTGGTCATCTGCGAGTTGCGGTTGCCGGCCACGTTACCCCCAGTGAAGGGAGCTGGGGACTGCGGTGGCATATACGGGCCAGTGTGGCGACCCTGACCGGGGAAGCCAGTCAGGATGGTTGACGCCGGCCTGACGGAGGAATACTGCGAGTGCAGATCGTCCATCTCCATGGCATGCTCATCCACGTAGCGGCCAGTGTACTGGACCTTCTCTTGGTTGCCACCGACTTCACCGCGGCGGCCGGGGAGATTGTTAGCTAGACAATAATCATCCCAGCGCTGCAGAGGAATACTGCGGGGGTCAAAGCCCTCATCTTCCACAGCAATGACACGCTTGTCACCCTTCTCACCGATAACCACACGAGTATTACCCCACGTGAAGTCGTCCTGCTTCCAGAATGAGTACAGAGGAAGCACGAAACTGTAGATGGGGAAGGCAAGCAGGTAGATGAGCATCCATCCGATGTGTTGCCACTGGCGCTTCACGATGAAGATGATGGCCTGAAGGCCGTACACACCAGCCAACATAACGATGGAGATCATGGGGAATGGCCCAGAGTGACTAGCAACGCGGTAGACGAGGTATCCAAGGTAGACACAAGTTGCTGGAAGAATGATTGTTCCCAGAAGATCCACAAGCACGACAAATCGCATACTGAAGCAGCAGAAACCACAAAGATCCTTGAGTGCTGCCAATTCGAAGAGGTTGTGAATAGTCGAGTTAATCCAGCGACGACGTTGCGAGACAAGCACACTCCAAGTCTCGGGGGCAGCGGTACTCGCGAATGCATCGGGAATGAACTTGTAACTCATGGTCGGGAAGTGTTTGGTCATGAGGGTTGTCAAGAAACGATCCTCACCCAGAGACAGCAGATTTTTCTTGTGCAGAGTGTCGACATCAATATCAGCATACTCTTTAATGACCTTATCTGAAATGATGAGTGGGCGACCCTTGTCCGCAGTTCTCAGACGATACATGCAGAAACTAGATAACGAATTAGCTCGGACGTATTCGAAAAGTTGAAAGTGAAACATACCATCCAGGAAGACAAGTAACACTGCCGAACAAGGACTCGAAAGCCTTGGCGAGATGATGTGAGATGTAGTATTCATAGACCTGAATCATGGTCCACCAACTGCGCTCTTCATTCTGAAGACTAGTCTCACCACAGATACCGGCGATCTTAGCATCAGCTGCACAAGCAGCGACCAAGCGATTTAATGAATCTTCCTTGACACTAGTATCAGCGTCAACCATCAAGCAGTATTCGTATAGTTCAGGATCCACGCCAATGATGTTGTTGATCTGGTGGAAGATCTCCAACTCCATGGGCGACATGGGAGCACGATGATGAACACGATTCAGGAAGTGCATGAGAAGGACTTGCGAGTCTCGTTTGCCTCGGTTACCAGGCTTGGACTTGCGCTGCTCAGACTCCTTGCCAACCTTGACCACAACGATGTACGGGACGACATTGCCCTCGTACTCGTACAGACCAGAATAGACCTTTGCGTAGTTGAGTTGTTCGCTGCCCTGACCAACGGACCTGAATGGCAGAGCTGGGGGATCCATCTTGGGGTCCACTCCAAGAATGTCAAGAACGATCTTGGGAGTTGGGCGGTCATTACCACCACCAACGATCATACCATCGCAGATAACGAAAATCAGCTTGCGCTTGTTGTCGTACTGCAGAGCAGTCAAAGAATCCAGGCCCTTTCGGAGAGAGTCCTCGCCCTCGGTATAGGCAGGAACCAAGCAAATGACGAATTTATCTTGAGGTGACGGTCGACGTTTGGATCCCAACTGCAGCGCTGCCAGGAACTTGACAAGAATGACGGCACAGATGAGAATAGTGAATGCCAGAAGAATCCAGTTGTTCACAGTACACTTGGGACTGTCTCGGAAATCAACTTTGCCCTTGTAGAAAACATAGTCAAGGCATCGTTGCGCGTTCTTGAATTCCGTGGTATCCTGCCATTTGTCCGTCACATCCTGACCGGGATAATTCTTGAATAGGGTAGTCACGGCATCCGGCAGGAAAGTGTAAGTGTCAAGATTGTTCTCGGTCTTGGCGGTATAGAAGTAGTCAGTAAGGTCGTAAACCTTCTGATTCATAATAACCCAATATCGAGAATAGTCGTTGGCTTGCTTCTCAATGGTGCTCTTTGTCCAGACCAATTCACCCTTGTAGTAGTTAGCTATCTTAGGCAAGAAGACCTTTGAATACCAGGTAATCTCGTGGAGCTTCGTCGTGGTTTCCGGGTAGTTACGGGGACCACAGTTGTGCTTTGCATTGGAATACACCACCGCGTCGGTATCATTGTTCAGCAGCTGGATCGACTGGTCAGTGACAAAGGCGCCACAGTACTGGGTGAGCGGAGGTGGGAAATAGGCGTCGAGATTCAATCCCGCAAAGGGTTCCATGTTAGACGAGGTAGTCTCAATGCTGGTGTCACTGTGCTGCAGCTTCCAGAACTTGGAAATATCGTAGACTCGGCCGTGGATACTGACGAAGAAATTGTCGTCTCCAGTGTGCCAGCTAACCTCTTTCGTGTTCCAGACTTTGTCTTTGTTGGGACACAAAAGGTCACCGAAGGCGATGATGTAGAAGCAGACAACTCCGTTGAAGAACAGGATGATAAGAACCAAGACGAGCTTCTCTCGCCAGGCGAATCGAACGTCCGGACGCTTCATGCGACCGATATACCGAAGAACGAATGAAGGGATCCAGAAAGTAAGAGCCCAGACGAAGCCAGCCCAAACGCGGCGACCGAACGAGATCTTCTTCTTCTCGATGTGCTTGGGGTCGCCGAACTCGGGGTCAAGATCACCGATGTAGCGGCCGTAGTCATCGTAATAAGCGATATCACCCTTATTGTCGTCACCTTTGTGGCCAAGACCGTAGTCACCAGCAGCCATGTGGGTGATTCCAGTCGGGGCGATAGACTTGGCAGGTCCAATGACACTAGGAGCGATAACGCTCTGGTTGTGCATCATCATATCCGCTCCCAAAAGGTTGGAGCTTTCACCGATGGGGTTGCCATCAGGAGTGTAACCGGGCTCGTACATGGTCGCACCATATCCGAAGGGGTTCGAGGGCATATCCTCTGGCTTGAGGTCGAGCATCGACTCGGCCTCCCACCAAGCACCCTCTCTCATCCAGATGCGCTGTTGACCAACAACGGCGTCTCCGTTGCTCCAACCTCTCTCGAGGATCCAGTTCTCGACGCCATCTTGTCCTTCAGCACAGCCTAGCCGGGCATACCGGCCGACAAACTCTTCCACGTCAAAGTCCGCAGTGAAGTCGAGCTGCTTCAGACGTCGGTTGGCCCACTCGGGCAGTCGCCAGTCTCTCAATTGGCGCGAGACTGCACCCGCAGACCAGGCCCCAGTGTTGGCGGTAAGCTGTTCGGGGAGATCATCCGTGGGGTGAATGGAAAGATGATACCAGACACGGCTGCTACCCAAAACCGTGGCGAGATCGAAGCGGGCTCGCTTGCCAAGGGTTATTCCCTCGCTCCCAACCGGGAACAAGAGCTGTCGCAGGAAGGAGTCCACCTCTGTTTCCAATCCGACTTTCTCCAAAACGCCTTGACGCTTGTCCAGGTCATGCTCCCGTTCCCGACCAGCAGCACCACTCATGATGCCGAGATCGGGCTCGACCTGGGCCACCGCGGCGTTCATTTCATTGACAACAGATTGGCCAATGGCTGGGAGGGCAATGCCATCTTCTTTCATCTCAGCATTGAGGCCCAGCTCATCGTCAAAGACACCCCGCATCGCAATGGCTTTACCCAAAGCAGGGCGAGGTATGTCGATGACTGTCAAGCCAACGGTATCCTCGTTGGAATAATGGGGCGCACCGGCACCGCCATTGCTTGAGTCGTTCTCCAGAGCATTGTGGATATCCGCCGCAATGGCCTCATTGGCTTTTCCAATGACCCAGTCCACAAGTGCTTCGTACACTCCCGCAATCAGGACTTCGCGCTCATCGGTGGAGCACTTGTGCAGCAAGACCTCGGGATCAATTCCAAGAAGACCGCCAACGTCTTCACAGACCTCTTCCAGTTCCTCTTGGTCAACCATCAGTCCTGCAGCATTGCCGAGCTTGAGCAGACCAGCTAGGACGGAGAGTAAGCCTCGCTGTGCAGCACCCTTGATACCAATGGCCTTGAGATTCGCACGCAGATCCTCGGCCGCGGCTGCATCATCGGCAGTGGGGAGGTAAGATGGGGGTGAATAGGTGCCCGATCGATTGAGCAGAGAATAGTTGGATAGTTCTTGGAGGTCTAGGAACTCACGCTCCGCGGGCGTAGAAGCGGAGGTCAGGAGGTAGTAGAAGACATCGAATGCACGGAAGCCGGCCTCGCCAGGGATCTCCAAAAGACCTTTGCGCACATTAATGCCGGAGGTGGAAAGGGCCAAAGACAGGCCGATGACAGTGCCCTGCAAAGTCAATGTGTAGGAGGCCGAAAAGGCAGAGTATAGAGAATATGACGGATTGAATGAAGTCACCGCAGAGAGGAAGGGTCTGAGCGCTGCGAGAGATGTGTAGGCTATCTCTGGGGTGGAGACGGGTAGCGCAGTGAGGAAGGGTTCCAGCAACGACGGAGTCGACTGATGGAGCGAGCTGTTTGCCTATTAGCAAAAAAGGTTTCAGAGACATAGGTCTTGGGGTGGGGGTAAACGAACCCTAGGATAATGCAACCATCTTCAGCTCGTCGACGAGCATGTTCCCAGGCCCGGATGGCCAGGTCACGATCCACGGCAGCCCCATTACGGCCATCTGGTAAGATAGTAGTGGCAGTGACCCATGTGTTCACGGCCAAGCTAGTACCCGAATCCAGCTGGTATGGTTGGCCGGCGGTGTAGAACGAGTGCAATGCGTTTAGCAACGTCGTGGTTGAGACCTGGGTGGCATGTTGAGAGGCCGGCCGCGGGCCAGCTGAGAAGCCGGCGGACTGTGTGGAGAAGACCGAGTAACGGTTCGACATGGCGAACCGAGAGGGACTACAAGTCCAACTATGGGCTTCGGTCTAGTACAAGTTGGAGAAAATCACTGCGACATGGAAAATCAGAATCACGACGGCGAAGCAGATCGCAGGTGGAGCAAGGAATAGCGAGTGTCGTGAGAGAGTTGGCGTGTCAACAAAGCGAGATTCCGTGGGTGTTTACTCCGGAGAATTGAGCGAGCGACTGGAGGAAGCGGTGAACTCCTAAGCGAGTGGAGGACGAAGGTTGAAGAGTCGAGAGGTTGAAGGAGGATCCGGAGACGATGACGAGGAAAGGGACGAGCGTGCTGAGATTACAGACGAAGAAAAAATGAGGGAGATAAGCCTCAAGCAAGAAGGCGAGGGCGTGGGGAGAAAGGGTACAGGACTCTGGAGTAACCGTGTAAGGGTCGGTAAGGCGCTTGTGAAAATTACAACTCCTTCTTTTTGAAAAGTGGACAAATCGTGTCGATCCGCTAACTGGGATCTGCCCAAAACGATCCTAAGCTTTTGAGGGGGGGAGGACTTTTCCCAGTACAGTACACCCTGAGCCAGTGGGGAATTTGTAATTGACAAACGACCAGGAATGAAGTGATTTCATTTAGGTTTGAATTTGCTCTATGCTCACATATTTCCGGGTACATCTGTTCCTATGCAGGGTCTACGGAGGGGGAAGTATTTTCAATTCCCAAGATTATGTAACCATCGATCGTTGTTTTACGTGTTGTTTATTTATGTGACTACAGTACATATACTGTAGGAGTCCAAGATAGAAATTACCATGGCAGTTCTCAATTAGAGTTAGGGGTACGTAAAGCTTCAGATTTTCAATTTGGGATTTTTGAATCTCATGACAGGCACATCACATTGTCGGGTGGGTGACCGAGTCTACTTTACAATGCCAGCCAATCGGCCACAAGCGAAAGGGTGTGGATATGCAGACCGGTTGGCACTAGCGCCGCTGAGCAGGCGACTAGTAACGAGACAAAATTACGGAGTGGTGGGTGCTATATTTGGGATGTCTCACAAAGGGGGTTGCGTATTGCCACTGCAGGGATGGTTACAGAGTAACGGAGTATCAATGACCACGGTTCTGATTTACTATGTGACAACGGTGTACTTGTACTATATCCGTAGTACTGCACACCTTCAAAATGCGATTCATACGGTAATTGAATCCCCTCCTTTTCCCATCGACTCTTTTTTTTGGATCTTTTGCCGACCGTGTAGCGGGCAAGAAAATCATGGTCAGCCACGGGCCCCTAGTTCCAGTACAATAGTCGGGCCCCCGAGGCTAAATGCGATCGGTGCGCTGTCGTCCACTCAGCAGAGGCAGATTTACCTCGGGTGGGCCGCGGTCGGTCCAATGCCTCTCGTCTGGGCCTTCGGCCCAGCACGGTCGCGCAGTCTGGTTTCTGACATGTTACTATTAATGCGACCCTGCAGTGGATGCATCGGACCGAGTAAGGAGCAGGACAGCTGCCAGCCCGAGGGGTGGCCTTTTGTTTACTTTGTAGACCAGTTGAATAACGCTTGGACGAAAAGAAATATGATTGTGACCTATCTTTAGCCATGGCTCCCTTGACCTAGTACGGTACGGAGGACCCGTACCCTGGGACGGGGCAGTTCATAGTCATCGACTCCAGGGACCGGGACCCTGCTGGGACTCCCGACGAGTGGAGCCTCTCTGTTTACCTGAGACCCTCTACCCGATTTAGCTGGGGGCGTGTTTACAGTAAACAGCTCATCGCTTGCCACTTTGATACAATCTCGGTCTGAATCTTGTGTCTTCCATGCTGAACCTCTGACCAGTATTGTCATTGGAAACCGGAATATACATACATAGCACTGGGTAATCTACTGTACTGTACAAAATCCAGACTAACGTGTGTCACTTGTCTTGCAGCTCTAAGCTAGTGGCCCCATCGTGTACCAAACAACCAAGCACTTGTAATACACAATACGGGTGGACGATTTTCAGTACGCGCCATCTTTGCAAACCCCCATACCGACGTTTAGGGGTACAACAGTATAATCCACATCTCCCGCCGTCCATGGCCTTCCATCAAAACTACAGTAGCTCCGTGAGCTGAGTAAAAGATACTTCGCAATAACAATACCCTTCGTTACCGTACCCCCACCGTACCACAAAAAAGAACAGTCCTTGTACTGCCCCAGACGAGCCCTCTCCGCTTATCTTTTTCTGCGATCCCCGAGGTCTGCTGGCTTTTATCTTCTCTTTTGGTGTCTCTCTCGATCTGCTTTCTTTTTTGGTTGCATTTCACTCGTTTCTCTTGCATCAAAATCCTGGCTCGGCGTTGTCTCTTCAGAGTGCCACGCCATTCCTACCCACTGAGCCCTTAATGTCCCCCGTTTCCCTGTAATCGCTAAGGGGTCTTCATTCCGGCGGGCATTCTTGGTCTCCACGTTCATTCCGAGGCGTGTCAAGATTTTGCACGGTCTGCGCTTCGACGGTCAAGTTTTCTCTCTCTCTCGCTGTGAGAGGGCCTAATCTGACCCGGCCTTCATCCACTCGCTTTCCTATCCGATCGGCCTCACTGCGGAGAGGTCAATAGCCTCCTCCATCATGGCGGGCAACAACACCGGGAGCACCCCGGCCCATGCCCAGTCTTCACTGCCCTCGCTCCCCGCACATCTGCAGTCGGATACCCATTTGACAGCCCATCTCGCCAGTCGGTATGCATGAGATCTGTGGAAGTGGCCAATCTGAAGGGGAATTAGCGTGCTGACAATCTCAACAGCTTCCATGTTGGACTTCCCACTGCCCGCCTCTCATCACAAGCATTGATCTCCCTCAACACGTACACATCGGCAACCAAAGGCCCAGATGGTGGAAAGGAAGGTAGTGCTGCTGGTGAAGCAGAGGATCTCGCCCGTCGCGCTTTCACTCGGTTGGGAGCGCGTGCCGAAAACCAAGCCGTGGTGTTCCTGTGAGTAGAATATGTGCCGAATAGCATCACCCACCAAATTGGCTACTGACTTGGACGTTTCCACATTGTAGAGGAGAAAGTGGTTCGGGTAAAACCACCATTCGCTCCCACCTGCTATCGTCTTTCCTGTCTTTCTCCTCGACCCCGCTCTCCTCCAAACTCTCCTACGCTGCCTTTGTCTTTGATACCCTGACCACCACCAAATCGGTGACCACCCCGACTGCCTCCAAGGCCGGTCTGTTCCTTGAATTGCAGTATGATGGTTCGTCCTCCGTGAACCCCACCTTGATCGGTGGTAAGATCATCGACTATCGATTGGAGCGAAGCCGCATCTCATCTGTGCCGACTGGTGAGCGCAGCTTCCACGTGCTATACTACCTCCTAGCCGGTACGAGTGCGGCCGAGAAGTCTCACTTGGGCTTCGATAACTCTATTCATATCAGCACCGGTGGCGGCAAACTTTCATCGGATTCGGTGACTAGCAAACGATGGCGGTATCTTGGCCACCCGACCCAGCTCAAGGTTGGAGTGAACGATCACGAGGGCTTCCAGCACTTCAAGACCGCTCTACGCAAGCTTGAGTTTTCCCGCGGTGAGATTGCCGAAATTTGTCAGATCTTGGCCAGTATTCTGCACATTGGCCAGCTGGATTTCGTCTCGGGACAGTCGACCACCACGACTGCTGAGGAGAGTGGAGGTTACTCCCACGAGGGTGGTGAGATGGTTACCGTTGTGAAGAACAAGGATGCACTGGGCAACGTTGCTGCATTCCTGGGGTTGAGTGTGGAGTCCTTGGAGAACAGCTTGGGTTACAAGACCAAGACTATTCACCGGGAGCGTGTGACGGTGATGCTGGATCCCCGGGGTGCCCGCGAGAACGCCGATGCATTCGCTCGCACTATCTACTCGCTTCTCGTCACCTACGTGATCGAGACCGTGAACCAGAAGATCTGCGCCGCGGAGGATAGCGTTGCCAACACTATCTCCATTGTCGATTTCCCTGGATTTGCTCAAGCACCAGCCACTGGCTCGACCCTCGACCAGCTGCTCAGCAATGCCGCAACTGAATCCCTGTATAATTACTGCCTGCAATCGTTCTTTGATCACAAGGCCGATGTGCTCGATCGCGAGGAAATTGCCGTTGCAGCGACCAGCTACTTCGACAACACCGACACAGTCCGCGGCCTCTTGAAGCACGGCAATGGTCTGCTCAGCATTTTGGACGACCAGACTCGCCGTGGGCGTAGTGACGCTCAGTTCCTCGAGAGCGTTCGCAAGCGCTTCGAGGGCAAGAACCCTGCGATCTCCGTTGGTAGCGGTGGCACTACCAGCTCTGGCTATCTATCCCAAGCTCGGACCGCCTTCACTGTCAAGCATTTCGCGGGTGAAGTAGACTACTCTGTCACTGGGCTCATTGAGGAAAATGGAGAAGTCATCTCGGGTGACCTGATGAATCTCATGAAGTCTACTCGCAGCGACTTTGTCCGCGAGCTGTTCGGACAAGAAGCCCTGCAGACCATTTCTCACCCTCGGGAGAAGACTGCGATCATGCAAGCCCAGGTCTCCTCAAAGCCATTGCGAATGCCCAGCATGGCCCGCCGCAAGCACGACCAACAGGCCCGCCAAATGTTCTCGGATCGCGGCGAGAGCGAAGAACCAGATGACCGCGATAGCCAGGCAGCCAGCTCTAGACGAAGCGTTGCTGGCCGCAAGAGTGGGCTGATGACTGGTCCTGCGCAAGGTGCAGCCGGCCAGTTCCTTTCGGGTCTCGAGATTATCAACAAGTGCCTAAGCTCGCCTAACCTTAATCCGTACTTTGTGATCTGTCTCAAGCCCAACGATCGCCGCATTGCGAACCAGTTCGACAGCAAATGCGTTCGCATGCAGGTTCAAACCTTTGGCATTGCCGAGATCAGCTCCCGGCTGAGAAATGCCGACTTTAGCGTCTTCCTTCCTTTCGCGGAGTTTTTGGGCCTGGCTGAGATTGGCAATGTCGTGGTTGGAAGTGACCGTGAAAAGTCCGAGGTCGTCTTGGATGAACGACGATGGCCCGGTAACGAAGCTCGCGTGGGAAGTACTGGTGTTTTCCTGAGTGAGCGTTGCTGGGCCGATCTTGCCAAGATTGGTGAACGTGTTGTGCCGTCGTACAACAAGATTTCCGGCTCCGATGAAGGTGATGTCGGATACAACGCCGGTGGTGCCGACACTAAGGTCCGTCTCTTGAACCCGACTGTTCAATCGCCAGGTGCCTTCATCTATGGTGATGAGTCCAAACAAGGTGGCTATTTCGGCAGTCGCGAGCTAGACGGCAAATCCGATGCGGGTGCTTCCGCTTTCAACTCTGGCGATATGTTCAAAAACCTTGAGACCAGGGAAGAGATGCTTCAAAAGGGCAATGAGAAGAACATGGAGGAGGTTGACGACGTCGTGGTCTCCGGCTCCCGCAAACGCTGGATGGCATTGGTCTACTTGCTGACCTTCTTCATTCCCGACTTCTTGATCAAATGGGTCGGCCGTATGAAGCGAAAGGATGTGCGGGTTGCTTGGCGTGAAAAGCTCGCAATCAACATGATCATCTGGTTTGCCTGTGGAGTCGCAGTCTTCATGATTGTCGCCTTCCCAGGTCTCGTTTGTCCAACTCAACATGTCTACTCGAAAGGAGAACTCAGTAATAACAACGGCAAGGATGGCGCGAGCTCCTATATTGCCATCCGGGGTGTGGTCTTCAACTTGGGTGACTTCATGCCCTCCCACTATCCTGATATCGTCCCGCAGAAATCTCTCAAGAACTACGCCGGCACAGATGCCACCAATCTCTTCCCAGTCCAGGTCTCCGCTCTGTGCCAGGGTGTGGATGGACACGTGGACCCCAGCGTGCCTCTGGATTACCGTTCCAATATGAACGAGTCAAGTACTACCACCTCTACCACCGATTACGATTTGAATGCCAAGTACCATGATTTCCGTTACTGGACCGAAGACTACCGGGCGGATTGGTTCTACGAACAAATGGTCATGATGCGTGCAAACTACAAAAAGGGCTACGTCGGGTACACTGCCAAGTATATGAAGACTCTGGCAGATGACGACAGCAAGAACATTGTCAGCATTGACGGCAAAGTCTACGATATGACTTACTACATCGCTGGACCTCGTATTCCCCGTTATCCGACTGGCAAAAACGCCAGCTCGAACGTCAACACGAACTACATGAACTCGCTGCTTGTCACTCTCTTCCAACAAAAATCCGGCACTGACGTGACCAAGTATTGGAATGACCTGGCAATTGACGCCACCACGCGTTCACGGATGCAGCTTTGCTTGGACAACCTGTTCTTTGTGGGACACGTTGATACCCGTAACTCGGCCAGGTGTCAATTTGCTCGGTACTTTATTCTTGCAATCTCCATCATGATTTGTATGGTCATTCTTTTCAAGTTCCTGGCTGCTTTGCAGTTTGGAAAGAAGAACCTCCCGGAGAACCTGGACAAATTTATCATTTGTCAAGTGCCAGCATACACTGAAGATGAAGATTCACTACGCCGTGCCATCGATTCCATGGCCCGCATGCACTATGATGACAAGCGCAAGCTCCTCTTGGTCATCTGTGACGGTATGATTATCGGTCAGGGTAACGACCGGCCCACTCCCCGTATCGTCCTGGACATTCTGGGTGTTCCCGAGTCCGTCGATCCCGAGCCTCTCAGTTTCGAGAGTCTGGGCGAGGGTATGAAACAGCACAACATGGCCAAGATCTACTCCGGTCTCTACGAGGTTCAAGGCCACATCGTACCCTACCTGGTCGTTGTTAAGGTTGGCAAGCCTTCCGAGGTCTCTCGCCCGGGTAACCGTGGTAAGCGTGATTCTCAGATGGTTCTCATGCGTTTCCTCAACCGTGTTCACTACAACTTGCCGATGAGCCCTATGGAGCTCGAGATGCACCACCAGATTCGGAATATCATTGGAGTCAATCCGACATTCTACGAGTATATCCTGCAAGTCGATGCCGATACCGTCGTTGCCCAAGATACCGGTACACGCTTCGTTTCCGCCTTCCTCTCCGACACTCGCCTCATCGCCGCTTGTGGTGAAACGTCTCTGTCCAACGCTAAGACGTCCATTATTACGATGATCCAAGTATACGAATACTACATCTCGCACAACCTGACCAAGGCTTTCGAGAGTCTCTTCGGATCTGTCACTTGCTTGCCCGGCTGTTTCAGTATGTATCGTGTTCGCTCAGCGGAGAGTGGCAAGCCCTTGTTCGTCAGCAAGGAGGTCGTTGAAAGTTACTCTGAAATTCGCGTGGACACATTGCACATGAAAAACTTGCTTCACCTTGGTGAAGATCGGTACCTGACTACACTCCTGCTTAAGCATCACCCCAAGTTCAAGACCAAGTACATCTTCCGTTGCCATGCCTGGACTGTGGCCCCCGAGAGCTTCGCCGTTTTCCTCTCCCAGCGTCGCCGATGGATTAACTCGACCGTGCACAACCTCATCGAACTGATTCCCTTGCAACAGCTGTGCGGTTTCTGCTGCTTCAGTATGCGTTTCATCGTCTTTGTCGATCTGCTCAGTACCATCATCCAGCCCGTCACGGTTGCGTATATTATTTACCTGATTGTGTGGCTGGTGCGCGACACTTCGGTCATTCCCTGGACGGCCTTCGTGTTGCTCGGTGTTATCTATGGTCTGCAAGCGTTTATCTTCATCATGCGTCGCAAGTGGGAGATGATCGGCTGGATGTTCATCTACATTCTCGCCATTCCCGTCTTCACACTTGCTCTGCCTCTCTACTCCTTCTGGAACATGGACGACTTCACCTGGGGTAACACTCGTGTCATCACCGGAGAAAAGGGCCGCAAGGTCGTCATCTCCGACGAGGGCAAGTTCGACCCGGCCTCTATCCCCAAGAAGCGCTGGGAAGAATACCAGATGGAGCTCTGGGAGGCACAAGAGGGACAGACCTCGCGCGATGACCACTCCGAGGTCTCTGGCTACTCCTATGGCACTCGCGCTCACCCCTTCGCACAGTCCGAGTACGGCTTCCCCGGCTCGCGGCCCGTCTCTCAGCTCGATCTGCCACTTCTCGCCTCTGGATCACGCATGTCCGTGGCACCCTCTGAGATGATGAGCCATCACATGGATATGGACATGAGCATGGAGGACTTGAGCCACCTGCCCTCGGACGACGCGATCCTTGCTGAGATCCGTGAGATTCTGCGCACGGCCGATCTCATGAGCGTGACCAAGAAGAGTATCAAGCAGGAGCTTGAGCGTCGTTTCGGCGTTAACCTGGACCTGAAGCGGCCCTACATCAATTCTGGTATGTTATCAATTTGTTCCTTTCCACGCTCATATTTGAAGAATGTCTACTGACGGTGTTTCATCTTCAGCTACCGAGGCTGTTCTTTCCGGTCTTCTGTAATCTGATCGGGCTGTGATGCCTGTGATACCCAAAACCAATTACACCCATTGCTCCAGGCACCGTGGTGGTTTCGGATACTGTGTTAGTAATGTCTGTTTGCCCTTTCCCCACGCACTTCATCATAGGGGGCTGTACGCTCATCTCTGCAAGTCGTCTTTTATTTTTATTTTTTCCAGCGGAAAATCTTTGCATGGATGAGAGCTTTTTGTCATTTCCTATTATTTTTCAGCGGGTTTTTTATATCCTGTTCCTGGACTGAATGGTTTCCCCCCCCCTCTCTCTCTCTCTCTCTCTCCCTCCGTCTTCTTCTGGAAATTTTGGTCTGCACGGTCCATAACATCTGTCGGTACCTATTTTTTGTGTCCTCTTGTCTACCTGTTTGTATTCTTCCGGGGCGCATTACAGTTGAATCTGAAATCGGATAATGCCCAGAAATTATATGCTCTGGTGTTTAATATGAATCTCGTCTCGAGGAAAGATCATTTGGGATCGTAGATGTTTAGAGTAAAACCCATAGGTCCCAGATCGGTATCACCTGGCCTTGGAGATACCCCGCAAGAGCCTTTCCTACCTATCACATGAATTGGATCTTTGTGTAGTTCCTCCATCGACAGGCTGACAGGACGCCACGCCAAGTGGGGTTGCAGTTGGCAGATGCAGATCGCGGCCTTCCGCAATACGATTTAGATTCACGCAAGCTCCATCACTTGCAAGTTGCAACTCGCAAAATCTGGAACTCAACCAATCTCTCTATAACACCCATACCTCTACCTACCTCGGCACTGCTATATACCTATTCACCTCACAAAAAAGACCCTCCTTATCTCCGCACTCCATATATATATATATCTCTCTCTCTCTCCCCCCACCACAGGCTCACCACAACCAAACACAAAATGCCCGACCAGCCCCCAACCCAAAGCACACAAGAAGACCACCAAAAACAAGAAGCTCTCGCCGCCTTCACTGCGACTCTCCACTCCGTCGGCACGAATCTTGAAACTCCACTGCGCGATCGCGCGGCTACGATCGCGGCCAGCGATGTCGCGCTGCGGCGGCAAGAGGCCGAGTTGGCGGAGCACACGGCGCGGTTGGCGAGGCAGAATGCGCAGTGGGCGGGGTGGGCGGATGAGACGAGGGAGGGGTTGAAGGAGATTGGGGATGTGCAGAATTGGGCGGAGATGATTGAGAGGGATTTGTTGGTTTTGGAGGAGATGATGGATGGGGTTGAGAGGAGGGATGACGAAGAGGAGGAGGAGGGAGATGCAGAGGGAGAGGGAGATGGAGATGGAGAAGGGGGCAGAGAGGCGAGGCGGATTAGGGAAGAGGATGGAGAGATGCGGAATGGGGATGTACTGGTGAATGAGAATGGAAATGAGAATGGAAGTCAAGGAAAAGGGAAGGAGGTGAATGGGAGGGAGTCGAAGGGTTGGTTGAGGTGGTGGTGAGAGTTGAAGAGTCATGGATTCCAGTAGTTTATATACTTTGGCTTGGTGTGTCAAGCGTGTAAATGGGGGGTATCAAACTATCAAACAGATCATGCCTCGTCCTCGTCCTCCACTTCTTCCACTTCTTCCTCTTCTTCCTCTTCTTCATTCTCGCCCGCCGCCTCCTCAACGTATCGCGTCCAAACATCCAATCCCGAAGGACCCTTCTCTTCTCCCTCTTCCTCCCCTCCGTCATCCTCATATTCATCCCACTCCTGCCACTGCCCAAGACTCATCAAATGCCGCATCGTCGGTCTCCCATGCGGGCAATTCCAAGGTTTATCAATAGTCCCCATATTGCGCACAACTCGCTGCATCTGCCGCGTCGTCAAGGTCTTCCCGATCATAATACTGGACCGGCATGCCCGCATAGCAAACATCTTGCGGACTTTGCTAGGCCGGGGTACCGAAATCCCATTCACACTGGCTGCCTCGGACAAGAGCACGATCAGTTCCTCCAAATCGCGCGACCCAAAGACAACTTCTTTGCTAAGCGGGAGCGATACCAATTGACATCGTCGACCGATAGGCTCGTCGCCACTTTCGTCGACGGTGACGATGAAGCCGTTCTTTTCGAGGGCGGAGCGGTTCTCGAGGACAATCTCCTCTTCGACGGCGGTGAGATCGAGTCGCTGGGGTCGGACGAGACGCTGGTTTTGCACGACGGTCTCGGCCTGGAGACGCTCGAAATTGAATTTTTCGTCCGAGGCGTGCTGGTCGATGATGAATAATTCGTCGTGGTCTTCTCCTGGCCGGACGGCAATGATGAAGCCCAGGTTGAATTGACCGATGATGCGCATTTGGGCAAAATCCGCTTTGCTGACGGTCAGCGAGAGGCGGTCTTCTGCGGTTTTCTCGTCGCCCAGATCGGTGTCTGTCTTTTGTGATGGCACATTCTGTGTCCGGAGGCTCTCTCGGAGATTCGCCATCTGCGCTTGGAGCTTGGAGACAGAGGCATCGATAGTGGTCACAAGTTGAACGGTGGCATCACGATGTGCGGCACCCTTGTTCATCTTGTTTGCGCGACTGGTGCTGTGCTCGGATGGAAGCACGGCTTTTTCTTCGGCTTGATGGATGAGCTGTTGAACCATGGCTTCTTCTTGGGCCCTTTTCTCGGCTTCACCGAGGGCATCTTCATCTGTCTTGGCTGCTGGCGCCTCATCAATTGGGTTTTGATCATTGCCCGTCTCCTGGCTAGGAGGCACACGGTCTCCTTCCGGGGCGTAGTCGGTATCCTCAGGTTCGGATGAATAGACCTCCTCCTGAGATTCTTCGGCCTCTTCATCTACAAGACCTTTTTCATTGCCTTCGCTTGCAGCATCTTCACTTCCTTCCTCTTCCTCTTCCTCTTCCTCTTCGTCATCGCTCAACTGCGTCCCGGGCGCCGCAAACGCCTTCATCTGCTCCCCAAATATACCAGGTCGTGACGGAGTATGGATTCGTCGCTTACGTTTAGATTGTCCATTAGACGGATACCCGATATCAGATGGTCGTTTTCGCGGGCCACCGCTGCCGATCATGGAGGTCACCGTATGATCACCAATCGTAATGGTGGCCATCTCAGCCGGCATTCGACGCGGGCGCATTCGATCAAAGGCATTCTGAACCACGTTTGGCATTTCCTCGGCCTCATCTGGCTGTTGTGGTGGTGGTGATGGTGCGGAGTCCGGTTCTGCGGGTGGGGAGGGCCGTCGAGGTGGTTGAGAGGTTTCGTCTTCCATCTCATGCTCTGGTTCGTGTTCGGACTGATCTGCATTTCTAACCTCAGGCCTGACAGAAGGAGTACACTCGGCCAATGACGGTCTTGGTGTCTGCTGGGACGTCCGGGTAGATCTCGTTGGAGTCGACAGAGCATCCACTTGGTCAGGCCCATCTTGAGTGCTCATAAAGCGCTTGATACTGTTTTTCACAGTCCGTTGCGATGCCTTCGACTCCTTTTCAGACTCGTCGATGCTCTGATCACGGTCCGGCGTGGCGGCAGACCCGAGAGTACTCTGGCTAAGCTGCCGAGCAGTAACGAACCCCGGAAGCGAACCCAGTGCCTGCTGCTTAGCCGCCATCGGAGTCTTAGAGCCGAGCACCTGCGACTGAGGAACGGTCTGATCCGTAGCATCGAAGAGCCGTACCAAAGATGTCTTCAGCGACTCAATCAAAGCTCCCGCATCATGCAGTAGAATGGTCCTCTTATCCGGCGACACGTTCACATCATAAGCATTCGTATCCATCTGAAAGTCCGCAAAGATAAACGGCGATTGCGAGACATTGAACGATTTATACACCTCATTAAACGCCTTTGCAATCTGCGGTAGACCACAAGGCCGCGAGTTCACAAAAAACATCTGTCGATCCGGCGTTTGCCGTCCTTCTCCAAAGACGGGCCTCGAGATATGGCCTTTGACCACCAACTTATTGGAGTGCGCATCGCCGCCGCCAGTACGTCTCATGGGCGCAGAGGGTTCAAACTCCAGCTCGAGGTCGAGCGGAATCAACGCAGACAACGTCTTAGCCCCATACACGTTCGCAATATTCTCCTTCGTCGTACGATTCCCATTCGTCGAGAAAACAACCACGTTTTTCGTTTTGCCCACGGTATTTCGCACACTGAATTTGACTCCGGCACTGATGCAAGCATATGCGTGGAGTAGATTCAACACTTTTCCGTATTCCCGCTTGATGTTTTTCTCCAGTTCGCGTCTGCGCACGGGAAGTCGTTTGAAGATGCCTTCCACCGAGGCAGTCGTTCCCTTTTGGCCGGCCACGACCTGGGTTTTGCGAAGCTTGCCGGAGGTTTCAAAGTCCAGCCGGTTTGCGCGGGGGACTTGGTTGGCTTGGGCTGTGATGACGTGGAATTCAGCGAGGGCGCATAGTGAAGACAGAGCTTCGCCGCGGAAGCCGAAGGTGTGGAGGCTGGAGAGGTCATCGAAGGAGGATAGTTTGGAAGTGTGGTGTTTTAGCGCTGAGAGGGAGGTGGCAGAGTTAGCTTATAGAGCTGGTTGTACATTGTCAAGTTGGTTTGAAGCTCACCGACGTTCTCGTAGTTCTCCGGCGAGATGCCCGTTCCGTTGTCCTGCACCTCGATCAAGTCCAGCCCGTTGTTCTTGAAGCGCACCTCTGGAATAAAAAGTCAGTGAAATTGAAACTCTGGTTTGATCTAGTGGAAGTCACTCACCTATTGTAGTTGCGCCCGCGTCGAGGCTATTCTCGACCAGTTCTTTGGCAACGGAGCACAGGTCTACGATGACCTGGCCAGATTGGATTTGATGGACCTTGTAAAGGCTTGAATTAGCTACAGCATAACTTCGTCATGTAATCAGCCAAAGCACTAACCGAACGAGCCTCGATGGCTTTAATAGTCGCCATCGTTCATGCCGTGTCATCAGCGAGGTGAGGCGCGTCGCACTTTACGCGTGAGGTGATCTGCCAAGCTCCGCCTCCGCCGAACACTCCGCATTTCCCAACACTTCCGGGCACTAAGCACCGAGCATTTCTACACTTGATGAAGACGTATATTGATGATAACGAAATGAATTGCATTGCTGCATGAAGATATACTGCCCATAAAAAGAAATAGTGATCGCTCAGAACGCCTAGATACTCAACCCCATTCTTCATCATTTAATACGCAGCAAAGCGATCAGGCAACACCACTGGCGCTACAAGTGTCCAGAGATAAATCGCATAGCACACCCAAGAGCTGAAAATCTTCACCCAGCTAGCCCAATAAGTCCGGCCAACCGGAGCAAAGTCCGTGGTGGTGTCGACGGTGAGACCCTGCGATAGCAGGGTAGCCACCCAGGTCGTGGCCAGGAAGAAGATAATGTGGAAGAGGGTGTAGCTATACTGGGTCGAGCCACGCTCGTCATCCTTGCTGCTGGTTTCAAATTCATCCTCATCGTCGCTCTCATCCAGGGCACTGGCCGGCAGACTACCGCTCTCGACAGCAGCTCGGAGAGCTTCGGCGCGCATCTCCCGGCGGCTGTTGGGCTGCTGGGTGACTAGACCGTGCTCGTTATCGTCTGCGCCAAGCTCGATATAACCATGTCCACCCTTCGAGCCCAAGGCAATCCCCTGAGTGGCCGCACGAGTAGTAGTATACGCAACGGTAGCCATGGTCACAATTGCCCCCAAGATGATGGTAGCTGTCCGGGTACCGCTCGAGCGGATCAAGGGGTTGCAGTTGTTGTCATCCGGCTCCATCGAGACGGCGGAGAGGGTGAGATAGGTGCAGTACACAGTGACCATAGCCGCTTGGGCCAAACCGGCACGAGGGTTGGACTCTTGGACGGCGGGTTGAACAGACACGGCGGAAATGATCAGGAAGACGATCAGGTTGACCGTGATCGCAGCCTGGTTCATGGAGCACCCGCTCTTGGCAAAGAAGACGTACATGAGAATCGTCATGACTAGCGAGGCCAGGTACATGCCAAGGGTCGATCCGATGAGCAAGCCACGCCACAGACGCGAGTCACTATCCTCAATCTTCTGCAGACAAAGCTCGGCCCATGAGTGCGCGAGATCCACCAACAGAATCAGACCCAATAGTAGGAAGAGCATCGCACAGAAGAAGGCGATATAGTTGCCGTAAACAAAGAAGAAGGGCTCGGGGATGAAGAAGGACATGACGACGAAGCCTAGCCAGAACAGTATCTTCGGACCCCAGAAACCATTCTGAAGGGCGGCGCGGCTATCTCTAGAGTTCTTGACTCCGAGGAGCAAGAGGGCGAGGATCAAGTGGAAAAGACCGAGACCGAAATTAATGCGATGAACCGCAACCCAACCGTGACATTCCTTGCCATCGCATTTGATTTCCATATAATCCAGGGTTAAGTGTTGCAATTTCTTCATGGCCCATGGCGTGAGCATGATCCAGGATACGATAGAGTTGATCAACAGGATGAAGGCGTATGCGACTCGTGTTGCCATACTGTGTCGTAGTTAGCTACGGCCTGCGGTCATGTCATTGTCGGGGAGGCAGTAGTACCTGTTCTGAAACTTTCCACATGCACTGCAGACAGCTGAGCAAGTCGCAGCGCCACAGCATGAGCCGCCGAGGGTGATGAGCTATTCGCAAGTGGAGTCAGTTTACCGCTCATCCGGTGGACTCGAATGCGACTTACCGTGCCAACGCTGGGCAGCGCCATCAGCGGTAGAGACAAGAGAGCACCCATGATGAATTGCAGAGGATCAAGCCAGGACTAAAGAATAGCCGGATCCTGGATTCTGAATGTCTGAAGATCGGTTTGCAAGTGAGGGAAACCAGTGGTGCCTGGGAGGCGTTCGGCGCAAGTCAAGTGGAGGTGCCGAAGATCACCCAACCGCCTTCGTCATGTCCGGTCACGTGAGAGAGTGGATATCTTATGTCAGCGGGCCCGGAGATCGGACCATTTCTCCAGAAGGTTTGGGGGCCGGTACGAAGTATGCTCGTATCAGAGGATTCATAGCCAGTTTCTGGCTTGATCTCGAGGAGGTTTCTGGGGACTGAAGTTCAGGAGCGAAGACACAAATAGTATGTATCGTAGGGATACTTTGTGTGAAACAATGGGAACGATATAGTTGAAGTGTATGTGTTAGCAGGCTCGTATAGCCCAATGGTCATCCTCGTCGACAATTTCCATTGAGCGACATGCGAGCCATATTTGGAAGAGTATACTCTGTATTCGAAACTGATACCGCGTGCTCGCATTCTCTTCAAAATAGTGTCAAAAATAGTGGATGACCCTCCGATATACTAGTTGATATACGTATCACCTAAAGTATTTCCCATAACTAAGGGACGCCACGATATGGTTGACTGGCACCGTCTACAAGACGCGAGCGCAAACAACAAATGAATGGAACGTCTACATATGTACACCCCTAAAATAAGGTTTCTATCCAGCCAGTCCCGGTCCACCTGGACGCGATCATCTGCTGCGAGGTCGTCCACCTATGAGCCCGTGACAAGAAATGATGCGAAGGAGGACAAAAAGGCTTGGCGCGTATCGGAGCCGTTCAGACCGTTCGGCAGACGCCGGTGGAGCGCCGCGCTGTCTTCTTCCGTTATCGTGGCCTCGTAGGGCGATTACGACAACTCCTTGAACCTCACCTCGGACTCTCGTTCCCCTTCATTCAACTTGCTTGTCGTTGCTGTCGACTGTCGTCCCCCTCTTGTTCGACTCCGATGTTCCTCCTTTTACCGTCCTTTCATTATCCTCCACCTATTCCAACATCCTGAACTCGATCTTCTGCTCCGATAACGCGTTGACGCAATCGCATCCCTCTCTGTAGTCTGTACGACGCACAATTGCGGGACTACTTTCCGGGAAAAATAGCACGCCCTCTAAACGACCGCAACCATGACCGGCTCTTATCATAAGACTGCCCGGACTATCTCGGTCGTCGCCGGCACTCTGGTAGCTCTGTCCTGCGGAACCAATGTTCGTGATTCCCGCCTATTGGCAATCTCAACCCCAATTCCGTACGCGATGGCCCATAACTGATCTTTGGTGGTTCTCCAGTATGCATACTCCGCATGGGCACCCCAGTTTGCGCATCGCATGAAGCTCTCGTCGACCGAGAGTAATTTGATCGTGAGTCGTGTGACCCCAGACTTTTAGCGGCGGAATTCCGATGTTGACAGCTTGGCAGGGTGCGGCGGGAAATCTGGGCATGTATGCGATGGGTATCCCAATGGGATTGTTGACGGATGCTCGTGGTCCACGACTGATCACTCTGATCGGATCGATCTTGCTGGCATTGGGATACTATCCAATCTACCTCGGTATGCATCTTCGGATCATATACATAGATCGAGGATGTCCTTGCTGACCTCTATAGCTTATCAATCGGGAGAGGGATCGGTGCCAATTATCTTTCTATGCTTTTTTGCTTTCTTGACGGGAACCGGTGGCTGCTCTGCCTTTGGCGGTGCCATCAAGACGGGTATTTTTCCACCCAAGGTCCGGTAGAACAAGTCTCCAAGCTGATATTCCGCATTCTAGCTGCTTCAAACTTCCCCGATCACCGCGGCACGGCGACCGCATTTCCGCTGGCTGCCTTTGGACTGAGTGCCCTGTTTTGGTCTAATGTTTCCACGTTAATCTTCAAGGAAGATACCGGTCGCTTCCTCCTCTTATTGGCGCTTGGAACCTCCATCCTCTCTTTCTGCTCGATCCCACTCCTTCGGATCTTCCCTGTCGAATCCTACTCGTCTCTCCCCCATCACGGTCCTGGTGACCCTGGTCATTCTCAGCGAATGCGCCGAGCAAGCAATGTGGCAGGAAGCTCTGACGAGCACAACTCGACCGCATTCGATCATGAGCGATCGGCACACGCGCGCACACAATCGACTGTCTCAAACCACCGAGCTTCTGGTGCCGATTCTGACGAGACCTCCTCCCTCGTGTCAAAGCCCGATGGCAGACCCTCTTTCGACACTTTGGATGATGACTTCCTTGGCGATGTGGCCATGGAGGCGCATCACACCGATATTCGTGGGCTGGTTATGTTGCGTCACGTTGAATTCTGGCAGCTGTTTCTGACTATGGCTCTGCTGTCCGGAATTGGACTGATGACAATCAAGTAAGTCGTCAAGCATCAGGCAATTTTTGCGTTTCATTCGCTCACAGAATTTGTACAGCAATATTGGCAATAGCGTAAGACTCTTCTACCTTCGCATCTTGTTAAAATCCTAACCCTCCTTTAGGCCAAGGCCCTCTGGATCTACTACGATGACAGTGCTACTTCCAAGTTCATTCACCAGCGACAGGTCATGCATGTCTCAATTCTCTCATTCTGCAATTTCCTCGGTCGTCTCTCCAGTGGTATGTAATTTTCAACGTTCAAATCCATTGGCAGGCATAATCTGATTAATCCTCAAGGTATCGGCTCCGACATTCTCGTCAAGAAACTGAACATGTCGCGCTTCTGGTGTCTTCTAATCTCAGCCGTCGTCTTCACCCTGACCCAGCTCGCCGGCTCCTCCATTTCTAATCCGAACACGCTAGTCGTCGTCTCTGCCTTTACCGGTGTCGCCTACGGCTTTTTGTTCGGTGTCTTTCCATCTTTGACCGCACACACCTTTGGCATTGGCGGTCTTTCCCAGAATTGGGGCGTCATGACTCTAGCCCCTGTCTTTAGCGGAAACGTCTTCAACCTTATATACGGTACCGTTTACGACCGACACTCCATCATCGGCCACGAAGGTGACCGCGAGTGTCCCGATGGTCTGGCCTGCTACCGCTCCGCCTATTATCTGACTTTCTTCTCCGGTCTGGCTGGTATCTGCGTTTGTTTGTGGAGTATCTTCCGTGAGAGGCAGATTCACAACGTCGTGCGGAAGAAGACCTGCCAGCGACTTGCATAGACGATGATTTCCTTTTACTAAAATCTGTCAGTGGTCTTCGCGCTCGCGAGCGGCATGTTGAATGCGTAATCTCTCCTTTAGAATTTTCTTATGTTCTGGGCTGACAGCCCTATGATCAAACGTTTGCTGGTCAACCTTACACAGTCTAGCGTCGACGCTAGAACTTATCCAATATTCGCATTCGTGGCTTGTTTTTCATTATCTGCTATAGACTTGATATACCTTGCATCTCTGCGCTTCATACTCTGAATCTATGTCGTGTCTCTCTCTGGCGACTTACTTTGTTTTACTTGTCGACATGGGTGCATCATACTCATAGCTTATAGAGAAATACAATCCATTGCGATTGTCCCCATCTCTTCACGTCACGGACCACTCCCAAGGTGGAATAAACTTGCGGGCGAAGTACGATCAGGCTGGCTGTATCGAAATATAGCAACTCGTTGGGAAGTATGGGTAAGATACATGGTGGGTGAAGACTGTATTCGTCCCTAATGCAGGCCAATGCAAAGTCTGTCATGTTCTGTCCTTCTACACCTTGGCCTGCCGCCCCTTAGTTCCACTTTCACAGCTACCTCGGTCATTGCTCAACCTTGTGGAACTTTAGAAGACGATTGAAGACCTTAACTTCCCGGGGCTTAATGTATAACGGTTCGGTGGTTGCAGCGTATTCTTTAAAAACCTCTCTTGTCGCTCTCTTCTGTTTCTCATCTTGTCAATTCTAGAGCATGAACAATAAACAGGTGCGAAATTACCTTCATGAACCAGTCGAGCTCAGCATCCCTACGGAAACGTCGTTTTAGATCTTATTGGAGAGAAGGTTCTCTAGACATCCGGGTCCAGACTTACCAGGACTCTGCGAGTAATATATGGCCAGGATCATCAGGCGACTGAAGAACATCCAGAGAGATACACTGAGGCTCCCTGATAGTTTCTTCATAGATTGGTTTGAATGCCGTAAAAAACTTTTGCAGGTTCTCCGGTGCAATAAAGAGTGAGACCTGAATATGGAATCCACTTTGGAGGGTACAATCCATGTTATCGACGCAGCGAGCAGTGTCTGGGTGTAAAATTGTTGAGGGACACTATGCTGAAGCCTACGAATAATCTGTAGACTATATACCCCACGGGACAATTGAGAGTCGTCTCTTTTCCCGGCGCGGCTATGGTAGGATGACTTCGGTCTTTGTACCAATGGCAAAACCCGATCTGAACAGCTCAGCTCCTGATGTGTAGGTCCGAGCCGGTCGTACAGCGTTGTAGCAGGGGTCTCGATTGGACAGACTCTTTGAAATCAGTAATGCAAGATTGGTAAGCTAGTCATGGCCCTGTCAAGTCTTAGCTGTGCTTGGAGAATGACGCTATGGTATGTATGACTGGTAGGGCATCCAACTGTGTCGAGTCAACGACAGTCCTGTCTCTTGTATACAAACACAAGGCCGCTCCATTGCACCGCTAGACAGTCCTGCACTGAACTTATGCACCTGAAAAGGTGGTGGAGTTGTCAATTTCAGCCCGGGTACTTGCCGCTGGCTCTCCGATCCTTCCTTTGATATTGTCGTAAGCCTTGCCACCGACTCTTTAAAAGAACTAATTTTTCTAGCTGCTGACAATACTGGAGAAATGCCTGACATTTAAATAGATAAGTTAGCCGCTGAGGCAAACGAAGTTTTGAAAGCATAGCTTCATCTTTTGACGACTAGGTTCTATAGATACCTAGAAGCATTCCTCTCGTCACGGGCTATGGCGGATGTAATAGGAAAAAATGTGTGGCCCACATATCAACCTTCTTAAGAAATAAGGTGGATTTTCAGGCAAAGAAGAGGAAAAGAAAAAAAAGAAACAAAATGATAACTCCGAATAGGGGAATCGAACCCCTGGCTGTCGTGTGAGAGACGACGATGTTAGCCACTACACCAATTCGGAAGGTGGAACCATGGACACCACTAGGCTATCCTGCTGGCTGTTGAATATTGGGCTAAAGTTTGACAATATGAGCCTGGCTCTAGGTCAAGAAACTCCCCTCCAGATTCACAGGACTTGCTTCTGGGGCTAGGCTACAGTACTCATAAAATTGGTTATATTACCAAGCATATTCTCGAGACAGTTATAGCCCTTGACAATGATGGAAACGCTTCTAACCGATTTTCCCACGGCCAATGCCGGGGGTTTCCCATAGGACTTCCCCTTCTTTATGCGTGCCGGCTGTTTTCCAATACCGCCCTTCATGGCTCGTTCAATGCCTTTTCTTTCCCCGTTCGTCCCTGTTCTTTATTCTCTCCTAGAACGGCAGACACAGTCGAACTCCTTTTCTTTTCCTGCTTCGTGCACTAGCGATTCTATCGCCATCAGATATGGGTAGTTGTTGGCCCACTGAATCGGCTTCTCATATTGTTAGAAAACAACGTAACAGGCTTGTCATGTGTAGAGGTAATTGATAAGTCTGGGTCTGGATACCCAGAGAAAGAGCCCCGATCCGATATGCCTGGCCTCACATCCAGTATGAGTCCCCCTATTACTTCTTTGTGTCTATGGTCCTGAGAACCATCTACTTCACAGGACTACCATAGCATGATGGCGCCATGATGAGTGTCAAGAAGGCTAAATTCAAGGACAACGCCCCTTGGGGAATGAGGGATTGGGTGCTTTGAGAGGTTCCTTGTGGCAATTAGCAAAGCTTGAGGTTATTCGCAGGATCGATTAGAAGCTTCGGAGAGATGTTGGTTACGCCAGGTACATGTGTTGAAGGGTTTGTATTCCCGGAAAGAACCCGAAATTGAAGATAGCTGACGTCTTCTCACAATGCGGGCTTTACAAATGGGAGATCGTGAAACCTCTCGAGTATTCAGTCCTCCTGATTCCAGGCGGAGACGGCAAGATCGGGATCACATACGACGAGTTCACTCGACTCGCGGGAAAAAAGGGAGTCTTTGGAAGCCAGCGGACAAAAATGAACAGGTCTGTTTAATTACAGCTTAGTCCTTGGGAGGCTCTTCATGGTTCTTTTCAATCGTCTTCTTGAATGCTGTTTAATACTCAAATGAAAGGCGAAAAACCAAAGATAAAAAATGAAAAAAAAAAGAATGAAATCTCCGAATAGGGGAATCGAACCCCTGGCTGTCGTGTGAGAGACGACGATGTTAGCCACTACACCAATTCGGAAGGTGGAACCGTGGATACCACTAGGCTATCCTGCTTGCTGTTGTAAGACTGATGGGTTTTTGACCATCATAAGCCAGAATTATCGGTTCGACTCAACATCTGGGAATCTATTGAGACGGAGGGCTGCTAGGGCGGGTCCTTAGAGACATATCATCCTAATATGTAACTACATTACATCTGCTTACCTATAAACCAATCTAGAACCTATCGGTCAGTCATTGCTCTACTGTCACTGTAGCTATTAGAATGTATATGCGCCGGATTGCCGGTGCTAGCTCTGGATTCGGTGGGTGGTTCTTTCCTTGCCACAGGCTAAGTTGGCATTCCCAGACATATTCAAGGCTTTGGCCTAGTATCCAATAATACAAGTATGATAGGGCTGTAGGCGCTATGGATGATACATATCATAAATCCATCCATGCTTGGGCGGCCCTGTGTGGCTTTTTGTTGGTGTATTAGAGCATCGGCTTGGATATATATTCCTGCAACCGAGGAATGACCATCGACAAGATTATAGCGGTCATCAAGACCAGCCCGTCGTCTGGTCCGGCTACTACTCGTACATGGCACTCCCCGAAATACAAAAGTTACACGAATAACTGGGGTTTCTGCCTGCGCTACCCATTGCCACCGCATACACGCCGACCAGGAAGCGGAAAGAGCAACCCAAACAGACAGAGAATAACGAGGCCAATGAAATGAGTAGGTAGACATATTTCCCCATTCAAGTATCGTAACTTCACCATCAGAGGGCTGTCAAAGGCATGAGATAGCGTATATGAGGAAGAGAGAAATCTAAAATGCGAATTCCTCCGACGAATGTCTACTACCTACATGCGGTGGTCAGTATATGACAGTGGCTGGCAACCCAGTCTCGATAACAGCGGCAGAAACAAGAAGTACATACAATCAGGCGTGAATAAAGATCTTGAGCCGTCCCAGGTCACACTACCTCTCTCATCTTGCCGTAGTTCTGGCCAGGATTCGACTGCCAGGAGCGAATGATATTATGCTCGCGAGTAGAGTTCGAGCCACTGAAGAGCCCGACACAGAGTACACACCAATTAAAATCCAACTCTAGTACAAGGATCGTAGCTATTTACCCAAGTGAAATAACATAGACCTTAATGACCAGCATATCGACATGTGTCGGGACACATAGACTCTCGACAGGCCATCTAGACAGAAACGTAGGGTGCCATAGTTCCGATTTGCAGGGCGCATGAAAGAATAAATCCGCTAAGCTGTAACTACGAGACTAAATTCAAGAGGAATACGAGCTGCTTTATTTGTAGGGAACTCAGAAGGAGTTTACACTTGACCTCCTAAAGATCACAGATTCCGCTAGTACGTACCTCGGACTTGCAATTTCCCTAGAGGGTTAAGTATAGAGGACCTAGATTCATGTTATAGGATTATGTAGGCAGAAAATTGATAATTCTTCAACAGCCAGCAGGATAGCCTAGTGGTATCCATGGTTCCCTTCCGAATTGGTGTAGTGGCTAACATCGTCGTCTCTCACACGACAGCCAGGGGTTCGATTCCCCTATTCGGAGTTGTCATTTTGCTTTTCTTTTTGCACCCTAGCTTTCCCCCACCAGTCTACAACCAGGTCAGATCTATAGACAACAACTGTAATAGCCTTACTTATAATGAATCGATATGTTGCATACGCGCAAGGCTCACAGGAGTCCTACAACCGCCGAGAGTGATATATCAGGGCTAGATATTGTCTGTCAATCACCGGGCCTATCACCAGATACTAAACATGTAGTCGAAGCAGACAAGCAGAAATTTGTCGCTGTCTATTTCTTGGTGTCTTTTATCTTGTGTTCAAGTTGGGGAAATCTGTGTTGCTCCTACTTCATACGTCTAGGTAGTCCAAGCATACCATGTATAGCAAAGAGAGATGTGTTATAAACATAACCTCCACTGTGCCATGAACATGGACGCCAAACCGGCTGAAATAACACCGAAGAGCACCTATATTGCCATCCCACAACGGTATTGAACTATAGGCCGTAAGCTCCGAGATCGACGTACGACCGAAAGAGCAGACCAGCTAGCCCGATGGAAAGCAAGACAAGAACAGGAAAGAAGAGCCGCAGGCACTCAGTAAATGTCCTTTTAGATATTTCATTTTTCTCATAGTTCCTCCACGTGTAGCCCGGCCGACCTTCCACATCCCGTGTCCTCGTAAGACGGGTGAGAGAAGAAAGAAAAAGAAGCAACCAAACAATACCATTAAAGCATACTGGAAGTTTTCGTACACAACCCGCAGAAAGCAAATTAAAAGGAGACCTCTTGCAAAAACATCCGGCGAACCAGGGAAGAAAAGAAATGGAAGACAACGCGCGAGAATTAGCTTTTTGTGTGTTGAAAATTCCAGCCGATAATAGACTTGGGAAGGGTATCAAAAGGACCAGGGAAGATCGGACATTGCAGCAATCGCGGGATGGACTCAAAAAACACAGAACAAGGGGGAAGGGAGGAAGGTAGAGAACCGTGTGATGATCGGAAGATGGTCAAGGAGCTTAGTTGCTCTTTGGGGACTTTGGTGGCGCTGGCGATTCCTCGGGAGAATGTTCAACCATGTCAGAAAGGCGAATGCGCTTAGCGGAGGGTTCTGAGCTATCCGCATCAAAGGAGCCGCTGGTGCCGATTTGACGCTCGAGTTCGTTGACGCGACGCTTCAGATCTTCTTCGCGGCGCTGAGTCTCCTCAAGAGTACGGCGCAGGCGAGCTTCGGAGTCCCGCGCAATCATCTCGGAGCGACGCGCGCTCGCATCACTCTGCTCGAGTTCGGCAACCCGACCGCGGAAAAGCTCATTGATCAAGTCCAGTTCACTGACGCGAGTCTTGAGGGAGGTGTTCAGAGCCAGCAGGCTTTCGTATGTCTGAGGAGACTCGAGTTGACGATCGACAGCAGAGGGAGAGGGTTGTCGGAGCGGAAGGGAAGGAAGGTTGGACGAGCCTAGTCCGCTATCACGACCAGCGGTGACCTGGTCGAACATATGTTGCGGGGCGATGTTCGAGTTGTGGGATTGCATCGACCCGAAGCCGGGAGTCTCGGTACGCGACAAAGGGGAATTCGAGCGATCCGAGTGACCCGGGGACATCTTACGCGAGGCGCGACGGTAAGCATGGGAACCAAGAGGTGTCCCAGCCTCCGTGGTTCCAGCCAGGCCGTTGGTATCGATTGGACCGCCAGACTGGGAGATGGTAGCAACGGTCAGCATGCCGGGAGAAATTTCTTTTCCTTGGGGACAGGTACGCAGGGGGCACGAAAAATTTTCCTCGTCGCGGAGACGCACCTTGCGTTTGGGACCCTGGCCGGTCTTGACGCGATTGCGACTTTTAATTACATCGGTCTTCAGGCTTATCGGGCGAGGCCGCCCGTGCAGCTTCAGAAACAGTCCGCAGGCGTTGCAAAGAACGGAGCCCAGCTCGTCGCGGCGCCACAAGGGCGTAGTCGAAGTACCGCAGTTCTGGCAGACGGGCTGTAATTGAGGTCGCTTGTCATCAGTCAATGTGGTCGCCATGGCGTGAGAGAATTAGAAAGAGGAAGAGGGGAGAGGAGATGGGAGGATAGTGCAGATGATAAGATTGGAGAGAGATTTGATGGGCTCGATAAGGATTGGCGATTGCCAGATGCGCACGGATCGGGTGGTGCCAAGCCCCGGCAAGTCACTGATAACCCGCGCCGATAACCTCCGGGTTGCGTAGATAAGCCCCGGGCGATAAGCGTGAAAATCGTGCAGCGGACCACAGCCCAGATAAAAGATAGCGATAGGGAGGGAAAAGAGAGTGAAACACTAGTATAGATCCATTCAAGATGCCACTTACCGGACTATTGCCTTGTCCACCAGTAGTAGCGGCGGGCGCCGTGCTCGGATAGCTTATATTCGCCATGTTCGCATTCGCGTCGAACGACTCACTGGGGGAAAAAACCAGTCAGCTAACCCATGTCCGTTTCGCACATAGGATCCCCGTGCAGCCCCAAATAAGAGGCCGGCAGGTCGAAGAGGGGCAATCCGAAGTCTCCTCTACAGAAGATACTGCCTCCGGTTTCCCCCATCTCTTTCAACTCATGTAAACGTACCGTAGATTCGAAGTAGGAGCGGACGCGACCGAGGCAAGCGCTGCCAGTCCGGGAAGGGAGGTGCTCAGGGACACGGATCCGGGGAAGTTATCTCGGTAATCAGAGCTGGGGAACTTGCCAATACTGCTCAGCTCAGGCAGTACGGGAGAGAAGCGCTTGGGGGTCTCGTCGTCGGTAGAGGGAGGGCGTGGGATGGAGGGATCGACGGACGGGGAGTCGAAGCGGGAAAGCTCGGGGGTCTGGTGCGCAGACGAGGCAGGTTTGAGAGCCGGGTCGATGGGCGACGCCGGGAAGAGGATGGAAGCCACAATGGAGGGTGAGGATAGGCAATCGATCGAAATTCGGCCACGGGCGACCGAATTGAAGGAGAAGGGGGTTGGGAAAGAGAGGAGCTGACGAGGAATCCGACGTGTGTCGCGCGAGACTGTCAATCAGGTGAATAGAATTTTCCCTGCCGCTGCGTCTGCAGAGAAATCACAATGGATCGTAAAAGGAAGTGGTTGTATAATGATCGCAACGCGAGATGCCCGTTGAGTCTTCGGCGACGATGACCGTTAGCCAGCGGCTAAATGATAACGTGAGGCTTCCTTGGGAAGAAAAAACCAAGCCGAAACCAGAAAGCAATCAAAGGAGTGACTAGACCGGAGACCAGAACTCCATTGACGTTGAAAACAGGTCGAGAATGGGGGTTGCGAAGAAATGCGATCAACGGGAGTAGGAGGAAGAAACAAGAATTGAGATGATCTTATCCAGCCCGATTGTTATTATCACGCGGGCGTATCGAATTATCACTTATCGCGTTGCCGCATACTTGGCACGGACTGAGAATAGGCTCGTAATTACACGACGAGCGCTGGCATGTTTTATATAATTCTGGCGTCGGACATCCTTTTCCAGCCAGCTGGAATGCATGGTAGATTTTTTTCTGGCCCCGAATTTGCAATCATACGAGCGTAAATGCCATGAGTTCAACCCCGTTCAATTATGCGAGGCCCCGGGGGCTTCAACCAAGAGTCAATACAATCCTCGTATTTCTGCGATACTTTCGCTCTCATAATTTAAAGGATGGTTGACTTGGTTGTGTGGCTTAATAAGAATGTTTGACCGGCGAAAGGCTCAAGCAAAGACTATATTCTTGATAGATATGCATGTAATTGTATGCAAGAAGCACAAAGTATAGGCAAAAGCCATAGATATCTGGTACTTAGAGTTCTCCACGAAGTGGACACGGTAAGTGCTGATACCAATGAATTATGCAGTTTTCAGGGAAGATATGCTTTCCACATCCGACTGCTATGCATTTTACTCGTGGGAAAGAATCAATTCAATCAATGCAGAATCGAGAAGAGAAATTGACAAAGTGAATTAGCCTGAATTATGTCCACAGAGCCTATTTGAATGATGCCATGATTCAGGATTTCAACAATGGGTTTGTTTTTGCGTCGCCGCTGCTGACCACTGGGTTCGTATGACGCCGGAATGCGCCCATTTTCAGTTGGGGAATATTTGTCACCAAAGGATTAAGAGTGGGTAGAATCGGAAGAGAATCAATACATGACTCACTAGCTTTACCTGCTATTCGATGCTTGAAAGCCGGTACCCAGGCTTTTGAGGGTCTATCATTATCTAAACAAGTCATGTTGACTCGAAAGAAAGCCTTAATAGTCCCTCCCATAGTTACTCGAGCCTCTATTTAGACGGTATTTAGGCACGCTTATAGTAAAGGGATTACTCATAATAAGATGTGCCTTTTCTTCCGAGTAGAAGAATTAGCATCATCCGATACTGATATCGTGCTGAATAAAAAAACAACAAAAAAAGAATTGAGCGACGCAGGGATCGAACCTAGGGGCTTATGTTAGTGGAAACGTTCAGATAAGCAGTAAATGGTGAGGGTGTAATTACCTGCAATCTCTTGAGCCGAAATCAAGCGCCTTGCCATTAGGCCAGCCGCCCTATTAAAGAACACAAAACTAGAATAGGGTATATATCCATCAATTGGATTTTCTTAAAAAAGATTATATCTACCTTAAAGCGGTGTTGGTAATATATATTTTCTATATTAATGTTATGATGCTATAATCTCAAATTATTATTTATGACTAATACAGTGGGCGGCTGGCCTAATGGCAAGGCGCTTGATTTCGGCTCAAGAGATTGCAGGTAATTACACCCTCACCATTTACTGCTTATCTGAACGTTTCCACTAACATAAGCCCCTAGGTTCGATCCCTGCGTCGCTCAATTCTTTTTTTGTTGTTTCTTTTTACTCTGCTTATCATGCCTATGGGTTCTCTTCAAATTACGCCATCCCCTATTATCCTATATAGTGGTTACCGGTAACCACCTTCCGTTCACATACGAGCTCACCCCATTCATTTCAATGAATTAGATATTCAATGATTTAGATAGGATCGGATTAATTCTGAACTTTTGATTCAAGGACGACTTTAACCATAAGTAAGACCGAGAGACTGGGTGGTCAACCCGACATCATATTTCCAAGACCAGATCCAATTGTTCTTTCGCTACGGCTCTCGGAATTAGTCTTCTCAGCAGAAGTTCTACCCCGAATACATGCATCAAGTACACATGCAAAACCCCCTTTTGTCCATGCGTGGATGGATTAGGGGGATCCAGTGGATCCCGCCAGCTGTGGCGGTGCGTATGACCAGTACCGTTTCCGTCCTCCAAGGAGACCCTGAAGAGTGTTTCCTCCGGCATGTCGTCTCGTTGTGCCGTATGACCCGCCACCGCCTTGGTAAACCCCGTGTAAAATACAGGTAATGTAAAGTAAACCCCCTGCCGTGAGTCTGGCTAGCCCATAATAATACCGAAATCGTCCATGACGGATCCGCCAGCTAATTTCACTGCCTTGTCCTTAACCTTCGATTCCTCGTGTCCTTTTCCCAAAACACCTCCGCGTGATGGATTAGGTTTTCCTTTTTATCGGTGTCCTTCGTTTCTTTGCAAAGTATCTCTATTCGCTGGGCTCGTTTGCGGCCCTCCCACTAAAGCCGCTACTTCTCCTTCACGATGCCGAAAAACCGCCCTGCCACGTCGGGCTACGCTCGCCTCGCCCAGGAGGAGGAACGCGGCTACCTCCATGACGACTCGGAAGACGATGAGATTGCCGTCGCATCCTCAACAATCTCGGCCTCCGCCCCTCGTTATGCCCCCATCTCCTCTCGAGCCCAGATGCAGGCGTCCGGTCTCTCTACGCCCCCCGGTCATCGACGCAGACATAGCCAATATCAACGGCGCGGCCGTCGCAATTCTGGTGTCGACATCAAGGCAATCAACGCACGTCTGGAACGGTGGGCGGATGAAATTGCCTCCAAGTTCAAGATCAACCGCGTCAAGGGCAAGACCTTCGAGGAAGAAAAGCTTGAGATCTATCATTCGGTCTTCCAGGCTCCGCCCGGCGTTCGCGCCGTGACCGCGGAAGATCTGGAGTCGGATGAGTTTGAGGGCCAACAACGAAGGGCTCGGGCCGAGTTTGAGGAAATCATCGAGAGTGTCCGACTGGCAATTGAGATGGATGTCCATCCACGGATGATCGCTCAAGGTAGTTCGGGTAGTTATTTCGCCCGCAACCCCGAAGGGAAAGTTGTTGGTGTGTTCAAACCAAAGGACGAGGAGCCTTATGCCTCCCGAAACCCCAAATGGACCAAGTGGGTTCATCGCAACCTGTTCCCTTGTTTCTTTGGCCGAGCCTGCCTCATTCCCAATCTTTCGTACGTCTCCGAAGCCGCCGCTTACGTGCTCGATGCCCGCCTTCGAACAAACATGGTTCCCTATACCGATATTGTCTACCTGTCCTCCAAATCCTTCTTCTACGACTTTTGGGAACGGCGTAAGGCATGGAAGGGGAAGAAAACGTTGCCTCCAAAGCCAGGTAGCTTCCAAGTATTCTTGAAAGGATACAAGGATGCCAATATCTTCCTTCGCGAACATCCGTGGCCCGACCAAACCAACACGGGTTTCCGTGCCCAAGATGCGCCAAAGCGCAAGAAACGGCCATGGAACGAGGCATGCCGCCCGTCAGGCGCGCAATCCGACGATGAAGACGAGGACGAGAACGGCTACCTGCCATCGCCAAACTCACGCGACGAGAGTCGCGAGCGGCGATTCAACTGGACGGAAAACCTGAAGCAGTCATTCCGGGAAGAGTTGGAAAAGCTGGTCATTCTGGACTATATCATGCGCAACACGGACCGTGGTTTGGATAATTGGATGGTCAAGATTGACTGGGGTACTGAACAGGTCTCGATTGTGGCGGACCCTCCGAAGAGCACCGAGCCTACACCTAAACACGACGACGACGAACTTATGCCACCGGCTCGCCCAGTCTCCGTGAACTCGAATGGTTCACATCCATACAAACGCCAGGAAACGATGATGGCTGTGAGTCGCACGGGAACACCCCTGGCTTCGTCGGAGCAGCAAGCTTCCGTTCAAGTAGGCGCCATTGATAACAGTCTCTCGTGGCCATGGAAGCACCCAGATGCCGTAAGTTTCCAATTCTCTTCTGTCTTCGATTCTACGCTTCCATGACACTAACCAGGTAATAGTGGCGAAGCTTTCCATTCGGATGGCTCTTCCTGCCGGTCTCTTTGATTGGCCAGCCTTTCTCACAAAAGACCCGTGACCATTTCCTCCCCTTGTTGACATCTACTGCCTGGTGGAGCGGAACCCAAATGGCTCTGCGTCAGGTGTTCGCTCAAGACGACGATTTTAAAGAAAGCATGTTCGCGCGTCAAATCGCAGTGATGAAGGGCCAGGCCTGGAACGTTGTCGAGACCTTGAAGCAACCCGATCACGGCCCGCTCGAGCTGACCCGAAGAACTCGGGTTTGCGTGTGGGATGACTTGGTGGATGTGCCCGTTGCCATCCCAATGCGAGCCCCTTCTATGGACGCGCAGAGACACCAAGCCACGAATTATGACTATAACGAAGAGGAAGAAATGGACATTGGCGCCGCCATCTCTTCCAATGCCGAAAACACTCATGACCTTCTCGGTTTGGACTCCGCACCGACTGATCTCCCCAACCCGAACCGCTTTGAACTTAACCGCGGTCAATCGGACAGAGAGTCGATTGGCAGCCCTGGGACCTTGAATGACGGGGACTCTGCACGCCGGACCGGCGATGGCGCTTACGCTAGATCTTTGGACGGATGGCCGTCGTTGCCTGCTCGACCTACCAAGCCCCGTAAACACGGTGGCTCCGTGTCTTTCCGTGTGCCTCATGTCAATACTTTTGGCAGCGATGATCTTGAAGGTGACCTTGGATACGCTGCCGCCGAGGGCATGGAAGGCAACCAGCGCAAAGTCATTGTGGAGCGCCTAGAAGCCGTTAAGAGCAAGAACCCGGTCTTCACTTGGTGCTAAAAGCCTCCTTTCCTTTGCTTCCGGTTGTTCTGTTTTCTCCCACCATTCTCCCTTACCTTCCTCCATTTTCCATGTTGTTGCATTTTCACTCAACTATTTAATTCGCAAATTCTTCGTTTAGCGTTCTTTTCTCGGTCTTCCCAAGGCATCGGCTCCGGCAACAGTTCGTCTTTTCTTTTTCTTTTTTGTCTCGCCGGGGTCTGATTGCAGGTGTATCTTGAGATAGAGACATCTTGCCTTGATATGTGCTTCACAGATATTTTTTTTTCTTCGCGCGCCATGCTCATGATTGGGAAATTCGTGTTGTATATAGACCATCTCTGGCTGTTCGGGTTGGGTTGTGGCGCATTGACTGAGCGCCTCATGTAGCATATATGACGAGACTTAATTCTATGATACCATCGTCCGATACTTGTTTCTTCCTCTGTATTGTGGTCTACGATGATGTTGCTTGTCCAGACTGAAGACATCGCTACAGTTCTCATTCCCTTGCATCGCATCAAGCAACCTGGTGGCTGCCCCTCCATACTGCACTATTGCGTTTCTCCATCGCCCAAGCCTCGGGAAAATATCTTCAGTCTAATCATGTACGATCCATTTCTCGCCGTTTATTGTGATTCGTATCAACCAAATTAAGTGCAGTACATGGTTTCACTAGCCCACCGACGCTGGCTTAGTATGTGCGGCTCCCCTTGACGGCCTCGATAAGCCCCATCCTTATCGGCGGGTTTTTCCGAGTTAAGCAACTCGAGTGAGGTCATGTCCGCTTCCCTGCCAAACCTCGAACCTCTTTCACTACAAACCTCGAAGCGAAAACCTACTCCTGTGAGTGACCGCAGTGCTGGCCTCTGCTGGTGATTGCACTCGGTCTCTCTCCTATTTCGCTTCTTCAAATGTCGTGAGGCCTGCGTGCATCTTGCGACGGGACCCGCGCCCCTCGTTCTTTCTGGTCACCTGCACTCTCTCGTTCTTGATGAGCCTCAGCCTCGACGACCATCTTTCATTCGTCGACCCTTTATACTTTCCTCTTCGTCCTACCTTGATCATTGCGACTATCCTCCACCCCTCCCCTTATTAAAATTCCTCTCTGCCGCGCCATCATGGAGCCACACGCGGCGATGCTTCTAAACCCCAAAGGTTATAAAAAGCAGAGTCAAGGCAATGGTAAGGACTTGCGAACTTCCCGTTGATTTCCCGTCATTCTCCAGTCACCTGCACCTGACAGCTAAACCAGACTGTGGCCTTCATGGATTCTCGTGAGCTTCTACGCTCCCAACAAGAATCCATCCTGCTGTCCACGCTCGAGATCACTGAATCATCTGAAATCATAGGCTCACAATCTCTAGGCATCGGACAGTCAACACCCACTCGAGTTGCCCATGGAACTGCCCCCCAGATTTCGCCTATAGCACCCCCAGGCACGGTCCCCATAATGCGCTTTCAAGCAAACCAGCCCGTGAATGAGGACGTCACTGTCCAATTCACCAACACCCGCGACGGTGACGAGAGTGACACTAAGCGCAACTACCATGAGATCAGTGACAACGACGATACCAGGCCTCGGTCACGCAATCTCATCGAAAATGTCTATGATGTTGAGCAGCGCAGACACTCGTATCAGCCGGCGAAGAAAGTGAAATTGGATGGTACAGTCACCCCAGGCAGCATGACGAACCAGCCCGTGACTGCTGGGGATAACGGCCTTGGACAGTGGATGAAGGAGGGCGAATCCAAGGCAACTTCGACCTCAACATCAACCCCGTCCAATTCTGATGTGGTGGATTTGACTGCAGATCTTCCCAAGGCCGCTGAAGAGGACGATGTGCAGGTCACTGGATCGAACGATCTCAGCAATCAGCGGGTATGTTATGGAAAGGTGGAAAATGCGATGGTCAACGCATATCTCGTGCCCAAGCCCCGCGCAAATGCTTTACTCGGACTGGAATCACTACAATGGTCTTCAATGAAGCTGGATTTGGTACGAGAGACACGCAAAGGTGATCATCGCATCGACGTCAAAGACCCCTTTGGCAAGTTGTTCGCAACTCTCGACGCAAAGACTGCTATAGCGCTGTGCCCTTTGCTTGACACACCGGCCTTGGGTATTGACGTTACTGCCCGGTTGGATATGCGTAAGAAGGTTGCCGGCGAGGAAGTCTGGCAGCCAACTCATGGACTATACAGAGCATCAATCACCATCTACGGTCCACGAAAGCATGTGGAGATGATTGGAAAGTTCCTGGGCCAACGGAACGTCTGGCTGGGTACCCCAGTATTTGTGGAGAACGGGGTCCCCGTCTTCAACCCGCATGCCGAGCAAAGGCGAGCAATGGTCGCCGCAGCCGCGGTGAATAATGGCAACCGCCCAGTGTCCAACATCCGTTACGAAGTCCGGACGACAGAGGAGGTGGCAGATTCCGTAATGAAGATGTTTGACAAACTTGTCAGCATGAACATACCTAAGCTGGAACCGCCAGCTACAGTTATCACACCTCTTCTGGACCACCAGAAGCAAGCACTTTGGTTCATGAAGGAGAAGGAAGCTCCGCGTAAGTATGGCGACAAGGAAGAGGACCATAACTCTTTATGGCGCAAGGTTCTTCAAAATGGCCGCACCAAGTACCGGGACATCATCAGCGGAGTCATTTGTGACGAAGAGCCGGATCAGACTTACGGTGGGCTTTTGGCCGATGTGATGGGCCTGGGAAAGACTTTGAGCATACTTTCATTGGTGTTGTCTACGCTTGAAGAGGCCACCGATTGGTCTCGGAAGATGCCTGATCGCCAACTCGTTCGGAGCATTCCAGGTGTCCGCAACACTCGGACTACGCTTCTGGTTGTGCCGCTGTCTACCATTGCGAATTGGGTCTCACAAATTAACGAGCACGTAAAACCGGGCTCGTTGAAGTACTACATTTTTCATGGTGCTTCACGGAAGACCGACCTTGAGGAGCTCTCTCAATTGGATCTGTTGATCACTACTTATCCGACCATTCACAGTGAGATCCTCGGCAGAGGTTCCAAGCGTGGCAGTCCTTTGGCCAAAATGAATATGTTCCGAATCGTTCTGGATGAGGCACACAATATTCGGGAGCTGGGAAATCAACAGACGAAGGCAATCATGAGCCTCAATTCGCAGCGTCGTTGGTCCGTCACAGGCACGCCAATTCAAAATCGCCTCGAAGATCTACTCTCAGTCACCAAGTTCCTGCGACTGTTTCCCTACGATGATCGGGCCAGATTTTCGCAGCATGTCATCAGCCCCATGAAAACCGGAAATGCTAATGCGCTTGCGAGTCTGAGAGTCTTGATTGACTCTTTCACTTTACGTCGTGTCAAGAAGATGCTTGACTTGCCGGAGCGGACGGAGAAGATTGTCACCTTGGAGTTCAACGAGAAGGAAGCACAGCTGCACGAGTTCTTCCGGAATGAATCTAATGCTATGATGGGAGTCATTGCTAAGGAGAGCAAGAAGACCATTAGCGGCCGCATGTACCACGTTGTACTGAAGGCGATGATGATTCTACGCCAAGTCAGTGCTCATGGCAAGGAGCTTCTGGACGTTGAAGATCGGGAGAGAACCAAGGGATTGAGCGTGCAGGATGCCATCGACCTGGAAGACAGTGAACCAGACGATACCCAAGACGCGTTTGACAAAAAGGCTCTCCGTCATGTTGATCTCATGGTCCAGTCCGGAGACACCTGCAAGATCTGTGATAAGCTTATTGAGGCGCCGATGACGGAGACTGGGGCTCAAGACAAGAATGCACCGATGGCTATTTATCTGCCCTGCCTCTGTGTTCTTTGCCCGGATTGTTTCTCATCCTGGAAAGCCGTGTTCGACTCGAAGCCGGACACGGAAATCCAGTGCCAAGTCTGTAGTGGCTGGACCCGACTTCAGTACTCCACAGTTACTGCTGCTGGTCTTGACAGATTGCAGATCCAGCAAAAGGAATCACGCAAGAACGGTAAGATTCTGGGCGAGTATGAGGGTCCGCATACGAAGACTCTCGCTCTTATCCAGAATCTGCAGTCAATCGCCGCGGAAAGCAAGACGCTGGTTGGTGAGCCACCCATCAAAGCCGTGGTCTTCTCCTTGTGGACCTCGCATCTGGACCTGATCGAAATTGCGCTGAAGCAGAATGGCCTGGACTGTTTTACTCGACTTGACGGCACCATGAGCTTGAAGGCTCGCAGCAAGGCACTCGATGTATTTGCCAAGGATAACTCTGTCACTATCCTCCTGGCTACCATTGGTGCCGGAGGTGTTGGCCTGAATTTGACGTCCGCATCGCGCGTCTTCGTCATGGAGCCGCATTATAACCCCGCGGCAGTTGCCCAGGCCGTTGATCGTGTGCACCGCCTAGGTCAGCATCGGGAGGTCGTAATTATGCAATTTATCATGAAGAACAGCATCGAGGAAAAGATCCTTGAGCTCGCACGAAAGAAGCAACAGCTCGCTGATATGAGCATGAACCGCGGCAAACTCGACAAAGGCGAAGCCCAAGAGCAGCGCATGCGTGAATACCGCAGCCTGTTCAAGTGAGGATGACATTTGTTCACGACATCATCGACCGTTTCAAGGTCTCCACAATCTGGAGCCTGTGCAAGGCATAGCCTTGACTTTGCTTGCTTTGATTTTATTCCAGCTATCTAGGGGGCGGGCTACGTTTTTCGTTTTCTGGTTTCAATTGATACCCGGGGAAAGGATATCCGGATTGATATTCTTATTGGCGCTGGATTCGTTGCATTTTTCTTTTCTTTTCTTTTCTGCTTTCTCACAGATGGTATATTCGTCTCCTCTTTTTGTTTCGCGGGCTACTGGTTCACTCATGCGTGCGCTCTTCAAATAGAGTGACACGCCATTCGATAACTAGATCGGTCTTATTTAGAATGGATGCTTCGATGCAACACCACCTCCTTTCATAGTGACCATGTCATGACTTCCTTGACAGCAGCGCTGGATCTAACGCAATGGATGAAAGTATGAGACACGCAAGACACCAAGCTGACACCCGCCGCATTCGAGGCTGAATCTGCTATATGAGCTGCATGGGTTTCAGTTCATCCAGCCCAGGCAGATATTGTAGCACGTTACATACCTAGCCACGCGTAATCCAGAGTCTCCAGCTATTGTACATAGCTGTTCAAGGAACAGGGATGGAAGTTGATCAGCTTTAGTATACATTTGTTCAGTCCAGCATGGTTGGACCCGGGGCGTCCGAGACAATTCGTGTAATCCTTCAACCGAGCAGCCAAGTCCCTGCATTAAAAAGAACTCTGTATTTCCTAAGCAGAGAATATAAATAATAGTGCTAGAGCCCCTGTCCCACGCGTAAGAAGATCATCTACATCCGCGATCTCATAAATTGAGCGCACTCGTCAAACCAATCAAGCTTTCTAAACTTCCACTATCCTCCTGAACGAACCATCCACATACACTATGAAGCCCTACGCCCTCACAGCAACAGCTCTCTTCCCCACACTAACTCTGGCCTGCGACTTCCGCAATATCGGAAGAGATTGCGCCTGGGAAGGTAGCTGGCCCCTATGCGGTACTACGGATGACCACATCGGAATCAAGATTGACGGCCGCACGCTGGTCGAATGGACCAGAGATAGAGATTGGAAAGATGTTTGCAAGAATGGGAAGAATCGAGATGGGGATTGTTGTAAGGACTATGGGCATAGTTGTCTTTCGGGGTACAAGCGGCTCTGGTGTAAGCATTATACTGGGCCGGATCTTGTTGATGTTGTGGATGATGTGTTGAATAGGGTTCTACCGGCGGTTCTTCCATGAATCGAGGAGCTTGGAATGATATGCCGTGTGATTGTGGCGTTCTGTTTATCGGAGGGCTTTTTTTTCTTTACTTCTTACTTTATGCGAGTAGTTCAGATCAGGGCGGATTGGAGGTAGATCGCATCAAATGATCAATTGGTATCTAAGACGAAAGTACAATAATGGCAAAAACCGTGATCCGTAACTCCAAAGTTGCTTTGAGAAAGTGAAAAAAAGGCATACCGGGTATCTGAAGCCCATCCAAATCCATCGTGATACTACCTATCACCATAGAGTCCCACCGAAACGGCATCCAGCACATTCTCCAACCTGCCTCTCAATTGCGTCAACTCCTCCGCCTTTGCGACACGCTCCTTCTCCACCTCCCGCAACTGCGTCTCCAATTCCCGAATCCTAGCCTCTTGCTCTGCCTCCGAAGCCCCAATTCCCGGCAGCACAGAGATCAAATACTCGATCTGCTGTTCTTTGATAATAAGATCACGCGCCAACTCCCGCTGCCGGGCTGCGAATGTGCGCGGCGAGTCCGGTTGTGGAAGGAGACTTGGATCTTCACCTTCGGCTGCCCCCGGCTCTGTACCGGGTTGCTGAGTTGGTGGGGGGACTGGGGATTGTGCGGCGCCAGCGGCTGCTGCGCCTGCTCCTGCCGAGGCTGCGATGGAGGCGGGGACGGGTGGTGAGGTTGTGTTCTTGGACATTCTGGCTAGGGCGGGAGCGGCATTGGGGATGCCTGGTGGAGGTATGGCGGGGGAGTTGTCATGGTAGGTACTGAGATAGCCTAGAGTGGCATAGAACTGAGTTGCGAGCTGTTGGTGGAAGAGGGTGTTAGTCGAGGTTCTGGTCAGATGGTGGTGGATGATGGTACCTGGTCAAGACATGTTTGGAGCTGGGTGAGGATGTCTGCCATGATGGACAGTGAAAATTTGAAGAGGATAGATATAAGTAGGTAGTCAATCAATATTTGGCGAGTAGGATAAAGAAGGAAGTACGTCGAAGGTTGTGATAAGGAAAAGCTGCGGATGGAGATGCGGAGAGAAGCTCCAATGCGGTGAGCGCGCATTTCTCACCTTTCACACCACTCGATGCGACATCTGCGACTACACCATGGCCTCGCAGCCAGAGACCTATTGACCACGTCTATAAGATCAACGAGGCCGTGTCACCGTTGCTTCTCCATTTCCCGAACAAACCATGACCTGACGCCATTCACGCGCCGGATCTTCAAGCTCCCCTCCGCACCATCTCCACCATCCCAACAACACAACGACCTGACCACCTTCCTCTCCTACGCCGAGCGCATATCCCTACCAAAAACAAGCACAGTCTACGTAGGAACACACTACGAATATACCGTCCTCCAAAGCCTCCGCCGCTATGCACTAGCCCTCCACCGCATCGGCGGCCGCGACGACGCCGGAATCGACCTCGTCGGCACCTGGCACCTGCCAGAGCGGGAACGGGAACGCGCCCTTCGTGTGCTGGTGCAATGCAAGGCACTCCGCACTAAGCTCGGACCCAATCTGGTCCGCGAGCTCGAGGGCGCAATCCGCCAGGCGCCTGTCGGTTGGCGCACGGGCCAGACGGTAGGGGTGCTGGTGAGTCCGCGCGAGGCAACCAAGGGTGTGCGGGACGCGCTGGCCCGGAGCTCGTACCCTCTTTTTTGGATGATGGTTGAGTTGGATGGGACACTGAAACAGGCGCTTTGGAATGCCCGTGCTGCAGAGCTGGGGTTGGGGCCTTTGGGGGTCGAGACGCGGTACGGTGCTGGTGCGGTCGATACCGAGTCTGATTCTTTAAGGAAGGAGGTCGTTTTGACTTGGGATGGGGGTGATATCCCTAATATGGAGTTGGTGGAGCAGAGCTTGATCCACCATGAGGATCAATGGGTCAAATCCTGGGGCGTAGACTCGTCAAAGGTCGACAAGGAAACTCTCTTGGATGTCATCGAGAGGGTCTTCCCCGATAGCCAACCGGAACCCCAACCAGACGGTTTCTTACCGGCTGTAGATCAGTCAAAAGTCCTGCAGGCTTTACGAGAAAGATAACCTGCATACTGTACAATATAACGACCAAACATAGGACAAAGTTGGCATTGCAATGTCATTAATATCAAAGTATCCGGGGTATAGCAAACTCCACCAACCATCATTGAAAGACCATAAAACGCCCAAACAACACACACCCATTTTCTGATTTACCCCTGCATCGTCGACCAGAAGTAATTTGCGTAGAAGAAACGGGAAAACTTCGGGTCGATATTGACGACATGCACATCGCCCTTGCGGCTGTTGCGAATAACCGCGCGGTTGAAATTCCCCGCCTCATCGGGCTCGATATCAATGCCCAGGGAGCGGAAAATCTTGAGTCGCAATCTATGAAGTTGGAGATTGTCAGAAGCCATACCAGATCCGTTCACACGGTGTCGTCAACTCACATCGTCGCATCATCTGCCTCCCGCTCACGGCGCGTCGTCTCGTCACCTTCGAGACCCTGCGACTCTAGATCGGCTAGTCGCTCCTTGAGCATCTCAAGTTCGCTTTCCAGACGCTCGCTTTCAATTTCCAACTCCGAAGCCGCCTTGGCGATGCGGAACTTCTTGGTGTCTAATTCCACGATCTCGGCAGCGTGCTTGCTAGAGTCGTGGACCGCGACTGCTTCCTCATGTTGGGTGGTTATGGAGTGGAGATTGCGAGCGAGTTTTCGTAGGGATGTTTCGGCTTCACGGATACGTAGGTCGCGCGACTGTTGGAGAGTGGAAAGCGAGTCATTGATGCGTGTGACGGCTTGTTTGTCGGGTTGGATGTTGAAGTTGCCGATCGTATGGTGGATGAGCTGAGCGAGGGTTTAGCAGGGATGGTTGGTCATGGCCGTATATAGGTCACGTACTGTGCCAGGATCTTCATCGAGCAACATGGTGGCAGAGTATATTTCAATAGTAATTTGGTGGTGGAAAGGCTGTTCAAAAAACGTGGTGGTACCGGTGATGATGGTGGGATGGAGTGTTTTGATTGTTGCTGCCGCAACCGCCACACCGCGGCCCAGTGGGCAAAAGCACCGCCACAAGTTTTGGGTTCTTCTCTCCGCAAGTGACGTCTGCTTGTGACGGCCATTTCTGCTGCCTCCCCGTCCCTGAATCTTTGCTCTCGCCCCAGTCTATCTTGACTCGACTCACTACCTGGATAACCCATATTTCTCTCTCTCTCTATCATGTCTAACCTCCCATGTACGTTGTCTATACTCCTTTCCGCGACCTGACCATTTTGACTGACTTGTTGGCGCCACACAGACGCTGCGGATGCGGAAAGGTCTGTTGTCCTCCCTGACGATCCCCCGTCCACTCCGAACTCCAGAAACTGATTTGTTGGTTTGAGTCTAGTCCGCTGAAGCCCGCCGAGCTGCAGGTGCTTCGGGCACAGTACGAGAAGGAGGGCGACTATGTCGGCATCCAAACGAAATTTAACTATGCATGGGTATGATTGCCGACTCTCCCTGTGATGGCCTAGGCCGGTGGTCCCAGGTTTCCAAGAGAATATCTGTGCTGACTAGATGTTTCCGCACCTTGCGGAAACTGCTTTCATAGGGTCTGATCAAGTCGAATGTCCGGTCCGACCAGCAAGAAGGTGTCCGCCTGTTGTCCGAGATCTTCCGTGGGGCCCCAGAGCGCCGACGAGAGTGCCTATACTACCTCGCCTTGGGTAACTACAAGCTGGGCAACTATGGCGAGGCCCGCCGATACAACGACCTGCTGCTGGAGAAGGAGCCGGCCAACCTGCAAGCGGCCAGTCTAGGCTCCCTCATTGACGATAAGGTGGCCAAGGAAGGCTTGATGGGCATTGCGATCGTGGGTGGCTTTGCCGTGGTCGCGGGCGTGGTGGGCAGTCTGATTGTCAAGGGAGCTAGAAGACGGTGAGCTTTGCAAGTTGGCGATTGGCGCGGTCTGCACGCCTGCAAGGGCTGTACACAGCCCGACCGGGGTTGCGCCATGGCCCTCTTTTAAGCGGTCTTCATGAGACTTTCAACTGTAATTATGTTCCTGCGGGAGCTTCTTTTGGCCTGCTTGGTGTCTTAGCATTTTCGATGGCGTTTACTTGACTTGGCTCTCTACATATCTATCATGTCTCTACTTCTTTTCTTCCCCGGACTATACGTTTTTCTCCCTCAACGTCTGAGATGCGTAAGGCGGACTGCGACCAGCTACATAACTCTGATGATCCCGGCTCTAGCAATGAACATTGTACACGCACAAGGCAAGTTCAGTATGTCTATATCGAATCCAACACTTTTGGAACATTCTTGACTTCAATTTGGCTCTATCGCTTTCCATGTATGAATACACCGTAAGTCTTTATCAAGGTCTTGGGTTCATTCTAGATTGTTCTTCCGCGCTTCGCCCTCCTTGCCACTTGCATCACCAAACCTCCGAAACGTCTGGCTGGCGAAGAAACGGCGCTGCCTGATGCTCCTGCATGGGCTATTTTTACTTACCCCGTTGATCAGCGATCTCTAAAAGAATAGTTGGTTTCATACTTATCTGGCCGTGTGTCGCTTGTTTCATGAGGTGATCTGATCGCATACTTCAGGCAACTGTAGGCGCCGACGTCATTCGCAAGAGCTGCTAGTCGCATTGAACACGTCAAATTTCGCTTTATTTTGCCTCTATCGCTTGCTTTCCCCATCCGTCTCTATCTCTTGCTTTCTTTGGCCTTGATTGATCGACCGAGGCAACTGCAGAGAAACGCAGGCTTCTCGTTTGTCTCTGCCCCGCGCCTGATAAGACCATGACTCGTGACTCCGCGCCTCGTCCGGCGACTTAAACTCCTAACGACTCACCATCCTTTGTTCGCCTCCTTTTCGTCATTCTCCCTTTGTTCCCACTCACATTTCTCTTCATTTTGCGACACTTCTTACCTCTTCGTGCCAGCTCCTGGCTTACAATGGCCGACGACGGCGATCGTGTCATTTGTCATGCTTGCGGCGGAGTGTGGTTGCTAGAGACCGGAGAAGACGGACATGATAACAGCCTCAAATGCCCACACTGCGAATCAGATTTCACTGAGATTGTAAGTGATGAATGATCTTTGCATACTTTTCTCTTTTCTTTTTAATTTCCCTGTCCACTTTTCATCCACTCTAACCTCCATCTTCTATGAAGATTGAAATTCCCCCGGAAAGCCCTCAGCCCGAACACGAAGCCGAACCGCATTCGCCGCCCGTGAATCCGTGGGCGGATCATAACCCTTGGGCTCAAGAAGAAACATTGCCTCCGCGGACATCTGGCTGGACGGAGACCGGAGCCCCTGGGTACTCTCACCGTTCGTACCGGTCTCCCGATGGTCGCTTCACGTTCAGCACGACTACGATTGGCGGCAGTTACTCGTCGCGCAATGAGGGCCAGCCAGATCCGTTACCAACGGTGATACAGAACCTCGGTGCTTTATTTCAAGGCCTCGCGGGAACGTATGATCATCACCAAACGCAGCGGAGCTCAGGGATGCCCCCTCGCTTTCATGCAGCGGGCATGCGAGAGCCGGATGTCATGCATGATCCATTCCAAGCTCATCACGAACGTGCCAGACGCCACGAAGACTTGTTCTCTCGCGACCCTAATGATCCGCAGCATATGGAATCCCCAGTGCCAAACTTGGGCGAGTGAGTGATCGAATTCTCCCCCAGTTCTTTTTGCATGCCAGTTGTGTCTGGCATCGTCCCGTATGTAGCTGATACGTGCTTCTCCTCACTGCAGCTTTATTGAAGCCCTTCGAGGAAATACCAGAAATGCCGAGGGCGCAGCAAATCCTTTTTCAATGCTCTCCGCTTTGATGAACGTGGACCGCAATGGCGATGCTGTCTACTCTCAGGAAGAGCTCGATCGGGTGATATCGCAATTGATCGACCATACCCAGCAAGGCTCGGCTCCACCACCAGCCACAGACTCTGCCATTCACTCGCTGCCCAAGAAGCGAATGACTCGGGAGATGATGGGACCAGATCGCACGGCGGAGTGCTCGATTTGCATGGATCCCGTGGAAGTCGATACCGAGGTGACTGTACTGCCGTGCACTCACTGGTTCCATTTCGACTGCATCAAAGCGTGGCTGAGCCAGCACAACACCTGTCCACACTGCCGACGGAGCATCGATGCGACTGGCGTGTAAGTTGAACCGTGGCTATGTCATAGTGGCCATGATGATCTGCCAATCGAGATTGTCCCCGCGGCTGTTAACACTGTGTAGCACAAGCCCCGGCGAAGGCAACAGCGAGAACCCGATCATTATCCCAGACAGTCCCGAAGCCTCTTCACCCCCGAGACTACGTCGTCGCTCATCTCCACTCACCTCACGAAGCACCCGTAGCGCTCGGTCGTCCATGTCGAGATCAAGTCGCACTTCGCCTACCCCGGAGATGGGTGAGTCCGGCACGCGACGAGAAAGTCGTGGCGAAAGCTCCCGTGGGGGGATTACGGGCTGGGTCTGGAGTCGATTTGGTGGTGGCGGCAGCTGATATGATTTAGATTTGACGACGAGTACGACATGCAGCGTTCGGGTTTTTTTCTTCATTTTTTGGGACATCGGCATCCTTTGTTCTTTTCGGTGACACGGGTTATTCCCTGGCTTTGATTTTTTTGGTCCGCCTCCTCTTTCATACCCCTTGTTTTCTAGGCAACTCCATCTTCACTTTTCCTTCGGGCGGGTTCTTTGTGTGTCCGGGCTGGTCCTCACATTTCCTTTCTACACTTGTCCTTATTCTCTTTCTTCTTTTCGTCTCATTACCTTTTACTATGGAATCCTAGAGACGAATGTCACACATTCGAGCATTAACTATCCCCGTTTCTGTTTTTAAAGGGTGTTCTACAATCGACCACAGAGTACCCCGTCAAAGCTTCATATGCTGGAATACGTAGAACCTAGATCCTCACTGACGATGCGTCATAGCGTGTTATAAAATGAAATATGGCACCAATCATCAATCATAGCTAATACCCAGTAGAGACACCTTGAAGAACAACTTATCTTCACTGACTACTACCAACCTTAACAATCTTCCCCGACTCAACTTCGTATATATAGCCCGTGATCGGCACGTCCAGCACAAGAGGACTCTCCTTAAGAACCCGAATATCGTCAAGCACACTCTGCTCCAAATCGCCAAAAGGCAAGAACGCAATATGATCCGCATCCTGCTTGAGCTCCGACCGAATTTTGCCCCGGATCACCTCATCGGTGAAGGTGAGCATACCGCAATCAGTCTGAAAGTACGAATTGGTTAGTTTGACTGTTATTGGGAATGGTAGACAGTCAACATACATGATGCACGATAACAATCTCTCGAGTACCGAGGAGTTGCTGAGAGATTACGATGCTACGAAGTGCATCGCTGGCTCGACCGCCTGCATTGCGAATAACATGGGAATCGCCCTCTTCCAGGCCGAGGGCTCGGGCAGTGTCTAGAGGGGTTAGTGTCTCCATCATAAATTCAATCGGGTCATGAACCGCTGTCTGGGCACTCACCAAGGCGCGCATCCATGCAAGCCACTATAGCAACCTTTCTAATAAGATGATATAGGTTAATTACACATCCTCATTCCAAAGTTTCTTTCCATACCTCTGCGGTGGCAGTGCCAGATCCCCTTTAGTAAAAGTGGATGCATATTTAGCGTTAGCAGCTTCGAATTCGGCTGCGACGGACATGGTGGAGACGGTAATAGTTCAACAATGATGCTAATCTAGAGGGACCTTGGGGACAGGGGACAAGATATAAAAGGGTGGGACTTCCCCCGCATTGAGGTGTTCGTGATGAGATGATGTGATCTTGGGTTAAACAAACTGCTGATGGCGTGATGCAGCTGGTTGATCTATAAGCCAATGAAGAGCCATAGCTATTATTTGAGTTTTAGTTTCTTTTGTTGTGTTCGATGTAAGTACCGGCCATGATATTATCAATGGTCATTGGAAATAATTGACAAAATCGCAGAGTCACAGAGGAGGGATTGTGGGGAACTCTAATGGCTAAGAGTACTCGATTACCGGACAAGAGCTAATTCCATCCCAGTTTGTTCAGAACCATCTGCTTCAGTGTTGATCAGTACAAATTACGTATCAAGAGGGTATTAACATATTACAATTTGCATATACGCTAGGCCTTGTAGCAGTCATTTGCAGCATTAGTTCTCCTTTCGTGCAACCTTGCCGCACATTTCAAGAAGAATAGCACCCAACCATTCAAAATCAGTCTTCTCCAAATAGATCTGGGCGCTTATTCGTACCCACAACCACGGTCCATGCTGGAAGACCGGCACAAAAGTATCATGCTTTTCCATAAGAGTCGTCTGCATCCATCCAAAAACGCGACGAGCTTCCTCGGACGTGACGGTCACGGGTGCCCCGGCAAGAGTAGCTCCATCATCAGCAACGCCAATAGGCAGACGAATAGTCGCCAACGCGCACTGGCGCATGTTGCTCGTCTCGCCCGCTTTCAAATCCGGCTCTTGCATCACATCTGTCCCTAGGATAGCCGCAACCGCATCGGCGGCTTCGTTGGCGAGGTTGACACAGTATGAAATAATGGCGTCTTCGCCGCCGCAGACTTCCTGGCGGAATTTCAGCGCGGCGGGCACGCAGAGAAATGCAGAGTCATCGCTGGTTGCGACGAATTCGAAAAGTTCCTCAAAGGGTGTCCTTGTCATGACTGCATTTGCGTCTTGAAGAACCGAAGCAACGGTTGCAGGTGATTCTGCTCCGGGGATGAAGCCCCAGGAAGTAGGGAGTGTTGAACGCAGGAGATGCTGGTTGCGCTTGGGGACGTATAGGACTGCCGCGCTGCGAGGAGTGTATAGCCACCTATATAGAGGGTTAGTTTTTTTTTTTTTTCCCCTATTTTTTCTTCGGGTTGGGTTGATATCGTACTTGTGGCAATTTGAGACGAAAAAGTCTGGCTGCAGTTTATCCATATCAAGATGGATATGTCCAATGCCGTGGGCTCCATCAATCACACTCAGAATCCCCTCTTCCCGACAGATAGCAGTGAAGCGTTCGAACGGGAAGCGTACACCAGGGTTGCTAACGATGGTATCGAAAACCGCCGCGCGAACCGTGAGACCCTCGGCACGCACTTTTTGAACAACATCACGGAACCGTTGTTCGAGTTCACCCTCCGCAATGGGGAAATGGAATGGCACTTTGCGAGTCTGGAGGGCAGAGTGTTCCTGCAGCGAGACCAGGCCTTTCTCCACGGCACCGTAGACGGGCTCAAAGTAAACAACGACCTCGCCTGCCTGGAAGTTCAGGTTGTACAGGACAGTTGCAACGCCGGTAGTAGCGTTTTTCACAAGAACACATTCGTCTTTGGCTGCATTGAGGATCTTTGAGAGACTTTCACGAGCTTCACTTAGAAGCTTCGTATGCTGGACCCGGATATATGGATCGGGTCGTAGATCGGCGACGTCTAGGAAGGCGCGCTGAGCTTCGCGGACAGCTGCTGGATGCGCGCCGAAGGAACCTAGTGATCGGGTGTCAGGCAGGGGATCCGTGAGGTCTGAGTGGTTGATGCATACCATGATTGAGATTTTTATAAGATGGGTCAAAAAGCCAATGCTTGAGCATCGGCTTGCCAAAAGGAGTCTGAAGGGAGCCCATTATGCCAATGACAATTGATCGGTGGAAATGAAATTGAAAAGTAGAACGGTTGGGATATTGTAGTGCTTCTTAACGAGATTTGTAGTACCGCAAATCTAGAAATGGTATATTAGAGACACAATGACTCAGTCAACGGGAATCTTGCAGCTGTATAAGAACCCTCGTGAGGGGCATGAAGCTCCATGACCACTTTGGCCGAGATTGAGTCACCTTCATCCGCGGAACCAATCAGTGGGTTGACTTTTAATCTTCAGATCCACCAAGAGCCACGCTAAGGGCGTGTGAACCCCGCCGGATCGGACGTAAAGCACCCTTAAAAATTTAAAAAATTGATCAGTGTTCAGCTAGTCTAAGCTGTCAGTAGAGTTTCAATAGATGTAATAGATATCCTTCTCAAATAGCTTATCATAAAATTGTTCTATTAGCAAACGTATCTCGACGTGCTTGGCTTGCCTCTTGATGAAGCCGAAATCCTTCCATACTTCCTCCTCGTTCCCGCCAAGGGCTTCAGCCTGCACGCCGAGGATAGCCGCACGAAGCACAAAGCTAGGCTGATATTCAAGGCCTAATTCTTGAAGTGCGAAGCAGCCTTGCAAACAGCGGTGACACAATTGCCATTGGATAAGCCATTCGAGGGAAATAGAAATATGGGCACCGTCATCGGTCTTTGCGGCTTCTGCATACAAACAAAAGCCTTTTCCCGCAAATGCAGGACCTGGACTTAAGGGGGGAACAAAGTCTGTTAAATAGTCTGGTCCATCTGGAAGTATGCTATAACTGAAAATAATCGATCAAAGAGCCTAGCTTATGAATTAACTTCTGGATAAACCATTCTACTCTTGAATCACGACCATGCTTCGTCAAACTACAGACTTTCTCGTCCGCACTATCGGCCTGGTGCTGATTTCAAGCGCGTACTTTTGGCAGTTCAACGCACTCACAGGTCCGAAAACAACTCTACTTGAATAGCATCCACATTATACTCACTGTTCGTGCAGTCATCGACCTCTTCGGTATCGCCAATCCCAATGTCGACAAGGCGGCGCTAGGCCCTGCGATTGGCTGCAGAAATGCGGCGGCTGGTATTATGCTTCTTGTGCTCAGTCTTCAAGGACACCGCCAGCTTGCCGGAGTCTTCCTCTTTGTTTGGGTGACTCTTGTTGGCCCTGAGGATATCTTCCTTTGCATCAAGGACGATACTAGTTGGACGACCCATGCGGTGAACTTGGGGATTGGTTGGACCTTATCGGTGCTTTCGTGGTACACTTGAAAGACCGATCCTTGAATATTGGGAGTTGGAAATAGGACTATACTGCACTTTGAAAAGATTTGTGGCATTAGTGCTTGGAGAATGAAGTACTTCCGAGCGCACCGGACGTCGCAAGACAGACTTGAGAAAAATCAAAGAAAGTGTAGATTCCATTCCGCCTTTCCTCAACTCCATGGCGATTCCTATCCCAAATTTGCTGCGTAATGCAATGTAAGAGGAAATCAATCTATCGAAAATCATTATAATATTATATGGATCACGGTATTTCGCATACGGCATCGAAAGCCCAAGGGTCCTCCGAAGTCGCAAGGCGTAGGGCGTTCTCAACGTCACGCTTCCGGAACGCCGGCCCACGACCAACGCAGATGGGGCCAAAGGAAAGGACTACGCCGAAGTTAGTAAAAACATCCGACAACGAATGATAATGGCTGATAATCACTCACATCTAACGAAGCTGGCCACGTTGAGCTGTGGAGCTGCATTGTATCGAGGACTGGATAGCGGCGAGCTAGTATCTTGGAGACGGATACCCCTCTCCTGTAGAAGCCTCTGCACTCCACTGGCATCTAGCCATTCCTCTGCACCAGATTCAATAACAATCTGCCACCCTCTGGACGACATCGCAAGTTGCTCGGGCGAGTAGCTATTTCTCCTTGAATGAAGAGGGCTGAGAACTTTTGTTTTTAATTCAATTGTATCACCGATCTCGTCGTGCATGGCAGTATAGAATGCAGAAATCAAGCGATTGCGCTCTGCGATAGTTAAGGTTTTCCCGAAGATCTCTAGGATCCTTGGATCGTCGGACGACGAGCTTGTCAATAGGCGGTATCCATTTTCGCAGCATTGTCGCACAAGGCGGTGTGAGAGTGTCCAGCGCCCTTGCTTCATGAGATTATTGGGCGATATAGTTGTCGGGAAATCTAGTGGAGGGCTCGGAGTTGATGAGAATGGGATATTCGGGGACGATAAGATGATTCCAAAGGGCAGCATTGCTTGTTCTTGGTAGGGTGGCGTGGGAGGTAATCGTTGTGAGATCGGCCACTGACTTAACATCTCCGATGAAGGTTGGAAAGTTTCATCGATCATCGGCAATGAATCCAGTTGCGAGATGAGAGGGTTGTAATTTAGATTTAGTTCTTCGGGCGTGCTGAGCTTGCTAGGTGTCGTTGGCGAAGCTTCGGTCGGGGTCACTTGTTCGGGCTCATCGCAGCCACTTTTTGCGAGCGACACGCATTGCTGTGTGATTTTCTGGAGCGCAGATGTGATACGAGGTTGATTTTGAAGGACTTGCGCTTCGAAAAGAAGATTACTGAAGGTAAGAAATGACTCGCTGAGCTCTTCGATGCCAGATTCGAGCTCCTGTACGCGGGATTGCAAATTGGTGATTGTGGTTTCCTTTCGCTTGCGATATGCTTGCTGCGCGACACGGAGCTGCTTTCGACGTCTCTGGATTCATCGTGTCAGCCATTGATTTGCGATGTAGTTGGTTGCTGATAGAGTACCCACTTCTGGAACCTGCTGTTCGTCCGTCACGGTTCGTGGCCGGCCTCTCTTGCGAGGCGCGGGCGCATCAGTCTTTGCTTCGACCATCATGTATTTGATTGCTTCCTTAGCGCTCTCTAGCTATTTAGAAGCCTTGCAGTGATGTAATGGATAGTCTGAGAAACGACGAGGGTCGTGCGGCCGTCGCGTCTTCATCGGAGTCGGGGGCGTCAGCGTCGGGGGTGTTGAATAATCGAAAAATCAGCGGGGGGTTCCCACGGCTCGCCATTCGAATTCCGCCTTCGTTGTACTTCGGTACATTACAGGAATCCACACATAGGGGAAGGATAAGCATCATAAAGTTTTTCATTACCAAGCAGACTATTAGTGCGATCGACTACGATCGGCTGATCATTATAGTCGAAAGACTTTCATGGATATGACAAGCAAAGAAGGTCCTACTTAACTATAATCACTAGGAAGCTTCGGTGGAGCCCGCAGTATGGTGGTGCGGGTACTCCAGTACTTTTTCTCAACAGAAGCCAAATTTCTGGATACAGTACATGTTTTGTCTCGGAAAATGTTCCTTGGACATAGGAGAGTATTTCAGAATTCGGGTTGAAAAATTCTTTTAGCATCTTCAGGGGGTTGGACAAGATCTGATGTAGTATTTGTTAAGTGTTAGCATTTGGGTGAAGTAGTTGAGCCTCGGTAGTTTGTGTGGTGACACAAATGCCTATTCGAGTATTTCTCTACTTTGAATAGTAACCCTCGGACCCTAGCGATAATCTCTCGTCATCAACAAAGCTGCTACTCGTCGTCTCGAATTGCATCAAAGTGAAATCTATATTGGCGTTTTCTAAAACAAAGATCATGAACGTAACAACTCATCGCTTGACGTATCGCACGTACACTTTTTTCCCCAGTCTCTTGATTCTTTAGAATTTTGGGATTCGTATTTCTTTACAAAAACCAGATAGGGTTGGTCAGACCAAGTGCAGAATCGTCAGTGACGTTCCGGACCTCCACTCTCACAAACTTGAGGCCAGCAGGGAGATGTTGGCGGAGGGCCTGGCCATCCGTGATAGTGGTGTTATGGAAGTAGCCCTTGTCGGAGATGAAGCACGCCTTTTGGCCACTCATACTCTCAACGGTAAGGAAAGCCTCGGCACCAGCAGAGCTGCCGTGAACTCTGTCACCGATCTGAGCAACGGTGTCCTTTATGTTGACGTTAAACACCATCGACTTTCCGGGACCCTCCACAATATAAGCGCGGGCATTCTTGACAGCAGCGACGATAGCAGATTGCTTGCGACCGCGAGCGTTGACAACGGTGGTGGGGATACCGTTCATGGAAGGGGGAGAGTGGGAGTCACTACCACCAATGGCGGCTGTGTACTTTCCAGCGACGAGGAGCTCGTGCCACTTCTGGATAGACTGCTGATCGGTAGAATCAAAGTTGGCATTCCAGACTTCGATAGCATCGTTGTGGTCCCAGTCATTGAAGCCCCAGTTGCAGGCCGGGCAGTTGGCGAAGGGGTGGTTGACGGAAACGAAGCCACCGGCGCGGTGAACTTGCTTAGCAGCATCGACGAAGCCGGCGACGTCCTGGTAACGCCAGTCAATGAGCTGCTCGCGGTCGAGACCGGCGGCTTGCCAATGGCCGTGACGGGTAGTAACCTCGATGGCGCGGCAAATCAACAGATCGGGGGCAAGGGCCTGCTGGTAAGCGCCAATGACGTTGTTGCTAGTGTCGGTGTTGTGGTCGGAGAAGAAGATGAAGTTGAGGTCCTGGGCCAAGGCATGCTGGATTTGCTCATCTGGGGTATACTTGCCATCGGAATGAACCGTGTGCATATGGAAATCACCTCGGAGCCACTCCTGCTGCTCAAACTGACCGATGGTATCAAAATCAACCTGGGCAAAGGTGGGAGAGAAGTAAGTGTCGACGGGGTCGAAGCTCATGACAATCTGCAATTCCCAGTCAATGCCTGCAGGAACGGAGTTGTAGGGACCCAGAACGACGTTCCAGGTACCGGGCTCGATGCCGCCGGGGTTATAGCCAGGAGTGGCCCAGGAGGGAGTGATGGTGAAGTTATTGCGGAAACCGCCGGACCATCCGCGAGATCCAAAGGTGTCACTGACACCGTTCATCAACTGATATCCACGCTGGTCGAAGACACCCAGATCCAGAGCGTTACCCTGGCCCTTGAGGGAGTAATTCTGCAGGACATAGACCGAAGTGGTCTCAGGCTCGACTTGGAACGGAACATAGACAAAGGACATGACCTGGGAGGCATCGATATGGCCAGTCAAGTTGAGGGTGACGGGAGCCCGAGCAGAGACTCCAGCCACGAGGGCGGAAACCAGGGAAAGAATCGTGGTAGCCTTCATCTTTGATGGTACACTCGCAGAGAAGCAAGATGGAGTGCCAAAGTTAAGACGTCTCTACCTATGAAGGAAGCGATTGTCCTCTCTTATAGGCCTACATAGAGATGAATTATCTCAATGGAGGGGTATCAACGAGTGTAACTATACCTGCGCATTGTTGGTTATCACGGTAGATGTTACCCTGTCGTAACCCACGTGGGTGTTTAGTTGTTGGTTGTCCAGATGTCACACTGTCGATCGCAATTACAATTTCACCCGGTTTTACCGATCTTTGAAGATGTCAAAAATAGAAAAAACGTAGTTCGGGGTCCTTGAAGGGACCTCGATCAAAGAAGATCGTCAAGCTCGAGGTAATGGCCATTTTATCATCAATGATCTGTTTTCCACAGCGAGACTACCGAATACTAGACGACGGGAGCGTAGTATAACTCTTCAAATTACTCAATAGTGATGGAGGACCTCTTAGGAAGGGATCAAATTCATTGCGAACTGGTTCTGACATCCGGCACCCGCGGGTCCTAAAGAGGAAGGCAGATAGACAGTCGATAAGGTGGCTTGCCTTCTTGATCCCTATGCCCATGGATCGCGTTCCTCGGGCAAGGCCTTCACTTTGTCAATGCGTTCCTCGTAATGGCATTCGGGATGGTCGCCGGGACCTTGCTTCCTTGTTTCGTCTAGGCCACCATAAATATCACAAGCGATCCGAGCCCTCACATTTCGGCATGATCGCGATCTCAGGGGTCCTCAGCCACTGCTTCAGTCCACGTGGGGGAGAGGTGTTTTGCATGTCATGCTTTTTTGTGTTAAGCTTTTCTGGTCCACCCGTTATATTCCCGAATCCCCGGGAGTCGGGCTCCACCTCCTGAACCCTGCGACATTCTAGAAAAGCACAGGCAGAGATCGAGTCTAAGGTAGAAGTATCGCCTAGACTGGTAACTATCTCTTTTAAACAGTGGTGCCTGTAGCTAATACTCCACTCACTGCGAGTGTGGCGGCCAGGGTAAACTTAAATTGCCATCGCCTTTATGGGTCACCCCTTTAGATCACCAAATCAGAGCACATAACAGGAGCAAGCCACGAAATACAAGAAACTGGACAGACAGATCGGACATATGAGCAGGCTATTTGCTCTGGAATAAATGGAGCCTAGCACGTGGATTACCGTTGAATTAGAGCGTGGCAAGGAGTTACATTACTCATTCGGCGATGGTGCAGAAAGCCAATTCTGCGCACAACCTACTAATTACTATTTATTTGATGTGCATGACCCTGAATTCAAATAAAGAACGATCCTTGATAGTAATACAACTCACTCAATCTCTGTCGCTCACTGTCGTTCTCTCTTTGTCACAATGAAGTTGACTAGTGGCCTCGTCTTCTCGGGGCTCCTCGCCTCTGCATCGGCTGTGCCGATTGCTACCAGTCCCTCTGGAAAGTGGTTTGACCGTATGCCGAGTCCCTACTCCTAATTGATCTGAGATGAATACTCATATGCATGTTAGGCTTCGTGGTCATCGTTATGGAGAACACCAACAAGGACACTGCTCTGGCCGACCCCTACTACCGCCAGCTGGCCGACTCTGGTGTTTTGTTGAACGGGTACCAGGGTAAGACTGAATAGCCCAGCGCGTACATCTCCATCATCCTTATGATTCGATGCTTACTATAATTAGGTACTACTCACCCTTCTCAGCCTAATTATATCACCATGATCGCTAGTACCACTGCTGCTGGTGTCTTTGATGACGGCGATCACAACACCACCCAGAACAGCTTGGTTGATATCTTTGAGCCTGCTGGTATCTCGTGGAAGGCATACCAGGAGGGTTACTACCCTCTGGCTGGTGGTGCTTGCAACCCCGTTCACCAGAACAAGACTTCTGGCTACGTCCGGTGAGTTTACCACTTGTTTGAATTGGAAATACTCAAAATCTTGCGACTTTCCTCGCTAATAGTCTCATTAGCAAGCACAATCCTTTCATGTCCTTTGACAACATTCGTGAGAACATTTCTCGTTGCCAAAACATTGTTAACGCCGAGGAGCACTTCGCTGCCGACGTTGCCAAGGGCAAACATGCTCCTCAGTACATGTTCTACACTCCCAGTCTTGCTAACGATGCCCACGACACCAACATCACCTACACCGAGACTGACCTGAAATACCTCATCAACACCATGATGGGCAACGAGCGTTTCATGAAGAACACTCTCATCCTCGTTACCTTCGATGAAAACGGTAAGAACTTGTCTCTGGTTATTTTCGACTAAACAGAATGCTGATACACGTTAAAAGATGTCTACTCTCCTGATTCTTACGGCACCCCCAATGAGGTCTATTCCGTTCTCCTCGGCAAGGACGTCCTGAGTTGCACTGGCTGCGTTGATCAGCAGTTCTACAACCGTCAGTGTCTCCTCCATCATGTCATCTACTTTCTCTGACTTTTCAACAGACTTCACCCAGCTCACCACTCTTGAGCAAAACTGGAACCTGACCAATATTCCCAACCCTGACGGCAATGGCGCGATGTGGGACTCGTGGATGCTTCCTTTCTCCAAGCTGAAGGCTAAGCACCACTAGACTTTGTTTGTGATGTAGGTAAAAGATCATACTGATAGCACTAGAAAAAATTTTCCGTGACACTAGGTCGCTAAGCCTAATTAGATCGCACTCCCTTACGAGTTTCAATTGGTACAAAGATATTACGATTATTCGCGAGTAGCTGTTATGTGAGACATTTTACAAGGGCTCTCTGAAAAGATAAATAGAGAGACATTCTGAAAGAACTTTAGGAACAGCGAAGGCTGAAGCGTTTCCAGCCAGGCTTCTTTTTTCTAGCTCTTGTCCCCAAAGTTTGAACTATCACTGTAAAATACGTAAAGGCTATCAAATTAGCATGTGTTACTCGTAAGGTACGTATCTAATCCAGCATCTGAGGTGCACAACCAAAGCATCTCAGTCTCACACGTAAATAATCCACCCGCGGCCGGAGATTCACATCTTTTAATCACTATCAATGTCACCGGAACATCACTCCTCAGCATAATAGTGACACTACCGTCGCCCTGGCGCTCTATCGGAACGGGAACTGCTGTGTGCCGACAAAAGAGAACGTCGTTTTCGAGCAGCTCGATCTGTTGCCATTGTGTGGCACACACATCGACCCGCATCACTCAGGCTGTTAGTCAAGGAATGCTTGGTCGTAGAATCAACTCAACTTTCAGGAAACCAAACTGTGGCGGAGCTATGTGATAAATTGCTCGACCAAAAACAACATCTGCGATCTTGAGGACGACGATGAGCGCTGGGAAAGCTTGAGGTTATATATCATGCCAACGCCATGTGGCTTTATTGTGCCAGCCAATGACAAATCGAATACGTTCGAGCTGGCAATGGAATCGGATGCCGGCTGCTGCGCATTGGACGGTGCTACAATTGGCACCCCCTGACGCAGGTAAAGATATACCTCAATGGCAATTTAAACCCTTCAAAGCTCGCGAATGCTGAGCTCCTGGGGCTAAAGGGCAAATGGCTGAGGTTGATCAGCGAAGATCGAGTCTGGAGAGAAAAGCAAAAGAGAGAGGAAAGCTATCTTTATATGATTCTTGGATAATTAACACAGGTCTGCACTCTCACTTCCTCGCTTCATCTTTGGTTCCTACAACGTTCATCCTTCGATCTCGCCACCACCCAAAAGCGAGTTCTACCTACTGTGACAAGAGATCAGGGACAACAATGACGACTATTCTTTCATGCTTCCAGTTCCAGCACATTTCGTCAAAGAATGTCAGGCGGTAAGGTGCTGGTGTTGAAGGCCGTCCTTGTCGCAGTTGCCTGGGAGTTGCGGACCATGAAGCGGCCTCGAGCAAACTGCTCGGATGACTGATAACTCAACATGCGCCGAGTCTCGCTATTCCAAAACAGTTAGCTTCGACCCTCAGCTATCACTAACACAAGTGCAAAACAAGACAGACAGAGCGCGAGTGTTTATTACCCATGGTACAATGGCTATCAGTGAAATAGCCGTTCACATAACAATCGCCTACTCCCCCCGGGTTGATTTGATGATCCCACGTACTGCATCCTGGTTAGGCGCTTGTTTTCGAGAGTTCCTTTTACCTTAACAGTCAGGAGACGTATGGGTCAATATCATACCAGTTATCTTCGTAGCAGTCTCCCCGCTTGTAACACGCAAAGTACAAATTCTCACCCGGGCTTAAGGTGCGGACCACCTTGGAATCGAGGTGCGGTCCTGCCCGACAGTTAACTTTTCCATTAGTATTAACTATGTGGCACCACTGGGCAGTGCCTGCAAGGACCCCAAGTGGCAAGATGAAGAGAGCAGAAAGGATAGACTTCATATTGGAGAATGTGACGTTGAAACTAACACAATATGCGAGAAGAGAAGAAAACAAAGGTGGCAGAAAGGGAGCAGGCCGTTGACCGACAGTTTATCTTTTCGAAGCTTTGCTGAACGGTTTTGAGAGAAACGAAGAGGACTACACGCCAGGCCAAGGATATTCGGGGCATGTTGCTGGATTGAGTGTCTCTCCATGCCGATCACCTCGTGTTCCCCAGCCTTGGTGGGTCCTTGAGAGGCATCTCTGTGTGTCCTCTTCCCCTTGTCAATTCCGAACTAATCTGTGCTAAGTCTTCTTGGACTTAGACCCTTCTTGTCGTAAATCTTCGATTGGCTGGAGAAAAAGCTCCATCGCCGCCCTCCTGAGGATGTACAGTCCACGCCCTTCGCTGTGCAACGTTTCGCGACCAATCTCGCTTGCCCTGGAAACGTACGAGCCTTAGACCGAGTTTGTTCGAACCGAGGTAGAAAACTAGCCCATACCTTCGTTGGACAGACTGGCACACTCTGTAATAAGTGCGTTCAAAATTGGATCCACTCGGTTGTTTTCTGAAGCTGAAATGTGCTAGAATACGAGTTCTGGTTGCTCCTTACGGCCACGTACCTTTGGACTTTAAAGCTCGTATACTGCCCATTCGTGGCTTCCTAGCTTTGCGACTTAAACTGATGCGGGTCATCACGCACCGCTCCGGTCATCAATGCAGAATCTGTCATGGCTTTCTGTCTGGCCCTGATATCTCGTCAGGCCCTGCTTCCCCTTGATCGACTTCCTCACTCACAATCTCCCGCTTAACCAGGATTTCCTCCCCCTAGGTCTTGGCAGGATTCTTCCACCTAGGGATTTCTTGATCTCCTTTGTACCACAGTAATTTCTCGTGTCCGGATGATAATATTCGCGTCCTGAAGAGAGAGAAAGAGGGAGAATCCCCACCCACCCGCGGGAAACTCCTTCAGCCTGGCGCCCCCCAAAGCGCTCATTACGTCTTTTGTTTCTTCCCTTGATCAGACTCAGATCCTTCTGAACGAGACGGGGGAGTCTCGTGGAATTACACATAGCCAACTTCTCAAATATGACGAATCGGCTGACTGATCTTCGACTTTTCAAGTCCATTCTTGCCGGACTTTTAAGTTTTACTGTTGCCTTGCTCATCTTATTCAACGTCAACACAATCATCTCGCCCAGTGGATCTCATCCGACATTACTGAAAACAATATCGTCAGTATCATCCTTCATTTCTACAACTGTGGAATCGCCCTTAGCCACCGAGCGTTGCCGTCAACTTCGGGGAGCCGATGATGTCCTGGTGATTGTCAAGACGGGAGCAACTGCGTTGCGTGAGAGATTGCCGGTGCATTTTCAAACTACTCTGCAATGTATCCAACACTACGTGATTTTCTCAGACATGGAGGAAGAATTCGAGGGCCATTACATCCATGATGTGCTGTCCGGAGTCAGTGCGGAGATGAAGAAATCCGCGCACGAATTCAAGTTCTATCGCGATTTGCACGAGAATTCAGATAGAGTGACTGAATATATGAGAGAGAACACAGCTTTCCAAAGAAACGCATGGCACCTCGATAAATGGAAATTTCTCCCCGCTGTGGAAAGAGCTCTACAGGCTAAACCGGATGCAAAGTGGTTTATGTTCATCGAGGCAGACACTTTCTTGGTTTGGTCTAACCTCCTTAAATGGCTGGCCACGCTAGACTGGAGGGAACCTTACTTCTTAGGACTACCAGTGACCATGGAGGGCCAACTGTTTGCATACGGAGGGGCAGGATGGCTGCTATCACGACCAGCAATACAGCGAATGACACATCACGTAGCTTCCCAGAATGATGATTATGAATATTTCATAAACAAAACCTCATTTGGGGACCTGATTCTTGGTTATGTACTAGAACGGGCCGGCCTTGGACTTACTGGGGCGTGGCCTCTTATCCAACGAGAAACACCAAGCACGATGGAATACACCAAAGAGATATGGTGTTATCCTATTGTCACTTTCCACCACATCGGCGCTCTTGATATAAAATCAATATGGGATCTTGAGCAGACATGGATAGCAGATGTGAAAGCCCCTCTACTCCACTTTGACATCTTCAACCAACTTGTATACCCTCACCTCGCTACAAGGATTGATGACTGGGATAACTTCTCTGATGGCGAGGAGAAAGTGCTTTATCCCAACGAAGGATTTGAAGATTGCAAGCTACACTGTGAGGAAGATCTGCAATGCATGCAGTTCCGCTTCACACCAAAGAAATGTACCATATCCCATTCAATTACCCTTGGCTGGAAGGCAGATCCTTCGATAAACAGCATCTCGGGCTGGATGATGGAAAGGATCATCCAGGTCAAAACAATCGTTCGATGTGAAGGGGAAAAGTGGATATAGATATGTACTCGGTATAATTCCAGCAATACTGTAGTCCTGACAAGTCTCCGCTTTATGAAAGTGAAAAATGCTTGATAGTATTATATGCTAAATCTCTCTGCAGCCGCATGAAACGCACCCTCCACTAGGCTGTGACAGTGGCAAAAATATCGTGGGATACCGCCTTATTGTGTCCATAACGATACGACGTCAATATTTGAATGGAAAAGCTGGATGACTGTTGATGTTCCACTCAACCTTGGAAGTGGTAATCCCAACCAGTGCTGAACGGGCCCCTCCGCCTTGGAGAGATATTAGAGGATGAACAGGTCGATCTGTGTATCAAGATAGTACTCACTCCAATAAAAATGATCATTCCTATGCAACAGTTCTCTACCACAACATCCTGCATGGCCCAAGCCCAGGTCTCAGTGGATTTGAAGAGCTGTATTACAGTTCAAGAATACCAAGTGGCTGGTAATAAATTATTGATTACCCAACTAGGCTCTAGATGAAGGATTTGGTATAAACATGAGAACTGTTAAGAATGGTAACAACCTCACCCAAAGTTTCCGCCGACGAAACGGGACTGGCCAATCTCTTTACTCTTCCTTAGTGGGTTGCCATTGGTACTATATGGCGACGCCGTATCAGTGTATAGTGTAGATGTGGCAAAGTATCGGTCAATGCAAGGAGTTCTATGAAACCCTCGTACTGTAGGTGTTCCAGATAGCGCCAGATATGTCCCGTGGTATCTAGGAACATCTTCGTGCTGCGAGTAAGGAAGTTGACAACTATACTCGTCCTCATTCGGACTAGGCCTTCATCTTCATTCTTTACATGGTAGTAGGATAGATAAGCCTTTCTTGTTCAAAGCGTCAAACCTGCCTTCTCTCCCCCTCTCGTTATCAGCAGCTTCATCAGAAGGGGGTACTAACCAAGGCACTAGTTGGCCAAGCTATCGCCTTTGGACGTTGTGGATCAGGCGGTGAAAAACTAAGCATGAATATCCCTTCTCCCCCCTTACGGACCAGATTCCTAATATTCTTCGACCCCTTGCTTGTACCTGATTTCTTCTTTCGGAAGGCTTTGTGAGACTTTGGCTTTGAGAGAATGGTTACTTGGATGGGGACGCATCATTGCTGCCTTTGATTGAGGTTAGGTATATTCGAGATTTCCCTGGGCCCAGATCCAGAACCCTTACCAGAACCCTGACGAAGCCAACCTGATTGAGACTGATCAATTGGTTGAAGGCTTCGCTCATTGCTTACAGACTCGCTATGAATGATGGTGGTCCTGTTGAGAACACGTTCAGACGAGCGTTCGCTCAAGTACTGAGTATGGTCGCAAGTCCAGCCACGAGACGAAACCACCAATATCTACATATACTTCCGCAAAGACTGAGTCGCAGGAATATCCAATGACACGGGAGGCGACAGCTCTGACTCTTGGGCTTTTTTTGGCGTTATTTCGTATTTGTCTGGTGAGTCTGATAACGTATCTGGCCGTATGTGAATCAAGAGCTTATCCATACTTGCTGTCCACTTCCATGCATTCAATTGTCATAAACTTAGGTTTCGTCTAGGCATGACTTTCATATATGCGTATTTAATACATTATTATTTGGATTTACAGATGTTAGGAATCATACACTTGTAACGGCTATTCTATAAACTTGACATCCATGCAGAGGTCACTGGCTATACATTATGGGAAGACTTCAGACGGGGACATCCAGTGGCGTGGCCTCTATCCAAGCTGTGAGCTTTAGGAAATTGGGATTCACTTCGTGCGAGATCGACAATGCCCCAATATAGTAGTGCTGGCTGGTCCACCTATACCAAGAAAGACCCTGGAGGTTGCACCGATAATGCTTGGACCTTCTTGTGGCTGCACTTTTGAGGAATGAACTCCCGGCTTAGATTTGAATTAAGAAGAATTGGATCATTGGTATCTATAACACTGATTGATTATCTCAACCTCATATTCCCGTGATGGTTCTATATATCGCGAAAAAATAATTCAAACAGCATACTTCTGTACGAAATTGAACAGCTGTCGCTAAACTCCAGAGTCTCTGAGAAGACTATCTTGGTCAAAAACGCCCAGATGAGTAACGAGCTGGGTATAATAAGAAGCAGCTATCTACCAGCAACTGAGCAAAATGTCGCGGAATCTCTCTTCTCGTAGTGCTGTGTAAATTTTGCTGACCTGGGAGCCAATCGATTCGTAGTCATCTCTACGTAATGTTGAGTAGGCACCAGATTCGCTGTAGGCCGGTACATTCAGATCTTCCCGGACGAACTTGTAAAGTTTCTGGGACGAAGTGCAAAGATACTTCTTGGTTGTGGCGCAAGAAAGAAATTTGTTCCGAGTATTCTCGTAAGTTCTCTGTAACACGCCAGAGACACTGCTCTTCCATTGCCGAATAACGCCTTCTTGTAATATACCAGCTTCGGGAGGCAGGTTATCAAGAAGAACCCCAGCGGATCGATTCGCTGAAGTCGCACATCGATCACAAAGGTCCCTTGTGCTGTTTTTGAGCCAGTGTTGCATCAGTTCCTCCCAGATGACAGATTTAGTCGATTCTTTGTTGACGTGTTCTTTTGAACAAGCGCTCGCTGTGAGCTCATCAACCATGGGGCGTGCAGCTTTGACAAATTCGGCATGAAGCGCTCGAAGGTCCACAGCTTGACAGAGCACGTATAGATAAGTGGCCGTCATCAGTGAGAGTATCTCGACAGCATCTCCAGCATAGCGACACCCGATAAATGCGAGTGAATTGAGGGCTTGGTTATGCATTTCCGCCGACTGAACGTGATTACTGATAGGGTGATTCAGATATCCTAGCTCGGAAGTGTAGGCTGCCATGTTGATATCAATACCCTTGAATGCAAATGAAAGACTAGGGTCTTCCATGCACAAATTTGGCGGAAGCCCATTGCTAAGAGTCGGGTTCAGTAGCTCGGAGCATTGAGAGAACACCATTTTTCCAATCATTTGCATGGTGCTCAAAGTTTTCTCCATGGCCGAGGTAATAGCCACGGCTTGGAAGTTACCACCATGATAGATGTTGCCGTCTTCCAGGTTAATAAGAGGGTTGTCCGTTGTTGAGTTAAGCTCGGTCTGCACCTGTTGCAGCGCCAGACGCATATTCTCAATCTGGGGGCCGATCCACTGCGAGGAAGTACGTAGAGCGTAACGATCCTGTGCGAGACCGTCTTGACCAGAACTAGCTGGAATTGCAAGCTTGGAGTCAAGTAAAAGGTCAAAGATATTCTTCGCAGCCTCCACTTGGCCTTCATGGGGGCGTGTGGCGGCAATGAACGGGTGATAATTGCAAATCATGCCCAACATTGCTTCAGTACCCATTGCTGTGAGCACTTGCGACAGTAAAAGTAGCTGATTGGCTTCGAACAAAATTAGGCTTGCGGCGCCACAGCTGAACGCAGTCCCATTCAAGAGCCCTAGGCCTTCCTTGGGACCGTATACCAAAGGCTCCAAGTTTAATTCCTTGAGTGCTTGATCGGCGCGGATAATGTCTCCATTCGGTTTATGAACTGAGATGTCTGGGTTTCCTTGAAGAGCGCCAGCTATGTATGCAAGCGGCATCAAATCACCCGACGCAGAGATGCTTCCCTTGAGAGGAACCACTGGAGTAAAAGAGGTTTGCAAGAAGTTGCAGATATATTCAATCACCTGCTGCCGCACAGCCGAGTGGCCTCGAAGGAGAGAGTTGCATCGCACTAACATTGCAGCTCTCACAATTGGTACAGGGATGCTGTGGTTTTTCAAGAAAAGAGGACCAGAAAGGCGAGAGCTCTGATGACCTCGATCACTAGGAAGCAGGACTGCCGAAATTTGCGACTGAATCAAAGCCTTTTGTAGCGCAACGTAGTCTGTTGTCCTGGTATCCGCACTTCCGCCAAATCCAGTATTGACACCGTAGACTGTCTCACCACTATTTAGCTTTTCGTTTAGAACATCCACACTTCTCTGCAGCCTTTGGTGTATCTTTGAGTCTTTGGTTAGAGACACATCACAACCATGTCTTTTGAATATATGTTAGTTCGTGATAAAAACATAACGTGACCATGAAATAAGGACACACCTAGCAACAGCTACAACCGAGCTCAGGTTCAAAGATTGACCGTCTAACACCACTTGGGATGGTCTTGCGACAAAATGGTAGACGTCACGACATTCTTGAAGGGTGGAATCGGTGAAGGGTGTGATGCTCTTGGGTTTGAGGGCCAAAGCTTCTTCGTAAACAGCAGACTCGGATATTTCGCCCATTTTAGAGAAGACAAATCAGGGTGGAGGGGGTGGATTGTCAAATATAATGTGATGGAGGTGATTTAAGCTGAGACGAATCCACCTAGAGTTTGAAGATCATTGATTAAGCAAGTTCACAGACTTTAAATCTAAAGACGATTAACATGGAGCCCTTGCAAATATATACTTTGACTTGGACGGGCATCCATGGCATACCCAGTATGCCAAGAATGCATGAGATCAGATGCAACCACCAGGTGGTATGAAGCTAAGCAAGACTTGTGACAAGTCAATTAGAGCTAGATACAATCACGCATCTCGTTAGATAGAACTGGAAATAGTCATGTTGCTCGTGTACGGGGCCTGTGGGTCCCATTTGTCTTGAGAGGATCACCCGAAGACTTTGTAACCTAATACCTTTGATTATGATGAATACCGTACTCTAATACCCTATCATAGGTACAGTATTCCCCATAATCTGTGACCTGCGCCTGTACTGTATGATCTGACACTTGACGATACTGGTCGATTTTTGAGACACATTTGAACCAAATCCATAGCGATAAGTTTATCTTTTATCGAGGATAGAGATGATTCAACCTCCGTGATACGTTAACTAGTTCAATTAGTGCAGAAAATTTTGAATCATATGCAGGCTAAATTGTGTCCTGAGGGAACTGTTCAGATGGCGTGGCAGCACGGAATCATGCAAGGGCGAGAGTACCAAGTTTCCAAGCCAATGAGGATCCACATCTAACCACACAGGTGCTGTCCAGATTCATCTGATATGCCGTATCCCTGACATGTCACCTCGTGATATTTTTGAATGAAGAAAGATTTCTTGTATTGTGATTCCTGTTGAATCTAGAATGTTGCATCCTAGCTACAGTCCGCAGAACGCAAGGTGGCATTTGCCATCCGGGGATCTGTTCTGATAGCCCTGCACTAAAATTCACGTGTATAGATCAGGGACCTAAATCCTTATTCCCTCGCAATGGCCGACAGATACTGTAGTGCGTTGTTCTCTCTCCAAAGCCAGGACGATGTCACAGTGTCGGACATAGCACTGCAAGGATTCTGCTATTGAATACTGTACCCTTGTACTCCGTGATAATTTAAATATACATTTCTTAGTGACATGGGCGATTGACCGAGCAGTAGACTAGCAATAATTATGTAGTTAAATTTCTCCACCGTGGGTGTACAAAGGAAAAAGAAAAAAACAATACTGTGCCGCGTTGCAAGGATCGGCCGATTCACCGCTCCTTTTCTGCTTCCTAACCGGCCCCTTACAAAAGTTACGAAATCCGATGCTCAATTCACCGCGTTTTATATGACACTTTCCCAGGATTCAAGTGTGTATTCAATTCATGGAATACAAAGTGACAACCCGTTGTATGAATATTCAGAAAACCTCCAAAGTATTACAACACTTATAAAGAGCTATTAGAGGAAAGTAGATCTACGGTACTGACATAGAATGAACGGTAAGTAATAAGATGAATTGTTCGAGTCCACGCTAGTGTATCTTTGATTTGCCGGTAGCCCAACGAGCGAATGACCTCAGGTCACGAGTCGATTCAAGAGGCATTTTTATGACAATTCTTACTTTCCGTCTTCAGCTTTTGTTGATAAGATGCAAAAAGAATGAGCGCTTTGCCGAGCCCCCTTGACTCTGGACTGTCTTTGGTTCAACCGTCGAGCCCGGTTCATGTTGTCTTCACATCAGGAAGTACGTGTACTCCAAAGGGAGTCATCATTACTCACTGCAATGTCAGCAGCGCGATGTTTCCACCAAGCAGAAATACTTAAGCTGTCCGGGCTCTCGAATTTTTGATTTCGAATCTTACGCATTTGACATACCTTGGTTGAATTTCTTCATTACTCTGACATCCGGTCACAGTTTGTGCATTCCATTTGACGCATATAGAAAGAACGACATTGCTGGCTCGATGACGAGACTCAAAGCCGACTTTGCTTGTCTCACGGCATTGGTTGCCCGAGCGATTTATCCCGATCAAGTGCCTTTTCTAAAAAGTCTTGTCTTGGCTGGAGATCCCCAGCATTCATGTCTATGGACCAGGATGGGACCGAGGCAGCCATTTCCACAAAAGCCTACACCGATGGCCTCGTCGACAAGCTTGCCCAGAAGCTGCTAATGTATATGATCCCAAAAGTGTGTTCATTCCAATCGGTCAAACCCCTAGCACAACGACCGGGAAGGTCGACTATCGAAGTTTGCGAAAGATTGACTCGTCTCTCCCCCTTGCACAGCTTGCAGAATCCAACCCAACCCGTCATTACCGAGAGCCATCCACTGAAGCGGAGCGCACACTTCAGCTTCTTTGGGCAACAACTCTTAGTATCTCACCTGGAACTATCAGCGCTTCCGATAGCTCTCTTAAATTAGAAGGTGACTCGATCTCGGCGATGCAGCTGGTCAGTCTCGCCGGTGGCCAAGGGAAGCTGTGCTTCATTTTGGCAGACGTGTTCAGACATTCACGGTTAGAAGAGCTCACCCAGGTTATCTGCTCGATTCATGAGAAAAACGAAGTCATTATGCCGTTCTCTTTACCGAGAGAAGGTAAGGGCGAAATTTGGGAGCTTGCGGCAAAGCGCTGCGGTGTAATCTCAGAATAAGTGAAAATCTTTACCCATGCACGCAGCTGCAAAAAGGAATGATGTCTTCAACCATTCGACAACCAGGAAGCTATATCAGCCGCAATGTTTTCGAGCTTCGAGACTCTGTTGATGCTACCAAGCTGAAGAAAGCGTGGGCAGTGATTGTTGAGGAAAATCCCATTTTCAGAACTAGAATTGTGGACATCCCCAACCTGGATCTGGTGCAGGCGGTCATAGCAGTGCCTTTTGCTGAAGAGAGGCCATTGTATAACCCGATTTCAAGCACGGCGCACCAACAGCCAAACTCACTGGCAATCAATGCATGGGATGGCCAAATGACATATTCTGAGCTGGATCGCACCTTATCTGAATGGGCCAGCCGACTGGTGGCCCTTTGGGCCCGGCCCACAGTCACCATTCCGCTCCACTTCGAGAAGTCATTGTGGATGCCGGTTGCAATCCTAGCAGTTCTCAAACCTGGGTCTTCTTTCCTTCAGCTATCTACCGCTGTCTCAGCGGAGCGAATGAAAGCAATATTGAATGCTATACAACCATTGTTTGCCCTGTCATACTCCAAACGATATTATGGACTGCCAAGTCATATCACAACGAATGTTGTACCCAAGATCTTGGAAGACATTGGCAGCCCAGAACACTTCTGGCAACAGCATATAGCCCCGATGCCATCTCGAATGTCATTCTCACAGGGCATCAGGAGGCACTGGAACTCCGAAGGGCATAAAATGGAGCCACCGCGCCCTGTCTACAAACATCAGAGATGCCGGGAAAGCCATCTCGATTTCAAAGAGAAGTTGTCTCTGCATTCCGTCCTAAGATGAGGAGAAAAACAAGCTAGCAGAGGCTATAACAAGCTACCATGCTAGCACCATTTTTCTTACACCATCTGTGTCAGAGATACTCCTCCCCGATGCGCTTCCGAGCCTTTTCAGGAATCGTGAGAGACGTATGACGGACAGCTTGGACACACGTCATCAAGCCTGCCGCTCTCTTGCCTTGGTTGCCTGGTTGAAGGGATCAGAATGCCGCTAGGCCGTATCTTAGAGGAAAACTTGGATATCCGTCAGAGCCTCATCAGGTCATCTAGGCTCTGCAACTTCTTCCTGTGTATCCTTCTCGAATAATCAATGTCGTCATGGCTTCTCGAGGAGAGCATTCTCGGCAGTGATTCTTCATGTTCAATAGTACTTTCTACTTACTTAGACAGGGGCTTCCATCTAGCGTTTTCGAGTTGTATGACAGACTGTATATAGACCCTCACTGCCTCCTTATAGTCGAACTCTTTACTTAGTCTTCGCTGCTACCCTCGCACTCTTCCTCCTCGTACTAACCTCACCATCATCCACTTCACCCTGGCTCTTACGCTTCTCCAGAGAAGAAGCACTTGATTCCCCCGGCACCTTCCCCTCCGCCAACATCTTCACCAACGCCTCAATTCTCCTCCCCCTAGCCGCGGGCGAAGCAGTCTCCACCCTCCACAAAACCGCATACCTTTCACTCCTCTTCAACCCCTCAAAAGCCTTCCCGGCCCCATCCACTCTCTCCAACGCTTCCCTAAAATCCTCCGGAACGCTCATACTAGCCGGCCCCGCATAGGCGCGCTCCCACCGTCCATCAGCTTTAGCAGCATCGACAGCAGCTAACCCGGCCGGCCGCATTCGCCCAGCACTCACAAGCCGCGCAACCGTAGCCACATTCTTCTGGGACCAGATGCTTTTCGCGCGGCGTGGCGTGTATCGGACTAGCCACCACTTTTCGTCTAGGGTGTTTGCGCGGCCGTCGATCCAGCCGAAGCAGAGGGCTGTTTCGACTGCTTCTGGGGCGGTGACGGACGGTATGCCCGAGGCCTTTTTGGCGAGTTTGAGGTAGAAGCCTGGTATCGTGGTGTGGGACTTTTCGAGGAAGGTTTCTAGGCCTTTGGGTGTGGAGAAGGAGTAGGTTGGGAGATCTGTGGGGGGTGGTTTGGAGGGCATTGGGAGGGGTGAATGGGATGGAAGGGGTGGGTGGATGAATCTTGATGAGAGGGTGCCTAGGATGCGATTTAATTGAGTAGGTTTAAGGGATGAGCGGTAGATTCGGACGATGAAGCTGCGCGTGAGGTTGGACCTGCAGAGGTTCATGACGGGCCTTTAGAAAGTTTAGACAGGTCTGATGTGGCTTGTGCTCTGGCTGGTGTTCTCCGCGCCGAGATATTGGCATCTCCTATGCGGTCAGCACTAGAACGGAAACGGCAACCCAAGTACTTGACTGCTTAAGCTCGACTTTGCGATCTTTCGTTTTCCTTCCTACGAGGCTTACGCGTGAAAGTTGAATACATGCACAAATATATTTCAAATGCTGCTAATAGGTTTGGTGGTACAGACAGAAGCAGATCAACAGCATAAAACTGGTAGATAACCTCCATGCACATCCACGTTCAGCTTGAACAAAAAAACCGATCCCAGTATCTAGATGAAATCTTCTCCGTAGATACTCAATACCATAACCGGACAAATACCGGAAACGTTTACCGCTTGCCCTTCTTACGAGGAGCAACCACCTTGAACGCAGCGTTGCTAGCTTCCTCCTCTCGCTGCTGAGTGACGGCGGTGCTGGCAGCGGAGCCCTTCTTGGCAACCTCGGACCAGCCACCGCCGCTCTTCTGTTCGGCAAAAGCGCTGGGGGAGACGGGCTCAACGACACCCTTGTCGGCGAGCTTACGACGGCGAATGAATTCATCCGCAAAGCGACGGCCGTCCAGGGTCTGGGAGTTGGCGTAGACGGAATCGGAGATGATCTCAGCCTCGGCGGGGAGGAAGAGGAGCTGCTGAACAAAGTCATCAACGTTGATGTTGCTGTTCAATCCCTTACCAAGGGCCAGCTTCGCCCACTTGGTGAACTCCTCCACAGCCCGGTTAGGGTTGGACTGCGGTACGCTACCAACGGTAGTGCGAGTAGCAACGACGGGGCGGGGCTTGGCGACGGTGGGAGCAATGGGGACGGTTCCGCTGGTAGAGCGAGGGCCGAGGGGTGCGGCGGGAGGGGCCTTGGCCTTGCCACCGGCACCAACGGTGGTCCAAGCACTAGAAGCAGTAGGAGCAACGGTAGCAGAAGCAGCAGGGGCCGGGACCTTGCTAGCAAGGTCAGCATAACGCTTAGCGACGGAAGCGGGAGGACTGGGAGTGGCCGTCTGAGCGGCAGCGGCAGCAGCGGAAGCTAAGCGCTGCTTACGAGCCTCCTCTTCTTTCTGAATCTGGGCAAGAGTCTTCTTGGTCGCGGTGGTGATCGGGACAGGCTGGCTCTTGGTGTTCCAGGGAGAACCAGCGGCGGAGGGAGTAGCAGGGGATCCAGCACTGGCCCAGTTCGCCGACGAGGGAAGGCCGGGAACGACTTGCGCTTGAGCTTGGCTCAGACGCTCTTGCTCGGCGAGGAGCTGAGCACGACGAGCAGCCGCGGCAACCTCTTCACGCTGGGCAGCGGTGCGGGCCTCTGCCTCCTGAATCTCTTTCAAGGAAGGACCCTTGGTCACCTCGTGAGTATCCTTGGCCCAAGGGGCAACGGAAGTGGGGGCAGCGTCAACGGGAGTTTGAGTCTGGGAGCGAGAGCCAGCAGCCAAAGACTCGGCAACGTTCTGACGGTTGCGCTGGGCGGCAGGGGCGGGCAGAGGGGAGGCGGACGGAGGTGGGGGGAAAGGCTGAGGCATAGCATGATCGATCTTGGAGCCCCAGGCAGATTCGGGGACAGCCTGGTTATGTTGCACCTGCTCTTGCTCCTGCTGCTGCTGTTGCTGTTGACGCTGGGCAGAAGCAGCCTTGTGGACCTGTTGAGACAGAGTAAGAGCGGGCTCCGAAGCAACGGGCTCTTCTTCATCGACAACTTCGGTGGCCAAGGACCCCGCCTCGTGATCCAGAGCAGCGGCGGGGTGAGTAGGAAGTCCTTCAGCGGTGCGCATGCCCAACTCTACCTCTTGAGCCCTCAATGCATGGAATTGGCGCAGGCGCTCCTCACGAGCCTCTTCGTCAAAGGGATCATTGGCGTTGGCCTTGTCGAAATCCTCCTGCTCCTGCTGAAGCTGAGCGCGATCCTGGAGCATGGATGCCACCTGCTGGGAGTGGAGGAAGCTGTCCGGCTGGCGTGCAGAGAATGAGCCCGCGGCGCCGAATGCAAACGGATCCTGACGACCGACATTCAAACGCTCAAGAAGTGCAGGCAATTGGTCTTGGCCACCAAGCTCGGTTCCAAGCATTCCTGGGAGGACATTGGGCAGTCCACCCTGTCGAAGGGAGGGGGCAGCATCGAAGAAACCGGGCATACCCTGAGATTGCTGCTGTCCTTGAATAGGAGCTTGGATCGGAGAAGGCTGGTAAGCAGCGGGAGAGGTAATGCTTCCGAAGCTAGGCTGGCTGTGCAGACTGTGGGCGCTGGATTGGTGCTGAAGCTGAGGCTGCAGAGCGGGAGGAGCGCCAGGGACCTGCATCTGCTTCATGATAGCCTGCTGCTGAGCGAGATGTTCTTTTTGGCGGGCCATCAGATACTGCTCCTCCTGCTTCCGTCGCTCGAGCGCATTCTGCTGCTCAGCGGTCAGGGTGGTACCAAAGCTGGGGAAGCTGCCGGGGAACGGAGGCTGGGCTGAGCCTTGGTTGGGATTCTGCCACTGGCCGGGGGCGGGCTCGGGGCCATGGGGGATGCCAATTTGAGGCACAAGGAAGGGCTCGCGCGAGTTGCCAATACGACGAACCAGCTGAGCCAGTGGCTCAAATTCCCCGTCCTCCAGTTTCTTGATCTGCAAGTCGGGGCTGAAGAATCCAGCCTTGAACCAGTCGTGCATCTCTAGGCCAGTCCACGGGCCTTGAATGTTACCCTGCGGATCGCGGTAGATCCAGCGCATCCGATCCGGCATGACCATGGTTCGTTGTTGAGCGGCAGAGATAGAGCCACCAGGAGTAGGGGCCTGAGTTGGGTCGTGGGTGAGGTTGGCAGGGATAGAACCGACGGCAGAGACAGGGGTCTGGGAAGCCGAGTTCGAGCCAGGCTTGCTAGCTTGTCCAGCCCTCTCCGCCTGCTGAGTATCACCCTGATCCAACCCTACTGAGTCTGAACGGCCTTGCTCTTCTGCCATTCCAGAGAAGAGTGCACCGAGCTTGCTCGAGCGACCGATGCTAGCGGTGCCCGAGAGGCCGGCATGCGGGCTGAAGAGACCGCCACCTCCAAGCGTGGCCAGACTGGGGGATTGCAACCCGCCCATGGAGCCAAAAATAGGATCACCGAAGCCACCTGCGAACGCTGAGCGTTCACGGGTTGGGGTGCCTAGAGCATCGCTAGAGGGCCATCCAGTCGGTCCACCGAGACCCGAAAGACCGCCCAGGCCACCGAGGGCAGAGAAGTTTCGGTTCGCATTGACGCTGGAGTTTTGACTACGGTCAATGGTGGGAAGATCCATGCCCGAACCAACCCGTCTCATCGATCCGAATGGGTTGGAAGGATCACGCAGACCACTAAGACCAGGGTGCTGCGGGTGCTGGATATCCGAACCATCAGTGTCGACATCCTCCGCATCTGCCACAGTCCGATCGGCATGGGGACTTTGGTAAGGGTTTGTATTGGTCGGGCTGGTAGGCTCGTGTCCCTGGAGTAGGCTAGGAGTCGGGTTCCGAGAATTCTCTTGACTCTGCATCAGGTCACGGAAACCGGGAATGCTGGAGGTCATGCCAAAGGCACCGAATCCAAGATCAGCCTGAGATGGAGCTTCAACGTCCTGAGATCCACCAAGGGCAGCACTACCACTGCGAGGCTCGTCAAACGGATTGGTCTCGCTTCGGCTAGCACGTGTTTTGACGGCGTCGCCCCATGGAGACTGCGAGCGCTTGTCACTATCTTCTTCGGTGAGTCGTTCAAGGTTGCCCAGGGCCTTGTCCTTCGCAGAACCTGCAATATCCTCCGCAGACTCCTTGGAGAGTAGATCTTTAAACCTGCTCTCTCCACGAAGGCTTCCAAATCCAGCCTTCTTCTCCGTTGTGGGAGTCTGCGTGGTGTTCGAGCCTAGTGAGAAGGCACCGAAGGCACCCATCGGGGAAAAATTGGCATTGTGCGAAGCCGATGCAGAGCCCCAGGGCGAGCTAGGTCCACCGATAGCCGTGTTCAAAGGGTTGGTAGAGCTGCGCTTCAGACTGCCAAAGGGAGAAGCGGATTCAACGCTACCTTCCTTGGCCTTGTCATCCTTGGCATTCGGTTCGCGGAAATCGGTCTTGCGACGGAGAAGAGCGGGAGGAGGGGTAGAGGTATTTGCTTCATCGCGGAAGAAACGAGTGTTAGTTCCAGTGGGTGACATGGGATTGCCCACAGAGTCTCCAGTTTCACGGCGGCGGGCGCCTGGGCGAGTAGCGTTCGGGGAAGAGGTGTTGTAGTTATTGATGTGGCCCTGGGGGTAGGAGATCGACGACTTGCGACCGGTAGTACCTGTAGCTGCATTCTCCTTTGCAGCGTTTGTTGGTGGAGGCTTGAGAGGGGAATTGACCGAGGCGGAAAACAACTACACAAAGAACCCAATTTTTTTTTAGCAATTCGAAAGCACGCGCACAGGTCACGATCTCAACTCGCACTCAGGATAGAAACATACCTCTTTTTCACCATCAGACATATCAGTCAGACCCAAGGGCTCCGCCTGGCCGCCATGATCCCAACACACTTCGGGGCCTGCGGAGGTTTTGTGGTCATCCCGCTTCCCCCACACCCCGTTCGCAGGAGCCGAGACAGTGTGAGGATCCCAGTCAGCCACAAAGTAGTCCTCCACATGCTTGCCCAAGGAGCCTGCCTCCCGTTGCGCCTTATACAGTTCTAGGAGTTGCTCCTTGGAGTATCTAGCATCGCCGTTGCGCAGCGCACTAGACATGGTATTTGAGCTCAGGTGAGGTGGGACATAGGCCCCGGAGGCAGTAGGTGTCGAGGCGGAAGCAAGTTGGCTACTGTCGCGAGTGTGCGAAGGGTTAGTAGCCACCGAGGGGCGCCGGAAGGTCTGCGTAGCTCCGTTCATGCGGGATCGCGACCTACGGAGAGTGGTTCAAGGTTAGCATTGAATTCTCGCGTGGCGACTAATTGGGTGATGACTCGGCAGCGAGTGAGCTCCAAACAGTGTCGGTGAGGTGACTCGGTGCCCAGTACAGGGTGGACAGTGCCTGTCTTTTGAGAACATACCATTCTCCACCAGTGCTTCCATCCCCTCTCCGACTGGCATCCTGGGTGTTGCCAGCGGCGGCCGAAGCAAAACTCGAAGGAAGTGGTGTAGGCATTATGGAGACAAAGTTGAATAGGACAGATCGAGATCGTCCACAAAACAACCGATGTGGAGAGCGTGAGAGTTTGTCGCGAGACTTTGGAAGTGGCGGAAGTGCGAGATGTGTGATGCGAACGGAGATGAGAACGCAAACACGAGAGACGAGGCCTGAAAGGTGGGTGGGTTAAATGAGGTAGCAGAACGCTAGTCAAATCGAGGAGATCGAGGTGGAGAGGGAGGAGGTAAGTCGTTGTGTATGTAGAAGAATGCGAGCGCCAGACTAACAAGGTCACGACAAGAAAGAAGAGATCGAAACTCGATTTCGCTTGGGTTTCTCCAGAGCAAAATTGGAATTAGCGGGTTGTGGCAATAGGCGCGCCGAGGCGAAAATACCGTGTATTGGATACGGGGGGCGCGTCTGGGATGCTAGCCTTTTCCTAAGTGAAGAGGTAAAATACACGGTAATCAGGAAACCAAAATGACCCCGGCCACACTCACAGCAAAGTCCACCGAGTGATGACTACACACACATCACCCACACACCACACATCATTACTCACGGAATCTCCGCCTGTGGACAAGCTAGATAGTGAATAACACGGTCTTGACTGGGAGACACCTTGAAGCTAAGTGTTCTGATATTCTTGAAAAATATCTACTATGGTTCTGCCCATTCCTCTCCCTTATGGTGCGTCCTCCTCAAAAAGCTCTAAATGATGATGTCGACTAGCATCTATGAATCCGGTGGCTTGGTTCCGCAAAGCTGTGGGCGTGGCATTAGCCGTGATACACGTCTACCCGAGTAAGCCCACACGCACTCTGTCATTGGAGGCCACGAGTGCTTTCAAACGGTTAAAGTTGGCTTGGATTGGTCTTATTTTGGACGTGTCGTGCTGCTTCTTGACCTTTTGAGCCTTTGAATGCTGTTCGCCCTTGCTGCACACCGATGATACGTTGGTTCCAACGCACAAATACAGCAATATTAAAGATATTAAGGAATGATCTCCCCTCCGTCAAACTATCAAACAGACATTGTGGAGGGGAGGGATACGTGCATATTGGCTTTCGCTTTATCCCTTTCTCCTCCTCTCCCCCAGCCACCAGCCGCCCCGGATGCTGCATTCGATTCTTTGTCTAGCATAGGATTCCATTGAACCTGAGTCATCTCCTTCTGGTCTCTACTGTTGAAGTCTTGTCTGGAGGTTGACGTCATGGTTAGAATCGGAATATTCTTTCTTTTGGATTTGTTTTTATGCAGAGGACTTTCTTTGTAGACGTCGGCGGTCTTTCCTAGACATACAGGTTTGCTCAAGATCTGGGACTTCAGGACTCTGGCTGCTGCGAGTGTCTTCCCAGCAACAATGCTTTATACTCCGTTCTTTGTCTCAATGGTTGCTCATGGTCTTAGCTTGCAAACGACATGAGGGGCTCTGTGTAAGCCTCTATAGATTTGTGAATACATAACACATCTTCAATCGCGTCTTCCGATCCTTATCCTTTAGTACATTTCGTATTACTTTAGTACGGCTCTCTTCTTATTTCTTTGCTCTACCATCTTTATTCTTTTGCTCTTGTTTCCAGCGAGAAACTGTTCTATCTTCTCGGATCTCACTGTGTCTGTGTGTAGCTTACGAGACAAAAACCTCCCGTCAATGCCTCCAGTGCAACACCCATACCCTGGGCTCTTCGGCCCTGGCAAAGGTATACGAGCTTTCACTGGCCGTCTCCGCAATGGGCACCCTCATCCAATCTTGATCAATGCACAAGATGGCCATCCTTACCCTCTGGGAGGACGTACTACTCGGTGTTCCTCGCCCACGACGCCTCCAGCCGAACGGCGTGCCTATGCAGCACGAGAGCAGGCTCGCAAGGCCAAGACCCATTCTTCAACCAGCGATACTTCGGAGAGGTCAATTTCAGTCCCACCGCAGGCACGTCACACCCATGCTCATCGAGGAGTGCATTCAAGGCGAGAGTTTGAGCCCGAGCTTGAGCATCTGCCACACAGGCACAAGCATGCAACTAGGCACCATGGGAAGGCATCAAAGCCTGTCAATCCACCACGACGGCCTGATAGTGATATTGAATCCCACTGGAGTACCAACGTGCATGTCCCACGGACCCATCACGATCCTTACCACCGTCATCATCATCATCATCATCATGCCGCTCATCTCGATCATGTCGTGTTCAAGGCGCCCTTGAATTGTCAGTGCCCTGATTGCCTTGAGGAAGCTCAGCCGGGTCATCCTCAGCCCGTTGAGAACACCAGAGATGATCCTGTGCCGACCAAACGCATCTACGATCATCATTCGCACTCCTTCGGAACTCAACCTGTTCCTGTTGATCCCCGGATCGTCTGTAGCTGTGGATTCGTGCATGCTGAACCTGCGCGGCGGCAGTCATCTCGGTCTACAAGCCCTGAAAAACATCGAAAGGGACATTTTAAACACTCAACCGAGCCAGAGGGAGGCCGGTCTCATCGCCACCGCCATATTCGACACCGCCGCGACACGACTGATTCGTCCTCTGACAGGACAAATGCCGAGGTAAATGACACGAGCTCGGAGAGCGATGGGGAGACCAGGACTGGTGGAGATGAGAAGGGTGAGTATGATTTGCCGAGTGATTGGCAGTTCTGCAATGAATTCTGCTGTGGACATCCCGTATTTTATATTCTGCGATGAATTTGGCTTCTTGGTTTTACTGCTTTCAGAAGTTGCGGTCTCGGCAAATGTGCGGAGTTGAGTGAGAGGAAAAGGCGTCCGCGAGAAATATGTCATAGAAAGGAATGGAGTTCATTGTTTACTTGAATGTTTCATTTCAATCAATGTCCAACGTAACGCCAATTAGAGATACTCTCATGAGCTGTCTTGAAATGTATCCGTACACCCCCTTTAATAATGTTCCAAGCTGTTTATGATCCGAGAAAGTACCCGTGTTTTTCAGAAGATCGTAATCAATGACTCCCTTAGAGCTTGTCTAGAATGATTTTCAACTGAGATGGTTTTAGATCTATGACTAGCACCTCCTTAAGACAGCCAATGAAATTGGACTGCATCGTCGTAGAATTCATTTTTTTTCATCACCGACTAAAGGTCTTTCAACCTGGCGTCTTCGATCGCGATATATATCTGGACCGAGCAGTCAGCACCCGATCTGGCGATGAAGTTCAGCATGTCCTACGGATGCCAGATGCCCTGGATGGATAGGCAATCTAGCTTTAGCTTTTCTTCCTGAAACTTTCTAGTCAACTTCTAACCTTAATGTATTGACCTCAAAATGGGCTCTCTGTCACCACCTATCCTAATAGGCCAGGAATTTAGCCCCTAGTCAGTCCACCAAGTAAACAATAGTGATCTGCACACCTGTTCCCAATTGTACAATTAACATAGTCCTTGTCGTCCAGCCCGACTTTGTACCATAGCCCTGAATACCCCAAATTGGAGACAAGGATGCTGTCAGATCCCCACATTACAATTACTAATGTCGACCATCATTCCGAGCCGGGGCCGAGGTCCTGCGGAGCACGAAATGGGGAGCTCCGACATATTAAACATAAAAACTGGGCTGTGCCACTAGACTTTAGAACATATACACACGTCTTTCCAGAGCAAATCAATAGCTCCGGTGCATATTGATTCCATAGATTCCATAATTTATTATTGTCAGTTGCCGCTTGACTGTGATTCCATCCTCACTGGCCCTGCCTCGGTTATCGATAAGATCACCCCCGCACGACCGACAATAAGGAGCTTCCTTCACTTTCACTCACAACTTGGTCAAAGACACACCAACATCGACGGAGGTCAAAATGTCCAAGGCAGTATATATCTCGACCGTTGATGGCAAGCCCGGCAAGCCGGGTCAGGTCTATTACCCGCTCACCTTGCGCACCCTGCCCCAGCCTTCCCCACAAGGGCAAGAGCTGCTGGTCAAGCTGACCGCCGCCTCCCTCAACCACCGCGACCTCTTCCTCCGCCAGCATCTATACCCCGGTGTGACATTTGATGTTCCCCTCCTCGCAGATGGTGTCGGTGTTGTGGTGGGTACCGGTCCCAATGTGTCCAATGCCGATAAGTGGCAGGGCAAACGCGTCATTCTGAACCCGGGCGTTGGCTGGAAAGACAGTCCTGATGGGCCAGAGGAGGAAACTGGATACCGGATCATGGGAGGCACCAAGGTCTATGATAAAGGTACCCTGCAAGAGTACATCACCATTGATGAATCGGAAGTCGAAGAGGCACCCGCCCATCTCTCTGACGCGGAGGCTGCTGCCCTGCCCCTGGTGGGCTTGACTGGATGGCGAGCCCTGGTCTCCAAGGCCGGCGAGAGGAACTCCAAGGATGGTGCTGCAATCTTGGTCACTGGTATTGGCGGTGGTGTTGCGTTGATGGTGCTCCGATTTGCAGTCGCCCGCGGCGCTCATGTCTTTGTGACTAGCTCAAGCCAGGAGAAGATCCAGAAGGCGATTGAGCTTGGTGCTGCCGGTGGTGTTAGCTATAAAGAAGATGGATGGGATAAGAAGCTGCTGGGCATGCTTCCCACTGGCAAGAAGCACTTTGATGCCATCATCGACGGTGCCGGTGGCGATGCGATCGAAAAGGCGGCTCGGCTGCTCAAGGTAAGTGACCGACCATGCGAAAAGCAATTCTTATATACAACTGCATGACTTGGTAACAACAACTAACAAGCATGAATAGGCTGGCGGTGTCATTTCAGTCTACGGCATGACCGTCTCTCCGAAGATGCCATTCACAATGGCGACGGTGCTGAAGAACATCGATGTCCGCGGGTCCACAATGGGCTCACGCAAGGAATTCAAAGAGATGGTTGACTTTGTGGCTGCTAGGAAGATCCAGCCCGTTGTATCGCGAGTTCTGAAGACTGAAATTGATGACCTGACTGCCATTGACGGACTCTTTGAGGATATGAAACAGGGCACTCAATTCGGGAAGTTGGTTATTGAATTTGGGAAAAACTCAGCCAGCAAGCTGTAAATCCAAACAGAACGAGATTATGACCCATTGATGAGATAAATGAAGATGAAGTTCTTTCTGTATCATCGAGAGCTGAGTCGGCGGGTGCCAACTGGTGCCGGCGCCTTCCACGTTGGCCTTCTACTTTGTCATTGTTGAACAACACACCCTCCTTCTGTCTTTGATCCATCAAAAATCCCCGATAAACCTCATCACCCAAGGTCATATACTTACTCCAGTCAATTCACAACTCTCTTCACAAAGAGTTGGCTGCCCTTGGCTTCGTTCTTGCATATATTACACAACCCTTCATCCACTCACTCCCAATAGGTTCCGCTTCATCATGACCACCAGAAGCAAGCCTTCCTCGAGGAACCAAACCCATACTCATTCTCTGGGTCATGGTATTTCACTGGCTGCCAGTCTTAACCTTCCACCATATAATTCTTGTGCCTGGCTCCAAGAGGAAGGCCTGGTACGTATCACCGGCACCAATAACATGACCATATAGCATTGAGACTGACTTTACGTCTTTAGACTCCTGCACAAGCAGCCCTACGCACATCCAACGAAGATCTTGCTCGTCGGCTCGTAAAGCTCAAGGCCAATGCAAACCGCCTCCAGCGCGAGATCTTCCTCCTCTAACGACACGTCAAAGAATTCCAACACCCACTGTTCGAAACCTGGGAGGCGGATATATTGACTCGTCTCATTGAGGTTGCCCATGCCCATCAGCCAAATAAGATGACCACGGGAGTCGCCATCGGTCAGGGCAGCGGTGGGGACCGCGAGATGATCTCACTTGCGTATATCAATGCTGCCAAACAGGTCCAGGACGATACTTTGGACCGGCTTGGTCTCTCGAGCCAGCATCACCAGGCGATCCGTCGGTACGAAGAGGTAAGAAAGAGCTTCTTTAGTTCTCATCAGCGCTCGCATGTGCATGGGAAACCGGAGAATTCAGACTTCTACTTGATCACCCATGCTCACACATAGAACAGATCGCAGCGTATCGGAGTCCTAATCCGTTCAAAACCGAAACGCCTTTTGCGAAATGGCTGGTCGAGGAGAAGAACAACCGACCGGAGAAGTATGTCTTTTGGTCGAAGCTCTACCCCATCTGCTACGGTCGCTCAGTCGAGCAGAGCTCCGTCATCTTCTGAGTGACTTCGCCTGTCGCTTACATCTTCCTCACTTTCGACATGGTGTATGCTTCGGAGTTTTGGGCAGGGCATAAAGGAAGCAGACATTCATGGATTACTGATGGCATCATGGGAGATGACAGGCTACGGCGTCTTCTTGGTGGTTACGTGTGGCGGCCGGTCGTTGTCCTGCGTTGCGAGGGTTCTTATTTTTTATTTCCTTTTTCTCTCGGTCGGCGACAATCCTTGCTCTAGTTCAGCTTGACATCTATCAAGCCGATATCGTCAGGGCGACCTACAGGAACTTCAACAATCTGCATACCGCTACTCTGTTTTGACTTCCAGCCCATATCGTCGGCGTTGACGTATACAACCACCTGCGACGTCTTCTGTTTTGTTGGTAGTCTACATAGGCTCAGCTAGTAGCTCACGTTTGTTCTCGGCAGATCGATCGCCTCAGCTAAGCTGTTACTGTTACATCGGCTCCAAATTCAGATCCCTACAAAAAGAAAATAAAGCTTCAGACCGCTAGAACGCCAAACATCAGGCTAATATGCACAGCCTCAACCTGCATCGTCATCGCTATAACCACATCTTATTCGTGTAGGGTGACCGTCGATCAGGCCAATCCAGCATATCCAGCATGGTTAGCTTCCACACGTGTCCAGCTAAGCCCAGCTCATCCTCTCAAAACTAACAGGGGAGCCCCGCTAAGGTAGGCAATTGGGCGATTATACGACATTAGCTGTCGGCTCACTTCAACTAGCCTCGAGCTATTTTCGATCTACGTACCAAGCAAAGCAAAACGAACTATTATGCCTCAAATCCACAACTAAAGCATATATGGCCCAAAACTAAGACCATCAACTGTCACCGTTACAGACGATCTTGCCAACGGACCCTCCCCAGATCCCAGATATCCGGCTAAAAAAGAGAATTTTGAGTTCGTTCCCGTGGGCTAAGAATAGACCTGAGCTTGCCGGACGCTGGCCGCCCCTTATTCCTAACTTGGGGGGTTGAGTGAGACAGACGAATGTCTCACAAGTCACAGACGCAAGCCAGTTTGAAACTTTGCATATCTTTCGCAAGCGACTGGTGAACTGTCCACCGCTTAGTCACGTTAGAGCAGGGGAGAAGGGTCGTGAAGGTTTCCGCACCCCCGTCAACTATGTACATACATAGTACCCCGTGTCGACCTTAGGGTTATCCGGGAGAGGAGCATGGCGAAGCCCAATAAAAAGCCACATTTGGTCGTGGGTCCAATTTTGGCCAACCGATTCGTCGACTCGGCTGGTTTCCGAAAGCCTCATGTTTGGCTCTGAGGGTTGCTTTTACATACTTTTCAATCTTTCCAATACATAAACGGGCGATGATGTCGATGTCGATGTCGATGTCGATATGGAAAAGTCGTATTAGATGTCCGAATAGGTACAGTTTAGGCGAGAATCCTGCACGTTCATGGGCAGTAAATTCAAAGCGCCCAATAGTCACTCCTCTTTTTTTGAGGGTCTTTTTTCTCCTCGCTTTCTTCATTTTCCATCTTGGGACCCTGCCTTCGGTGTTTGAACCTCGACTTAAATCAAGAACCTATCAGAAGTCGACTTAACATTGAATTGACCATGGACTTGACTATTACCCGATTTGTTATTAGCAGGATCGTCCCCCAGCGGAGCGGCCGTGCGAGTGCAATGCACGACTCGATTGGATGATTTTTGCTATGAATAATGCTCTCCAGAGCTAGTTACCAAAGCCGAGGTTCAAGCACGGAATCGGCACCCATTGTTCTGTCTCGTAGATATGGAGAAGCTGGAATGGAGCCGGAGACGGGGACATACTGGGACTGCTGCCTACCCTTGACCTTGGTCCTTGGCAAAAAATTTCAATGAACTTGGCAACGACAATTTGCACAGTGTATAACGAGCGGGCCTTCAAAGAAAGAGTGTCATTGGGTTACTATTCCACGATTTCACCACTCCATTCTTCTTGCATGGTCGAAGAGGGGGTGCCTTGCGAGGTCAACCACTATTGTTGTTAGTCAGGGTCCGGTCAGAAAAGACAAAAAGAAGGAACAGAAAAGGTGGGTCATGGGATGGAGAACGAACTAGCTTCATCCAGGGCAGGAAGTGATATGGTAGGGGAAAAAAAAACCTGCCCTCCAAGGCTCCCCAGACTAAGCACCGTGCACCGCAAGGCTTCCTCGATATGGTAGAGAGGCAGAAGGCCGTGCAGGAGAACGACGGACTTCCGGAGTGGATTTGCATCCCGAGGTCCCGACGGGCAGAGATAATTGGGAAGCTTGCCCTATCAGCGAGTATTCCCCATTTGCTGTTAACGAATTGGCGCGTCTCCACTGCGAAAAGGATCTGTTAGCGTGAGTTTCTTGTGGGACCGCTGGAATGCGGAAATCCGCTCCACCACGTTCTTCCTGTTCGGCGGCACATCGCGCCGTCTCTGATCGATCTTCCGGGGGGGGGGGGGTGCGATCTTTGGGTGTGGAAACAGGTGAGAGGTCGGGTAGAGGGAGAGTGCGAGACCTCATCTTCCATCAATCCTTTGGTTGAGGGCGGCAGTGCAAACATGCCCTAGAGTCGAAGTATCCGATCAGAGGAGACATGGTTATGTCGGCGATTTATTGGGGGATCAGCAAGACGGCAGAGCGGCCTGTCTAAACCTCAGACTTAAAGACCTGTTTCAGCGTTTGGACTGGTAGATCCTGGTTGAAAATCTGACATCAGAGACCGTATCTTCACCTATTGGGAGAATTTCGGTGCAAATGGTGGTTGGAGGCTTGATGTGATTGTATTTGAAACGGTCGAAACTCGGCGGCGGTTTCAAGCGTGGCTGATCGAAGCCGATCGCGAACTGAATGAGGGTTACGCATCGGGCACATGGCACCAAAGTTTATTTTCTTCTCGTCCTACGTCTAGCTTTCTAGAAGTCGGTAAATTCTAACAAACTATCCGGGCTCCATATGCGGTCGGGTAATTTTTCTTTGGCTGTTTTTTTAGTGTTGTTGGGGGATAGGTTTTGAGGTGGAATTTCTCCGCAAGTTATTGTAGCGCCCGCACAGATTATATATCCTGACATACTCCGCACTGCATACGCCTTTATCAATAATGCCGATCAACATCGTGCCGATGTTCGGTGTTACCCTACTTCAACCACTGATATATCGAAGCCTCAAAAAATAGCCATTAAGCAAAAACCAGCACTCAGGAATATCCAGGTATTCATGACAGAAGCTATCCTCTGGTGATGTCAAACTATACATCGCCGAAAGCGGATCGACACCTTGACTTAGCTTAGCTTACCCACCATCCCACAATTGGTAGAGTCTTCTCTTTGCTTCTTGGCAGGAAAAGCGAATAGCACGAAGGATTTCTGTCTCACTGCCCCTGAGCTATCCACATTCGGCATCTAACCATGATCCATCCACGCCCTATAAGGAAGGTCGATATGCTTACGCAGGCTAACACTCAATTTAACTTCTTTAACTTCTTGGTAGCGTGCCCTAAAGAGTCAAGACCCAGGACATGGGAGAATTAGGCTCAGCAACGCCCCCAACTGAAGCTAACATCGACACGGAATAGTTAATTGTCGAGCCTTGTAATTGAGAGGAGCATTAGGAGTACCGAGTACTTAGAAAACACGGTCCATGTGGGCGGTAGTGTCTTTTTTTGGCACCATCGTTCCCACCAACTGGCCCACGCTAGAAGCATGATTGTCGCCTTTCTTTCTGGTATCTAGCCAGGATATGGATGAGATCGTCACCGTTGAAGCGGGTGGCGCCGACCTACGAGCTGAATCACCTTGAATAATCATATCTCTAAGTATATACCAACAGCTGTGGGTGGTGAAACCCTTCCTATGAACTCCCTCGCGGTGAGACACGAAAATTGAGAAGCTATGGTTGGGAAAATTTAGTCAGAAAAGGGGCGAACGAACAACCTAGGAAGTCCAAATGCCTGCGCCAGCGCTTCCAGGCAAACCTGCTGGCATAGATGAAAGTAGGTTGTAAATATGGTACCATACTAGCTACTCATCGTGCGATCGGCTTGTTTACGGCACGCAGAGTCGTCAATATCTCCCTTTCCCATTTTTATCACAGAGATTGGAGATCTTCACAAATAATGATTGAGTTCATGGTATCCCCTGAAGGATCACAGAGGGTCATGCCACGTAATACCTGCTCCTCCACAACAACTTAGAGACGGCCATCAAAAAACCAACCACTCTCAATTAATTTTTGGCCAAAGTAGGTGGCGCATCCGTAAGCAACCGGTCGATGGGATTATTATTCGGGGCTTGAAGCTAACATTCTCCATTTCTAAACAAGCTGCTCATTCGTAGGATCCCCAACAAAGCTAGCACTAGAAGGACAAGGAAGTAGCTTCACCTAGAAAGGAAAACAGACGTGAAACTTTGAGAAAGATCTACCATGTCCTTGATTTTTTGGGACGGCCATATCAGACGGTGAAGACTGCATGGAGCTGACTCTCAGCCCCCAAGTTCCGCAAAGTCCACGCAAGCACACCTGACGCTCTGAGGAGTCAAGGCACGGGTAGCCCGTACTATCAAATGTCCGATTGAAACTAAAGACCAAGATTCGGCTCTCAGGAAACCGAAAACCCAAGAAGTTTGTTCCCACATCGTCTCAACTTTCTCGCAAAAGGCGGGTATGATGCTCACCTTGCTATCAGCGAGGTACAGCCCAAGGCTCCCAATCCCGAATTCAATAAAGGTACCACCGGCTGCAAGGTATGGCTGGATAACGAGGGTCACTCGCTCGAGGATGATGTTGAGGGATCCACTGCGTGCCAGAGGTAGTAGTGCATATTGTAAAAGGCGCATGGGCCAACAAGATGCGCGTAATCAATGCTGTAGAATATCCACATACCTCCCATCACCCCTCGAGATAGAGCCTACAATCAATCAAAGTCACGGACCACAGTCCTGTCGTTTGATTTGGATACAAAAGCAGTAAGGGTCCTTTACTAGGGTAGATCACGGTTTCAGTCTAA